ACTTTTATCAAAAATTATTTACTTTTTTCTTTTACAATTATTATTTTCAGGTAGCTGTCTCTCCCTGAGCCTAATTGGAGGTTTCTTCCTGTTAAAGGGGAGTTTTTCCTTACCACTGTCACCAAGGAGGTCATCTCATTGTTGACGTTTTCTCTGTATTATTGTATGGGTTTAATCTTACAATATAAAGTCACTGTTATTATGATTTGGTGCTATATATTTGGTGCTGTCAGTGCGCCCCAGGGTGGCTGTGGCTACAATGTAGCTGCCATCACCAGTGTGTGAATGTGTGTGTGAATGGGTGGATGACTGGATATGTAAAGCGCTTTGGGGTCCTTAGGGACTAGTAAAGCACTATATAAATACAGGCCATTTACCATATAAATTGAAGTGAACTGAATTGAAATTGAATTGTTATTAATTCTAGGGTTGTTGTTTTTTTGTTTTTTTTTATTCATTCATATATTTTTGATTTGAGTAGTTTTAGCCCATAAGTGATAAGTAAGGAAGCACGTAAGCATATCTCTCAACTGAATCCTTTTAGTTTTACTTCATTATGGCTTTTCTAATATAATTATCTTTGCATTTGGTGCTTTTTGCAGCATGCTATAGCATTTATTATCCTAAATGCTACCATGGATGTTTTATTTGTTCTAAGTGGTTCAATTCTGGTTTACATTTGTGTAACTTCTATCTTCTTTGAAGATACTCAGTCTTTTCAATAGTTTTAAAAATTTCTGAGGTGATGTTCACAGTAGGTTATTTATATGCATGAAAACAACACTGTTGCTTACTTTTGACAATAGATGGTTCCTAGGAGAGGAGTGCTAATATCCAGCATTATTCACTACCGTACTGGTAGATATGAAAAACTTAATGACCACAACGTGCTCTAGCTTCAGAAATAACATCTTATATGCATATCACTGATTTTAAGGGCCATTTTACCAGTGCAGGCGATATTGATTGGCCTCTCAAAGTACTGCTGCCTGAAGACGATGCCTGCTGCCCGGGCTTTGGCCTCTGTGTTTTCCTGCCTCTTCCCCTTCAATCCCACTGCTGGAGGGATAAAGTACCGCTTTTTGGTTCGGACCGGCAGGTAAAGTGGAATGGGATGTTGCACATCCAGAGACGTCTCAGCATTCTAAGAGGATGGAGACAAATATGTGTTTAACCACCACAGTTATCCTCTAAACTCACTGGCCCTGAATTCTACTTTTACAAAACCTAAACACTTTCAGCTTTTGTCTGCACTGTCAAAAAGACACCTTTATCTTTAATACCGAGAGGGCTGTGCCCCTTACCCTGACAGGTATTTCTAATATTTTGCCTCCCTCACAGGTGTACATGCCTGGAATACCATGCGTTTTAGTTTATATTGAACTCAACTGTTGTGAAGTTGTGATCTGTATATCTTAATCTTGTCAAATACTTAACACAGTGAAAACCTCAAGCTACGTAGTATTGTTTCATCCAGCAAGATGAACACAAAGTCTCTCTTTAGTTAAAAAAAGAGCACCTCTGAGCAAGCAAGCAGTTATATATATATATATATATATATATATATATATACATACACATATACACACACACATCTATATTCTCTCTCTCTACATATATATACATACATATATATATATATAGAGAGAGAGAGAGAGAATATAGATGTGTGTGTGTGTATATGTGTGTATATATATATACATACATACATACATATATATACACACACACACATCTATATTCTCTCTCTCTCTCTCTCTCTCTCTCTCTATATATAAAAAAAAAAAACACCAGCACGCCCCTGCGGCGGTTTATCCTTCAAGCTCGGGTCCTCTACCAGAGGCCTGGGAGCTTGAGGGTCCTGCGCAGTATCTTAGCTGTTCCAGGACTGCGCTCTTCTGGACAGAGATCTCCGATGTTGTTCCGGATCTGCTGGAGCCACTCGCCTAGCTTGGGAGTCACGCACCTAGTGCGGTGACTCCAAGCTATATATATATATATATATATATATATATATATATATATATATATATATAGAGAGAGAGAGAGAGAGAGAGAGAGAATATAGATGTGTGTGTGTATATGTGTGTATATATATATATATATATATATATATATATATATATATATATATATATATATATCACTTAAAGGTAAATAGTCCCTGTGTCTATGTGGATGCTCATACTCTGTCTGTTAGCTAACATTAGCAAGGCTAGCCAGTGCAGGATTATAGGCAGTACTCATATGAAGCAAATCAAACGAATTGCTTCTTCTACATTTCGACTGTATGCCTTTCTACAACACTGTGCTCGTAAACGTTACAGTACCTTTAAACTGCTACAAATCGCTCTATGAAGAGCCCCCAAAGTCCTCCTCGTGGGCATCGCCATCTTGCCAGGATTTTCGTCATAGACTTCCGGTTGTCTCTTTCAAAATAAAACAATAATACTCTGAAACGGCTGAGCAACGTTAGGCACTTAACGCATACATGCATACACAGTGTTATGGAGTACCGGAATACGTGTACCGGCGTTACGTATTTAAAATACAAAATATGAGTAACTGTATTCCGTTAAAGTTACCGTTTAAACGGGTAGTATTCAGAATACAGTTCCTTGTTGAAATAAATACACGGCGGTCTTTTCCTTTTTCATATATGCCTTCGCTATTGTTGGTCATGTCACCCCAGTGGAAACCCAAACAAATCACATTAAGAGGCTCTAGGGCCTGTGTCTCAATCTCGCGGCCCATGTCACCTCTACTCATAATGACGTGAAGAAATATTTTTAAAATGTATTATTCAAAAAATTATTTAATATGAAGGCAGAGTGTTACAGGCATATCCCTAAAGAATGTAGCCGAATGTAGCGGACCTGTTTTTATATACGCGCGGAATAGTTTTCTATACGAGATCGCTGCAAAAAGTGCAGCCTTACCCAATGTCCACCTACTGTTACTCATTTATATTAAGATTTAGTTGGTATGGCAAGTAACCTTCAATAATAGTATTAAATCACACAGCAATCGTACATTCATGTAGTTATAAAAAGCATGATAATATATTAAGTAATCCAAAGTATTCAGAATACGTTACTCTGTATTTTGTAACGTAACGGAATACGTTACAAAATACATTTTTGAGCATGTATTCTGTAATCTGTAGTGGAATACATTTGAAAAGTAACCTTCCCAGTACTGTGGATACAAGTATCTTGGTTACATGTGAGAAATTAAAAATCTTATTTTGGATTCAAAAAGCTGGATAAGCTCTTATCTTAATCTTGATAAAGTTGTTTATGAGCACCTGGAGGATTATAATAAAAACTGGGATGTTGTGACATAAAACCGGGGATTTTGTTTGTGCCTGATATGATGAAAACCAAGATAAGATACAACATTTTTGTACTAACTGGTAAACAGGCCTGTAACAGAAGATGAAAGATCTACATAACTACACCTCTGATCATAACACTGTAACTGCTTCAGCAGTTATTCTGGTGCTGCATTCTTTGGAAATCTATAGGTCTTGAATGTTGTTGTTGAAGAAGTTTCTGTCTGTGGGGTTTCTATAGCATTCCATCTGTCCCAAGCTTCTGTTCACATGCACAGGGTTGACTGAACATGTGACCAAACATTTGTCTCTGTCTTTTCAAGTGTGAACTCAACTTTAAGCTGTGACAAAAACTATGCTGACCAACCGACCCATCATGTTGTTTTTGTGCATTCTTATGAACAACACCCCAAAGTGTTATTCTCTTTGTTATTGTTCCAGTAATGTACTTTAAAGAAAACTTGTAATTATATATGGTAACAACCAGATTACATTTGTTTTTTTAAATGTTTATTGAAGTTATGCATAAAATAAAATGTACATCATTTAGCTTCCTTAGTTTTAAAACTCATATAAGTACAGGGGAGCATAGTAGTCTAGGTGTCTGCCATCACGTCAAGTACTTTTCCTTCACGCAGGTTTGAGAAAAAAGAGAAAAAATAACAAACAAAAAACAAACAAACATAAGTACAGATAGATGTAGTTTGTAACTATATACATCCAGAGAGAGGGCAGTCGAAAACCAACACACTCAGTAGCAGATGGTGACATAAATAGCATTAGTATATGTTACTTTAATTAAAAACAAACAAACAAACATTTAAACATCTATTCCTTCAATGGTGAATATCAGCAATATCTGGCCATACAGATATTGCCATTCTTCTTCTATAATCACCAGACCCCCCCCCCCCCCCCCCCCCCATCTTTCTTTTATGTACTTCGCTGAGTGATTGCTGATATCATGAAGATTCTTGTATATTTGTGAGATTACACTTTTCTTAATTTCTGACTTATAAGCATTTATAAAGAGTTGGGTAAATGGCCTCACTGCAGTGGTTATTTGGTTTTTAATGTTTCAAGTATAGCCAGATACATTGAAACAAGTATTTCTTGAAAATAAAAAATGAAACTTTGTAATAATATCCATATAGTGGCCAGCTTGTTAGGGATTTCACAGCTGACAGCTGTGTAAAATGACACTGACAAGAGAACAACTATCAAGGCAACATTTGAGAGAGTAAAGTTGTGTTTCCACAGAAAAATGACAATTGAAGGAGACTTCAAACTTGACATGCACCTTTGTTCATGTTTGTTAATTAAGAACCTTTGTCACATGTTAGTGCACATGTAATTCTGACATACAGAACACAGAGTTCATATTTCTGCTATAAATCATATCTTTCTAACGCTGTTACTTGATAAGGAATCCCTTAAGTATCAAGAAAGTCAACAGTGTAATGACAGTACTGATAGTTTAAACAAATGGCCACAAGTCAGACTTTTTGATTACATGCTGATCACCTACAGACCCCCTGTTTAAAAGTTGTTCTAATCTTCGATGTCCATTTAACGATCCTAGCCATGTGCTGAGATCTGATTGGTACGTCCCAGATTGTACAACAACAAAATATCAATATCAACAACAAACATGTGTAACAAATTTCAGTTTGTTCATTATTTCGCTGGGGGGAAAGGGATTTAAATTAATATACTGAAACAGAAAACACACAAAAAGCATGAAACTGTATAAAAATCTTTCTGTCAAAGGTTTTTGATAATATTACTGTCGCGTGTATGTACAGTTTGTGCGTGACCACACACACACGCGCTCAGTGAGTACGTTGGAACGTGATGACGTCGCATGTCTGTAGGTCGACGCAGGGTTAGTGGAGTTGTTTGGGCTGTGAGAGGAGAGATCCGTAGCTGGCAGTGCTGGGAGGGTTTCAATTGATGTTGTTGCTTCTGGGCCGCACGATTCCGTTGTCATTCGCCCAGAGTCACTACTTGCTGCCAATCCTCACTGTCGAGGCTCGTTGTAGCCAGATCCGTGTTAATAAAACTCAGAGCGATAGCCAGCATTACACACAGCACCGTCTTCGTGAGCTCAAGCAACCAAAATATAGGAACCATGCCCGAAAGGAGGCCCTTCGTACGGCTACCTACTGACGTTTACCCCGTCAACTATGGTTTGTCTTTGAAGCCTGACCTGATCGACTTCACGTTTGAAGGCAAGCTGGAGGCTTTGGTGGAGGTATGTTGACCACGACACCCCCGTAGATACACAAATGGATTTATCTGTGCATGGCGGGGATCTCGTTATGTAATCTGACCAGCTAACGTTACCAGTTGCTAGCTAATTACGACAAATTGTTAGCCACTAGCCCACTAGCTGTCATTATTGCACGCGTTAGCTAATGTAAGCTGCAACGTGTTAAATGTTCTGACGGGCTCAATTTGTCCGAATTAAACCAGTGGATGAAAAAGAAACAACCACGTTATGTTTCTGTGACTAACAGTAAGCTGATCCGGACTAGCTAGCACAACAGTCCCGTGCCGCAGAGTTGCACTCTCATGTTAGCCTAGCTACCTGTTAGCCATCTGCCAGTGGCAGGCAGTGCGCTAAGTTGAGGAGCTTGGTGGATACCAGCGACGGTAACCTCTCGTAGTAACATCCCATTGCTTTTGAAGATGATACTTAATAATTGGCGATTCGCGAATTTGGTAGAGCGCTATCTAGCACCCAGCCAATACTCACTAGTGTTTGCTAAATCATGGCAACATCGTGTAGCCCCCTCCCACCCCAGTCCCACTAATACGGTTGAACTAGGTGAAGTTGTACATTAACACAAACCGTGAGGACAGTAAAATGACAAAGTTTTAAAAGTCCTTTCGGTACGTTTGCTACTGTATCTTGTGCTCACTTGTATCTATCGATAAAATGGCTGTACTTTGTAGACTGGATACTATGTAGGACGGAAAAAGCGACTCTGTTTGTTTAACTTGTGTATAAATGGTCCCATTGTCCAGACACCTGTTGGTTGAGTGTGCTAACACCTGCGCCTGGTTGTAAACAGTTACTTAACGCACATTTTCACAGCAATCAAGTCAGATCACAGACGCTGTCTAAACATGCACCATTTCCAAGATTAACCTTATATGCTTTATGATATGCTTACACCACTAATGGTAGTGTAAAGTGCTTCATTGTCAGGAAGAGTCATCTGTTAAAAAGATTAACAAGACACTGGCAAACCTTTGGTACAAAAGGGAACCTGGAAAAACAACACAACAAATGTTTACATGACGTAATAGCCAACCACTAATTGTGCGCAAATTCTATAAGGTGTTGTTGCAAAAGCGAAGCACAGGTACAGTTTTTTCCATGAAGAATCCTGGACAACTTGGGTTTTTATGCAAACTGATTAACTGTGACATGGTTTGCCCATTAAAATTAGACTCCAAATGCCTTTAAAGAGTTTGCTTTTTTTTAATTGGTAAAATGACCAGTTCAGATTTGGTAGACAAACAAACTTGTACACAAGTACTGTATACTCTCAGCTTCCATGTATCTTCAATAACATTGCCACAAACTGTGAATGTTTGTGGTTTTCCCTCTATGTTGGGGATTAACGTCTGCTTTTTGCACACAACTCAGAGTCCCCTAGTTGTGTTTTTGTTTTCATTTCCCTTCACTAACTATTGTTTCCCTTCAACGCTGTATTTTTTATCTGTACATTAGATTTGCTGTGTTTGCAATCTAAACAGGTTCAATTTGAATTCACAATCACTGGTACGGTTTGGTCCATTGATGTAGTTCCAAAATTAAACTTGAACTCTTCCTGATACTTGGATGCAGCTGCTGTGATTTACTGAAAATGTAGAAATTAAGGCACAGCAAAGAGTCTAAGTTGACGTGTTTTATGTCAATATTTACAGGTTACACAAGCTACAAATCAGATTGTGATGAACTGTGCTGACATCGACATCATCACAGCTTCCTTTGTACCACAGGGAGGAGAAGGTGGGGGTCAGACTCAGGGAAACCTTGTTTTTGCTTTTATAAATGGCATTGTTGTGAATAGCATTGTCACTTCTAGCCATCTTATTTGATTTCAGGATTGAAAATTCTTAATAGCATCATTCCCCAAAGCCAACAGCGTGAGTTCTCAACATGTTCTGATCTTCTTTTTAAAATTTGTCCCTTTTAGAAATTAATGCGACGGGATTTAACTACCAAAATGAGGATGAGAAAGTCACCCTTTCATTCCCTAGTGCTCTACAGAAAGGTAAGAAGAGACTGTTGGCTGTCCCTGCTTCTGAAGCAACCGTCTGTATGACTGTTAAGAACAACAAGGACGATCATGCAGATGATCATTACTGTTATTATTCACCTCCCCTGTGGTGATGGCTGTACAAACAGTGTGTCTCTCTCTGTGCACGTCACCCCAGGCTTCGGCACATTGAAGATCGACTTTGTCGGGGAGCTGAACGACAAAATGAAAGGATTCTATCGAAGTAAATATACATCTCCTACTGGAGAGATTCGCTATGCTGCTGTCACACAGTTTGAGGTGAGTGAGTGGCCTCAATGAAAAATACTTGAAGTTGTGTGTATTGCTTAACACTTTAGTTGCCTGTGTTGCAAAACAGAGGCATGCAAGTCATGTGGCTGTTTTTGCTATTCAGAGTGGTCTCTCACAGTTTGTTCTATTTGATACGCTCTAGTTTTGCTTGTCAGAAGTTGGCCAATTAAGCACAGACACTGACCAGGACACCTTTATCAGAACCTACTGTGCAGGAAATCAGGCTGTAATTTACATGCAGGCTTTTCTTCTGCAGCGGGTGCAGCTTGAGGATAAAGAGGATCTTTCTTTATACGGATGCATTTTGGCAGATTGTTTCTTTTTCACCTCAAAGTAAATGCTGTAAAAATGTCCTATACACTCAAAGTATGTTGTGCGTGCCAAGTTTTTCTGTATTTGCTTGTGATAATTTCTGCTAAACACAGTCACTGATCGAGTGAGACAACTATCGAAAAGCTCACTCAAGTGTGCTTTTCCTTGTTCTCATGTTGGGCTTAAGATTTTTCAGGAAGCAGTTCTTGCACCACTTACAGTAACTTAACAAGTTGTCATCAACTCTATTTTCTTCACTTCACATAACTCTCACCTGTTCCTCTGCATGTGAGTTCGTGAGGAGCTACACTCACAATTAAAGAGAAAGAAAAAGCTGAAAAAGTGAAAATTTTCACCCTCGGCTGAAGTGAAACAAGTGCAAAAAAAATCTATGCAGATCTAATTTCCTATTATTCAGCGTACCTATCTTGCTTCTGTTTGGATTTATTTTCAAAGAAATACTTATAGTGTATACGATATGCTTTAAGAAGATGGGATAGCTTAAGTAAAGGCCAGGGTCTCATTTGTGATTAAAATGATGACTCCAGTCAGCTGTTCACAAAAAGGGAGCAGTGAAAGTTGAGCTTGAGAGCGAAGTTCGACCACACTCGCTCAAATGCATCCATGCTTGTATACTTACGTCAGTCACTCCAACTGGCCAAGCTTGTTGGTTTGGGAAACATAGAACTGTCATTTATCTAAAAGAAGCATATGCCATAGGTATGTTTCTGTACATCAGGAAACAGGTTACATGACCACGCCAAAAATGTTCAGTTGAATTGTTTCCTGCTAAAAATAAGTGTAGGACTGTCACTCTGCAAAAATGAAGGCGTGTATAGATAATTATGTATGTTGGTTCAAGTTTCTATTTGTGACAGTTACTGGTAAACTTAATGTAAACATTAAGTGAAGTGAAGTCTGTTGCAGCTGGTGTCACACAAAAAGACCAGAAGGTGGAATATGAGAGGCTGTGTGTGATCTGAAGGTAAACACAGCCTGGCCTCGTCTGGACCCAACACCTCGTCTCACAATCTGTCCTTTTCCCCTCTGCCCCTCACACCCCTGTTTCTCCAGGCCACGGATGCTCGCAGAGCTTTCCCCTGTTGGGATGAGCCAGCTATCAAAGCCACCTTTGACATCACTTTGATAGTTCCCAAGGACCGAGTAGCCTTGTCAAATATGGTACGTGTCATATGTCCACTCCTCCCTCCGAGGAAGTGACGACCCCACAGTGACCAAGTCACTCTCTGCTGCCAGGGTTCCTTTATGCATGTCTGTGTTTTCCCTCCTTTCTTTTCCCTCTCTTTTTTCTGTGTAGCTTACATAACAGAGGGCAGACAGTCACTGTGTACTCTTCCTCTGGCTAAATATGAACAGCTCTGTGTGAAGTCTAACTACTGTATACATACAGTTTTGTCACTATAAGGAAATTTTAGTAAGTATCATGTGTTTATTTTGTATACTGTTTTCTGCTATTTTAACTGATCGACTTTACAGCCTAAATGAATCAGACAGCATCATCTGGCTCTGATTATTTCAAACGCAGCGCCCCTCCAGGCTGACGCGGTCCATCTGGGCAGTGACCGTGAAGTTAAATTTGGCTCTTTCTGACAATTTAATACGAATGACATTAATGCACTCTTTCTTTAATAATGACATTTTTATGGCTTCTTTTAGTAGAAAGGATAAAAAATAGTTGTAAATAAATGGAAAGAAAAAGAAAGACAACTGTAATCATAGGACCCCGGATAATGGTATTAATTGAAAGACTAAAACTGTCATGCAATTATGAACTGCGCACAGACATGGGCTACTCCATCTCGGGACCTTTTTGTGTTACATGCCTGCTGCAGTTTATTTTCTGCTTTGACCTCTAAAGTTGTGAGAACAATGTTATTTCTGCAGTCGCTGTCAACTCTTTCAAAATGTGTCCTACTCAGTATTTATTTAAGACGATCGTTTATTTGTGAACTTGGCAATAGAGCAGAATAGAACAGATTAGAATAACCCTTTTTGTAGAGTGTTAGGGTTACTTTTGGGATAAACCAAAGGGTTTTGATTTATACAGTCAGTTACTCGTTGCTTCTATATTTTGTCAATCAGCTGGTTAAACGGAGTCATTTTCAGTACACACTTCAGCCATATTCACTTCTGAGAATATTTAGTTTTTTAATTTTGCATCGATCTTCTCTCCAGAATGTCATTGATCGAAAGCCACACCCAGATGATGAAAACCTTGTCGAAGTCAAGTTTGCCACCACGCCCATCATGTCCACATACCTTGTAGCTTTTGTCATTGGTGAATATGACTATGTGGAAAGCCAGTCATCAGATGGTGTAATGGTACGCGTCTATACACCGGTTGGAAAGGCTGAACAAGGGAAATTTGCCCTGGAGGTAAGGCTGTTGTTGAAACATACCACATTTACAGAGCTGAACCCAACCTGTCGCTTTATTCACTGCATAATTTCTTTACCTTGAAGTAAAAAGTTTGTCCGTAAGCAGAATGAGAAAACAGACAAATTAACCAGCGTTTATATGACGTGGATCTGCTGGATGGTTACTGACACAGAATCAAACACAAGTGCTTTTCCTTTTTATTTTCTTTTATCTTTTTATTGCAGGTTGCAACTAAGACCTTACCTTTCTACAATGACTACTTCAGCGTTCCTTATCCGCTGCCTAAAATTGATCTCATAGCTATTGCTGATTTCGCTGCTGGTGAGTAGCTCTAGGTTCTTACATGTGGAAGTTTGGAAATGGTTAAAGTCGAACTGAAACACTTTCTTCTTCCTCCCATTCAGGTGCCATGGAGAACTGGGGCCTTGTTACCTACAGGTAAGCTTTACAAAACACAATAAGATATTTTAACTTGGCTAAATTCAGAGTGAGTGTGTCCATAGTATTTATAATGAATAGGCATGTAATAATAGCATAACTACAAGCAGATAAAGTCTGTTTCCACCCAGGATATAATTTCTAGAGGCTGTGGCTCAGATGGGAGATTTTCCATCTCTCTGTTTTCTGTCATTGTAAATGTAATGTCTTTGGGTCTTGGGCTGTTAATTAGAATAAACAAGCACTTTGAAAATGTTTCTGTGAAGTCTATGAAATTGTGGTTTGCAGCCTGCTCTGACATTTATAAACTATGTGATTAAACATGAGTGTAATCAGGCTTTAACAGTTGTTAGACTCATTTTTCTTTATGGATGACGGCCCTAATGGCTTTTTAATTGCTTTGTGCTTAGCTGAATGTGCCACCACCTGTTAGGTATTCAGCTGCTATCTGATTTGCACAGAGCCGCATTCATCTAGCATCCTCAAATAGATTGAAGTGCCTTGATAAACTGCACAGAAGGCGATGGGACTGTAGACAGATGAGCGAGGGCAAAGGTTGCAGACGAATCGTCGACCTTCAGCCGTCTTTGTATTAACCTCGAGTTTCTGCTGTTTTCAGGGAGACGGCATTGCTCATTGACCCGAAGAACTCCTGCTCATCCTCCAGGCAGTGGGTGGCACTGGTGGTTGGACATGAACTTGCCCACCAGTGGTTTGGAAATTTGGTCACCATGGTAAAAAAAAAAGCTATAAACTGACACCAGTTACACACACGCAGAACAGAAAATTATGTATTCCTGTTAAAAGCGTAACAAATGTAGTAATAACAAAACAAAAACACGAACTGTTTTATAAACTAAGTTGAAGAAGACAAAATGTAAATCTCTGGAGAAATCAGTCAATCTTATTTATTTGGTCTTAATCTCTAAACTGTCCTCAGGTGTTTGGTTACACAGTCCTTCAATTCACGGCATTAAGAAAATGTCTCGACGCTGCACTCTCCATAAGAATGTGAAACTCATATCAAGTATTTGATTTGTATCTCAAGATATTAGAAAAAGTAGTGCCTGACTTATTTTTTTGTCATGCTCTTTATGCATACTGTATAAATAGATATGCATATGACTTAAAATATCTGTATATGTAATGTGTTTATAATACATTAAGTCATTTTTACACCATTATATAATATTATCATTTATTTTTCTCATATCTTTATTGTAATTTTCTTTTATACAACAGAAAGCAGATATTTAATGAACATAGCTGTCACAATGATACAAAAAAATCTTGCAAGTAATAGGGACAGGATTCCCCCTTTTTTCATGAATAACCTCCGCCTCCACTCCGTATGTTCATCTATGGCTTCCAGATATTCAGAAAGTCCCGTTGTTTGCCCTTGGCAGTGTATATTAGTATGTGGTACTGAATCCAATACATATCCTATGTTTTAGAAAGTGACTGCTGTGTGAACGGTCAGGTCGCATTAAATCCGTCTTTTACGTCACTGACACAAGACAGACGCTAATTATCAGCGCCAGAGAAGCGCCGGAGAAGACATGGTGAACGCTTCCTGGCCATCCAGTGTAGATGTCAGTGAAACTGTTGGGAAGACAACGTTGGAGAAACGTGAACATTTTCTTTGTACTGTATAATCTGCAGATTCTGACAGAAATCTGCAGCTATCCTTTGAAGCAGCGCTCCTCTAAAACAGTAATAAGGATCATTATTAGGTTATTTACATTATTATGTAAATAACAAAATAACTTAAAGCAAAATTGGGAAACATGAAGTCTGAAGTCTTTATATTAAGGGCCATCAGTCAAACAATACTGTTGCTCTGGGTCTAAACAGAGCGCGTTGTGTGTGACGTCTTCTTTTGCGCATGCGGGCGCTTTGAGCGTTCACACTAGAGCGCGTTTGCTGTCACATTTTATTTGTAGTGTGAACAAGCAGACAAAAAAATCGGATTTGATCAAAAAATCTGAATTGAGCATTAAGACCTGCAGTGTGAACGTAGCCTTACTCTTTCCAAGCCTGGAGAATCTGGAATTTCCTTCTTTCAGAGTCCCATGGAAGGTGCATCCATACTCCAACATAGTGCATTGGCTTTTCTGGCTTGAAGTAGTCCACAGTCTAGTAATTTGGTCTGCTTCTTTTATTGAGCTACGTACTACCCTGCTTGAGCTCTTCTTGTTACAGGTTGTGGTTATCTTCATTTTTACCTGCTCTAACGAAGGAATTTCCTATGATTGGTGGATAAATTGATAGATATCCAAACGTATGTTAGCCTTTAATGTAGGTAATGTAGCTTTGGGGTGCAGTTTGAAGATGATCGTTTTTAACTAGAGTTGCAACGATGTGAAGGAACTTTGTCCATAATGGGAAACAAACGAGTAAATGTTTCCTTTTTTACCTTTGGGAAACTCGTCGTGCTTCAGGAACGACTGTAATTTGTTTGGTTGTGCTCCGTTAGTTTTGAAGGACTTGGAGGACGGTCTCGTCTTAGTGCCTGTCTGTGTTTGTGTGCAGGAATGGTGGACCCATCTGTGGCTCAATGAGGGGTTTGCATCCTGGATTGAGTATCTGTGTGTGGACCACTGCTTCCCAGAATATGACATCTGGACTCAGTTTGTCTCGGCCGACTACACCCGCGCTCTGGATCTGGACGCGCTGGACAGCAGCCATCCCATAGAGGTGAGCTTTGAAATCCAAGATGTATGCAGGGAGTCACTTAAAAAACTTTTTGTCTCTTTGGAGGAAAAAAGTGATTTTATTGATACCATATCGCTAGGGTGTAAGCCCACCTTAACATCTGGATTTCACATTCACAACTCACATAATCTTTTCCAGGGCTCTAGACGAACTTTTTGCCATGGGCGTACCGGTACGCCTAACTTTAAGAAGTTAGGCGTACCGGCACAAAAGTTAGGCGCACACAAATTTTATAATAATTGATATAATATAATGTGTTTTCTGGATACACTGTGCTTTTTCAGCATTCAAAGATTGATGCCACCGTGTCAGAGCACTGGCTATGAATTTCAGAAGGATCAGGCCTTAACAGAAAAGTGAGCAATAGTTCTTTTCCTATTACAGCTACATCCACGTCTGTGGTGCCTAGGCTGCTCACTAGGGCTGCGTATCATCACTGATTTCTATAATCCATTCGATTCTGGTTTTTAAAGTCCCAATTCGATTCAACTTGGCCTCAGACAGTCAGAAATATTATAACTCTGATCATTTACCAGCACTGACTTCATCAGAATTGTGAACATCACAGCAGATGCCTTTGTGTGAAAGTAACTGAGAATAAAACAGAAAAACATGAAGGAGATTTTCCTGGTCTGGCTTTTTATAGCAGATAACCTTAAAAATATTCTACAATGTTCTGCATATAAAGTTTAAATTTCTTCAGTATTGACCAACAGAAAAAACAGGCTTTCTTGTCCGAGGTCATTTAAGTGAAAAAGAAAAAGCGCTGTGAACAGCGGTAGACTGGTGGGTAATAAGCCAATGAATAATACAGAAAACAGAGATTGGAGACGGGAACTGTTCTTGAAGTACAGAGAGAGAGAGCGAGCTAGCTGTGCATGAAGTGTGATTTTAATAGTCGTGGAAGCAAAATTCATGACGACATTGATCAAATGTGAAGCGCAGTTTGCTGCTTCTTTTGCTGCTGGCTCGGTGAATTTTGGTTGGAGAGAGACAAAACCTGCAGCTCAGAATCAGCGCAAAAAGATGTAATCACAGCGCGGACCGGACGCATCAGAATCGCTGAGCTCCGACAGCGTGTCCGTCTGCGGGCCGTCGGGTGAGAAAGCCGAGAAAGACAAAGCTGATTCTGATGCGTCGGTCTGTGTTTACGTCTTTGTGTGGAATCCGTGTACCTGCTCTCATCTGCTGTTTGGTTGTTGAAATGGTTTTGTGAGCGTTAATCTGAGAATCTGGCGTTTCTGGCAAAACACAGTTATATTTAAAAGTCGATTCAGGATTTAATGAATTGATATCGCTTTATTCAAGCTACTCACCTCCCACTTCCACCTGCACTTTCAACTGGACCACGGCCAATCAGAGCGGTCCCGCCCCTTACTATCTCTGATTGGTTTAGTCCACGATAGGGGCAAAATGTGTGTCTGTTGTTGACCACAAGGAAGGTTGCAGATTTTTTTTTTTTTTTTTTTTGCTACCCGAACAGTTGGTCGCACAGGTGCAACCAACTTTTTTTTTTTAGTCGCACCACTGAAAAATTTGGTCGCATTTGCGACCATATTGGTCGCACTCTAGAGCCCTGTTTTCTTAATTACTGAGTGTGTTGAAGGACAGATAAAATTAGATGTATTAAGGTCTGTGTGTGTTGCTGTGTATGGCCTTCTGTCAGCTTTGTAACACCCACTTATGGTTTTGTGTTTTGCTCTCAAGGTGAATGTGGGCCATCCATCAGAGGTCGATGAAATCTTTGATGCCATCTCCTACAGCAAAGGAGCATCTGTGATTCGCATGTTGCACAACTACATCGGAGATGAGGTTTGTTGTCTGATGTGGTATCTGTCGTCGTTTCCAGTCTGATGTTTAATATTTATGAATGTACTTGTCTTTCTCTTTCGTTGAAGGACTTTAGGAAAGGAATGAACGCCTATCTTTTGAAGTTCCAACATAAAAATGCATCAACAGGTGAGCGCACATGCAGGAAATACTTCCCCTTTACGTCAAGTTGTTGTGTGGAGTCACTCTTTTGACTTCTTCCTGTCTCCCACAGAGGACCTATGGGACTGTTTGGAACAGGCCAGTGGGAAACCCATTGCTGCAGTGATGGGCTCATGGACCAAGCAAATGGGCTTCCCCATAATAGCCGTCGACCAGGAACAGGTGAGCTGTCTAATCTGATTGTTTGACTCAGGTCATGCACTTATATTTGTTGAAGTTGATTTTGAAACTGGCCTAAACCAACACAGTGACATGAACACATTCATTCTACACCTACAGTTTTCTAGTTGAGCGTTTGGTTCTTTTCTGCTGTGACATTCATGCGTGCCTTGACTGTGATATTCATGATATTATTTTTAGCAAGGTGATGACTGCGTCCTCAAGATATCGCAGAAGAAGTTCTGTGCCAGTGGACCACATAATGGTGAGTGTTTGTCACGGACATGCAGTGGTTAACAGATTCGGTTAGCAAGCGTAAGGTCACTGGTTCAATTCCAACCCCTTCAGGGTTGTGTCAGGAAGTGTATCTGGCTCAAAAATGTGCTGAATAAGAAAATGTGTAGCTGCCTGTTGTGGGAATCCCTTGTAACAAGGGAACAGCTGAAAGTAGCTAGCTAGCTAAATGTAGACCTAAGGTTGCTTTTTAATGAGCTAAAAAAAGAAAAACACTTTGAATCTAATCCTCCTGTGGTGGCTCCATCATTTGTCTGCTGAACAGAAGAAAACTGCCCCAGCTGGATGGTCCCCATTAGTATTTGTACCAGTGAGGACCCCAAATGCACCAAGCTCAAGGTTCTGCTGGACAGACAGGAGACCACCATCACTCTGAATAGTGTTGGCCCAGACCAGTGGATCAAGGTGAGGTCCCTAAGCAATAATATCCTGCACTGAAAATGATGCCACCACCAAAACGGTAAAATACTTCAGCCAAAAAGTTACAACCCCAGATTTTGCAGCAGATGATACATGTTTACAGCCATGTGCAAAAAATCAGATTGGACCTCTGCCGGTTTCAGTCTTCATGACAAGTGTACAGGGGTTACCCTGCATTTTAGCTTCAATAACGCTTCAAAATAGGGGTGTGGCTACTTTGGCTAGCACATGGATCCTGACACAGTCTGCTAGATTTCTTTGGTAATTTAAGTTTTGTGGTGTTGGTATCATTTTAAGCATTTTAATGACAAATTCTATGATATACTCTGGGGTTGTTGTACTAATGGCCCATCTAAAAGTCTAATATTTTATCTTTACATAACCTTCTGTATACATATATAAAGATATCTGAAGCAGTAGTATTAATTTTCCTGTAGGCCAGAGTGCATTCCAAGATATGCGTAGTAAGACCTGAGTGAAGATGTCATTTGCGTTGTTTGTAAATTGCTCGATTGTGTCATTTCGACCCTTGCAACAGCTGCAGACTGAGTTTAAGAATTAATGAGAGAAGATGCGTCAGTCTGTCGTCTTTTCATTAAAAGTAACTTTTAAAGTTGAAATAAAGTTAACAGACTGAGCTCCTTATTGTCAGCTGGAAGGACGAGCTGTAAGCATCACAGAGTCAAATAACCCAGTTCACTCTCAAAGGAACAGGTTAAGCAGCTATATTTATTCTTTTGTGTGGTCATTAAAATAATGACCACGGTGTAAATTGGCAAGGACAACGATGGACTTGTTCAGCTGCTTATAAATGTGACTTGCAAATTAACAGTTCCTCGGGAAGTAAGCATGGTAAATGCTTTTAAATGGGTCAGTGCTTCACAGCTGATGCAAACAATATGTTGAAATCCCATTACTGCTAGATCTGACTATAGGTATCCAGTGCAGTTTAGAGTCAGTAGTGGAGAATAGTGATTGGAGGCCTGCTGTTCACTATTGTCTCATTTTTATTCACCTAAGAAATAATTCACTCATCACAGCAAGCTTATTGTTGATTATTCTCTTGATAGTGTGTTATTCTGATAGTGTGTAAGGCTCAGCACTCAGTGTAAAGGGTAAAAATGTTAAGAGCCCAAATTTCCCACAGTCTGACTCAGACTTGTCTTTCTGCTGTTTTCCAGATCAACCCCGGCACTGTGGGCTTCTATCGCATCCAGTACAGCTCGTCCATGCTGGAGAGTTTGCTCCCAGGCATCAGAGACCTCAGCCTGCAGCCTGTGGACCGACTGGGACTGCAGAATGACCTCTTCTCCCTTGTAAGCCACACACACAGCTGGGAAACAAAACAATTAAAGAATAGTATTTCCTTCATTTTGTTCACAGCAGAATGTAATTGGCTGCTTGTGAATGTAGAAAGGAAATCCACTCCCTTCCAGAGTAAACAGCCACCTGATTTACAGTACAAGGGAGCAGGAAGAGTGAAGAGAAAATGTGGGACATGAACGTGGAAAAAAACAGATAGTCAAACAAGTACAACTGTTTCTTATTGGTAGATTTATGTATTACACGATCTGAAATTATAATCAAAGAGTGGACCTGACTAATTGGGAATAATGAGCAGATCTAGCTAATGAAGCTCGTTTTTTCTGCTTTGTGTCTCTTTTTTAAAGCGGCGCATTTATTGTGTCTTTAATCAAGCTCAACAGTTTTCAGCTAGAAAGAGACAAAAGTGTTTTCTAATGACCGGTTTTGTAACACTGTCAACTTCTATTAGCAGCATGTCTCTGTATGCCTCCATCGATATTTAATTTAAAATTGTGAATGGCTTATGATGTATCTTTCTCTTAATTATTGTGAACACTTCTGAACACAATGTTTTTAGAGGTCAGTGACAGAAGCAGATTTTTCCAGAGCTACATGGCCCTCATGTTGAGCTTCTAGACACTAAAGCTGGTAAAAAGTAAATTTGTGATTGACTCTCGGTATCATCACCTTGAAGATAAATATAAATATCTCTGACCCTGGATTTAAATGAATACTGAGCTAATGTGTTGCATTACTGTAAATTTCACCACATTACTGGAAACTAATCAGTTTATGTTGCACTAAACCTAGTGCCTAGTACAGTATTTCCTACAACCTTTGAATAACATAATTAAACTTGAATTTGTTTGCGAGACATTTGACAAAAGCGTAACTTGAGCAGCACCGCATGTTTAAAAACTGCAAAATGCACAAAGGTCGACAGATCGTCACTTCCCGAGCAGTCCTTACTTTGAATAACATTACAGCCTCCTGGTTTTTAAACATCTTTCTCCACCTCTGAGTCCCACGTTACCATTTTTCTCTCTTTGGGAAATCCAGCAGCTATACATTTGGCTAGCAGATTCCTTTTTTGGCAACTTGCATAGAAACATTGTCTGTTTGGTATTTGTTGAGCAAAATGAAATGACCTGCTATCTAAGATATTATTCTGTTTGTGCTCACGAAAAGTGCTTTTTAGATGGATCAGCTCACAGAGATGTGTTGAAGCTATAAGCTGGCCTTGGGATGTCATTACTTTCCTATTACTGAGCCAGTATCACCATGTTGTTACTGGGAGCAACACCAGGCTGCAAAATGAACTCTTTGATAGTAATATACATTAATCTGGCTATGAGATCTAAATAGTCATTACTGAAGGTGCTGGAACCTGGTTCCAGATTCTTCTGGCCCACTTTAACTCCCAGCTGTCACATTTTATGTGATTTGATTCCAAGCTGACTTGGTTTTGTTGTAACAAGTTAAACGCACTGGCAAACTCTTCATTCGTCCTCTGCTTCCTTCCCACTGGCTCAACACAAAGTGGTTTTGGATTCATATCAGACCTTTATGCTTCCTTCTTTACTCCTACACAATCTGCAGCTTTATCAAAGGATTGGAATTTTCCTGAACTTTATTGCAGGCAAATTAGATGTTGACACTGTGTGATAGGAGTAATGTTCACAAGATCAAACGGCGGCTAATCATAAATCTGTTCAGTTGTTCTGCTTTGAAAGCGAACAACTCAACAGGTTTTGTGCGTCTTCATTAAACTAAAACTTATTGTTTTGCACGTTAAAAACAAGCTCATGTGGACGTGATGGCCATATGGTGACAAAAAGTGCTCGTTTGTTCATATCTCTTCTCTTTTTGGAAACATATTCTAACCCTGAGCTCAAACATGTCACACACAGTCACTTTACTGGAAAAGCATTTCTTCTGACCCTGAGGCAGTTCAGGAAATGGATCCACGTTTCTTAGAAAAAAATCCATTCTTCGTTTTCTATGAAATGCTTTATTGTTAGTGTTAGTACCATTGTTGCACAGCTTTTCCTTTGCACCTGCAGTTTGAGACTTCAAATGTGGTTATAAAGTTAATTTTCGTACAGAAACCTTTCACCTTGAAAAACTATAACATCCACCATGAAGCACAAGGCTTTCATCCTGCCGGGATGTTTTCGTTTCTAATTGATTTGTGGCCTCAGTCTCGTGCAGGGATGATCAGCACAGTGGAGGTGCTGAAGCTGATGGAAGCCTTTGTCAATGAGCCCAACTACACAGTGTGGAGTGACCTGAGCTGCAACCTGGGAGTGTTGTCTTCTCTGCTGTCCCACACCGACTTCCACGAGGAAATCCAGGAGTTCATCCGGGACCTCTTTACTCCCATTGGCCTCAAGCTCGGCTGGGACAGTAAACCGGGGGAAGGTGAGAAGGCGTTGTAGAGAGATTGCATTCAAGGTGTTCACATCTTCCTTAGAGCCGCTCCATTCCTTTCTTGTTATTAATATTAAAATTGAGAGTAGTCTTGTGCAGGAGGAATGTAGAGAGTAGGAAAGTAAAATATTTGACCTTTATTTTCAAACTTGAAAATGTTTTGGTACAAAATAGCAGTAGAAAAAAAAGCTTTTCTTTTTTTTAGGCCATGAGAGAAGCTACCCTGTTATCAGATGAGCTTTTCGGTTACTTGAACTGAACCATATATAACTCGGAACTGTTTGTTTCCACTGTTTCTGCTTTGGAGACAGGTCGGATAAGATGACTGACTGAAATTAGTGTGAAAAAGCTCTGTCCATGAGTAATGGAGTAACCTAAGGGCTATTTTTGTGTGCTACAGGTCACCTGGATGCTCTGTTGAGAAGCCTGGTTCTGGGGAAACTGGGTAAGGCAGGACACAAACCCACACTGGAAGAGGCCCGGCGGAGATTCAAGGATCACGTGGATGGCAAGCAGGTTTTACCTGCGGACCTGAGAAGTCCGGTAAGCTGAGCTTGTGCAGGCACTTTGGCAACGAACAGTGTCAGATGGTATTCACACTGATCAGTATGTTTTGCTTCAATTTGCTAAAAAATAAATCAGATTAATAAAACAAAAAAGTTCAGATTTTAAAATGTGGACATTAGGCTGCAGTCGGGTCTTGCTTGAGCTGAAGATCTTCTTCCACCATTATTTTTTCTTTTTTTAGTATGTTAGGCTTGTTTACTCAGTGAAATAGCCTGCGGACACACACTATGTAAGTCTGTAGTAGTTGGCAGTTCCAGTCAGTCATTTGCACACTGACTGTGGCAAGAACTAGTGAAAAACCCCAAATCTATCTATAAATGAGCCTTCCTCTGTTTTTGTAGTTCATATGTTGTGCTTATATCTAACTCCATATTATGCTGACTCTACTAGAATAACTATTTGACAGTTCAACTTTGAGCCTTATTTATCTCATACTGAGCGTTGGTGCGGCCCCTCAGAGCTCTATATTATGAAGGAAACTCAACACAGATGCGCTGTCTTTGAGCGAGTGAGCTCGACAAAACCTAAAACCCATTTGGAGATGATGGTTATAAACAAGCTGTTAAGAAGAGCTTCATAATTCAGGCTCTCTGCGCCTCGTATTAAAAGGGGCTTTTGTTATTTTAAAGTCTGTAACTCTGGAAATCTCTTTAGCTTGGTATGGCTTAACAACTTGGGCAAATAAAAGGTATCCCCCAGCAGAGAAGCTATATGCTACTTAGACATGCATATATTACATTTTTGAAACACATGTTTTTATACTTTATGTTAATCTGCTGCTGTCTCTTACACATTAGGCATTATAGCAGAACATACACAGAGAAAACTGTCAACCAATAAAATAAATGTACTTGAAACATGCTGTAAATCAAAGAATTAGTGAAACTGGGCTCTTCCAGCCAACTTTGAACTGAAACTCTGAACATAACTTGCTCCTAACAAGGTTACATGTTCAGCATAAGTTACCATGAGGATTTAACCAGGTAAAAACAGAGCCGCTCTCCTCACACAGACAACTGGCTTTAATCTGGTTTTATAGTGCACTCCCCAGCATGTCAGCATGAAACGAGCAGTCTTAATTTTAGTCCACAGTGCTCATGATGACCTTTTATTAGCAACGTCTATTCTCTGTGACATCATACAGAGCCAACGGTATTTAAAAAAAACGCTGTTTGTCGTGAGCATGCACTGTACATATAAAGCATCTTACAGTACAGGAGGTGTGTTCTGTAAGGAGAGGAAAACGGTATGTTTGACCTCCAAGACGACGCCACTGTCACTGGCGAGGTTTGATTGTGAAGATTTGGGTAGAATTTCAATAAAGTGCTGGTCACATGACCTTAGGTCACCTGATCTTTGGTAAAAACGTCACTTTATAAGGGGTAAGATTGTAGGTGCTTATCTCAGACGGGATCAGAAGCTTTCATTTGATTGAAAGTGATTAGAAGATACATGCCGATGGGAAAAAACCTTGAAGGCCCAACAAAATACAGTATAGCAGCATCACCATACTACAGTGTAATTCAGTTAAACGTTATTAAAGAATAATGTCGAAGCATCTTTTTGCCCACAGGTGTATCTAACAGTATTGAAGCATGGAGATAGTGCTACACTGGACACGATGCTGAAGGTAAAACTACATCATGTCTCCATCTTACACTGTGAAGCTTTGAGTGACGTACTCTGTGTCATTTAGCACCAATAATTCCAAAGGAGTTGGATCTGAGTGACTGTAGTTGGGTACTCACGGTCACATTGTGTCTTTGTCACTACTCCCTCAGCTCCACAAGCAAGCAGACATGCAAGAGGAGAAGAATCGAATCGAGCGAGTTCTCGGAGCCATCTCTGCCCCTGATCTCATCCAGAAAGTGCTCAACTTTGCCCTCTCGGTACATAAGACCGTTTAATTGCCGGCTCTCAAGCGTAGTTTTATTTCTCAGGATACAGGAAAAGAAAGGAATGGCGTTTACTTGCAATCATGGTCAAATAAAAAGACCCAGGGGTGTTTTTATTCTGCAAGCTTTTTCGTATGTAACCCTGAGTCGTGTTTTTAGTGTGACTCAACTTATAGATTAGAGTGAGTAAAATTTGGAGTATTGGCTTTAGAAAAGTGTTGCATTTGGCTTTAAGTCCCTGTCAGTGCTGAAGTTACTGTCAGCTCAAAACTAAAGGACGTTACAATTAAAGCTGCTTTACATGAAAACTGACGGTGGACCGATAAAATTGGATGTTGTGCTTTCTTGTTACAGCTTTAAAGGAGTTGTAGAAAAGTCTGATGATTCTCCAGCTGCAGTGTGATGGAGGCCAACAGGGCTTCTGTCAAATACCACAGCAGCTAATTTAGTTCTCTCTGCATGTTCCCGTCCCAACAGGAAGACGTTCGTCCCCAGGACACGGTTTCAGTAATCGGGGGAGTGGCAGGAAGCAGTAAACAAGGACGGAAAGCTGCCTGGAAGTTTGTCAAGGATAACTGGGAGGAACTTTATAACCGCTACCAGGGAGGATTTCTCATATCAAGGCTTATCAAGGTAGAGAAAGGGCCTGAGGTTTACAGTTTCCTGAGGTTTTCTGGTTATTTCACTGTAAAATACACACACACGCGTGTCTATGCTTTTATGTTTTATTTCATAACTTGGAGTTTGTGTTCGGTCAGGCTACAAATATTTGAATCAGAATCAAAATGTCTTTATTGTCATTGTCACAGGTACAACAAAATTAAAAATGACATCCGTTTTATTTGTTTGTAGTCTGCTCACGTTTGTCTTATTCGTGTGTCTTTGCAGCTCACAGTCGATGGATTTGCTATTGATAAAATGGCTGTGGAAGTCAAGGTGAGCGCTCCCTCTTGTGGGATTTAATTAAATTATATTAATTTTCCAAGTTAGGAAATGAATGGTACAGGGAATGGTTCTTGTGCATTGCTTTTCTACTCAAAGTGTTTTAGCTGTACTTCTACTGTGTGGTGAAATAAACAAAGAGAAAAAAACCCAACAGGATGGATGATTGGATCCTTGCCGCTGATGACCAATCCAGCGTTTTAGGTTAGACTTTGACCCAAAAAGGCTGATAGGTGATTAAAATATTAAATTCCTGTCCTGAAGTCAGGGTCTGTGGCTCTGAGTATCAGGCAAAAATTCAGATTTTGAGAAAACAGTGAGGGTTACTCCATGTGATATTTCCCACCCCATCATATTTCCATCTAACTTTAACAAACAAAGCATCCTTTGGTGTCTTTGGTAGTTGCTTATTAGTTGCTTATTTGCTCTAAGTGGAATTGTAGTTGAAATCGATGCACGCCCACTTCACTCTGCCAGCTGCTACTTTACTCGTTGCCTGCTTGTCTCTGCCTGTTTGCCCTGAGCAACTTCAACCCTACTGCTACGAATACACAAGCATTTTCCCAGTCCAGATTTCTAAATGAGGAAACTGGAAGTCTTATGGAAAATGTTGGCACATGAGAGAAATGCAGATAGAATTCCAAAAGGAGGTTGTAAAAGTGGTTCATGAAGAAATCGAAACTCCACTTTATATACAATGTTATTCTTTGTAGGAGGTTCTGTTCTGCTTTATTATCTAGATTCTGCAGTGTGATTGTAAATTCAGTTTATTAATCTGATGTGGTGTTATTGTTACTGATATGATGCAACAGGGGGTTTAAGGGTTTCCTTCCTTTCTGTCCCTGCAGAGTTTCTTTGAGAGTCACCCGGCGCCAGCGGCCGAGCGTACCGTGCAGCAGTGCTGTGAGAACATCCTCCTCAATGCCGCCTGGCTTAAGCGTGACGCAGAAGACATCCACCAGTATCTACTCCAGCGCAAAGCACCCCCTGTCTGAACTACCAACCCTGTCGCCCCCACTCCCTACCCCCACCCCCAACTACAGACCAGAACGGGAGACCAGAGGGTACTTTGCAGCAGGCTTCATTTCTCTAAAGAAACTGCAAGAAACAAGAAGACAAAGCCAAGAATTGAACAGTGTGTTGGAAACACAGACTCTTTTTACGTTAACAAGCAAAATTCTGTTTAGACAGACCAGGAATGTAGTTTTATCCCCATTCTGCCCATCAGCAGATGACCCATCTGTTAGTCAGCACGCAAGTTTTAAGTCTCGCAAGCACCTCGACCCTCGAAATGATCGCCAACCCTGCTAACGGTCACATGACCAGCCCGTAAACACCCCTTTATCCACTTTGGCTCGTAGCTGAGAAAACTGTGAACCCTGTCCTCCTCTTTCCTGCTGTCGGCCATTCTGAATGCATGAAGTGTCTGAGGTTTGTTTTTTCTTCTTTTTCCTCCCTGCATTTGCTGCTTTAATTATACCACTTAGTCCTCCTTGCTGTGATACTTTCCCACATCCTTGTTTCTCTCACACGTTCCTCCTGGTCTTCCTTCACTTTTGGGCGCTGTGATTGGGTAAACTAAAAAAACAACCTGGGCAGAATGGGGTTAATAACCATAGTGTGTGTTGTAGTTTCCAACAGCACTGATTCTACATTGCTAATAAATGGTTAGGACGAGGTGAGCAACGCTAGCATGGTACTACATTATAAATTGTATAATGCAAGCATTATTTTATTTTTAAGTTGTTTTGTTTTTGTTGCCAGTATTCCTAGCAAAGAATTAAATGGAAAGGTTCATGGATACCTGTTTCCACTCCCCCAGGAAGAAAAAACAAACAAACCTCAAGCTTGTTTGTGTTGAGCAGAGGTTGTGTAGTTAAAATCATCCAGATTCTTTATCCTTCTCCCACAATGAAATGACGGTCCAGGCGTGTTTTTATAAAAGCGATGCAGTTATATATTTAAATGTTGCGATAATCCTGTTATGTGAGGACAAGGAAAGAAAAAGATCACAACACTACTTACCGGGGCCTTTTCTTTCTGAAGTAAAATCCTGAAACGCCTCTCCGTAGGGTTGAGAATCCAGCAAGACCCAGTTCGGACTTTTGCGGGCACGACACATCGACGTTGACCCTGCCGTCGACCTCGGAAGCCTTAAACCGGTCGACCGGTTTTGCAGTAAATATTCAGCACTGAAGCGGTGATCATAGGGGACTTCCTCATAAACATCAAATGGATCTAATGTGACAGATTACACAGACTTGTTGAACGAGTATATCTATTATAGAATTTACAATTTGATGTGTTTTTTTGGAAACATACCAACGAGTCGTCTAACCTGTTGTCGAGACCCCGCCCCCTCCCTTGGAACATTTGTTGTTTTTTGGGGTTTTTTTGTTTTGTTTTGGGGTTTTTGTTAAAAAATACAGTTGGTGTTCATTAAAGTGGAAAAGGATTATAAAAACTAATGATGTGAAATCAGTACATGTTGAGTTTTATGAGTGAGGGGGTGAGTGTACGTAAGAATATCATTTTTAGCTCGTGCAGCTCCTGTTCCTGTTAACCCTAGCCAGTTTTTTCTTTTCTTTCCTAGTTTGAATTTATAGTATTGTATCAAATCAAACGCACTGAATAATTAATTTCCTTTTTTGAAAAGGGGGCCGTTTAAAAAGGGGACTGCCTGAATGTGTGTGCCTGCTCACAATGTGGCTGAGCATCTTTCTTGAGCACAACTCAAACATGTGTCGCTGAAGTCATTTGTCACAGGAAATTAAAGAGAAAACATATATACAAAAATGAAACATGTCCAGCTTTGGATGATCCAGGGAGCTGTCAGTTCACTGGTAACTCAAGCTGAAATATGAGAATTGCTTTCCAAATTTTACTCAGGTGCTCAGCAATAGATCTGCAAAATCTGAAGCCGGTGGTTTGAACAGATACTTTTCAACTTACGAGTAAGCTTGTTTCTTAGAAGCAAATTACAACCAGACAACGAATGCACACCAACTGCTTAACTCCCTGAAACTAGATTTATTAAAGGTTAATTCTGATAGAAAGTTAAAATCACATTTTGGTTTTTAGTAAAAAATACCTGTGTTCTCTGAACATGCAGATGTTTAAATTACTCTGATTGTAGTTGAACATGAGGAGCAAATGTAAATATACAGTTTATTAAAGTAACTGGTGTCTGTCCATTAAGGACAATGTTCAGGGGCTTTTACAAAAAAAGGCTTTCTGGGAAGCTTATTGTAGTAACATTCATCATTCATCAGCAGAGCTTGGTTATCATCCAGGCACTAGAAACCTAAATGACAAAAGGACGTATGATGGCAAAGCCGCGAGATACAGAGGTAGAGCAATATGGGATAGAGACTAGCAGAGTAGAGCCTATACATAGCTGTTCTACATTTTTATGGCATTTTAAACTATATTAATATTGTCTGCATATTTTAAGCCCTTTGGCATCAAGGTTGAAAGGTTGTACACTATTCAAAAGCACCAGACCTACTGAGTCTCAGTGCAAAGCATTTTAAGTGTCTTCCACTTACCTAGTCATAGGGTGAAAGGCAGGGTACACCCCAGACAAGCTGCAACTGCATCGCAGGGCTGACAGATATTTAACCGCTGGTGCTGATTACTGCACCACTGTACCAGCCTTTTTATTTGCAAATTTATTCTTTCAGTTTTTTTCAGTTTCTTAAATTTCTATACTCTCTGTTTTCCATACTTATGGCTGTGGGTCATTATCCCATATAGCATAAAAGAAATACACCCTATGTGTTTAATATGTTTAAGGAAAAAGAATATATTGCATATGTATAGCCTTAAAGTGACCTAAAGCACTACCTGAAATAAAAATGAGTAATTTAATCTGGCCTCATTATCTGTTTGTCATTCAGCTGAGTCCCAGTTTAAAGAGAAAAAAAAGGTTCGCTGTCTAGGACTAAATCCATGTGTGGAAACGGGCCCATTTTGAACCTGTTCATTTGCCACCTTTTCTAAAAAATACTTGATGGAGCTTTTTTGGCTACTGATGAGCGTCACCTTCACAACGGCCGGTAGGTGGCGTGAGTGCGCGCTTTGCTGTTTGTGTAGCTGAAGGAAAAGGAAATGATGAAGTGAACTTTGCTGCTCAGTTGAAGATGCTGCTCAGGAAATGACAGCTGTGTAAGTAAACTAAGTGCACTGTTAACTGATCCATGAATATCTTTATATTAATCTATTCGTAACTTGATCTTTAGGCATTGAGCTAACCCCCGGCCTCCAGCTTATGTAAACTCCTGAACGTGTTTGGCTAAAGCTAAACAGGCTACGTGCAACGGTAGCTGCGTGATAGCTAGCTGCTTTAAGAACTTGCTAACCTGTTCAGTAAGTCAAGTAGCAATGTGTTTTTGTGGACTGTTTCTGAATGATACAGTTGGAGGTAACTGGCATAGTCTTTAACAGTACGTCTGTTTTCATGAAAACATTTTTACTGCTGGGGTTGTACAGGTTGAAACTGCTATTCTTAGCTGTTAGCGACGTAGCATGCGGCAGGTTCAGCCGTTACAAAAAGCTCTTTGTTTAATTTATCAGACGTATTAATGTCAAAATCCCTGAAACCTTTTAAGGCTGCCCCCTCCCAGTCTTGGTGTTTATTTGTTAATAAAAATGTAGTTAATGGTTAAAGTTGGTTGATTGGTGTCAGAGGTGAAATGGGGAGCAGGTGGTTATTTTTAACCGTGCCGAGAGGCTCTCAATCGAAAACTCTCCGGCTTCTTTAGTCATGTTTCACTGAGCTGTGAGGAGGCGGCAGACGGTTACCGCGTTACTTTCTCCGCATGTTTCTCCCGAGTATATTCAGTTTTTGGCACCAAAACTACAGGCGTCCTTTCTGTTCTGGAAACCAGTTTGTCATGTCTTTTAATGAATGGAAGAACTGAGGTGGGTTGACCGGCATGCTTTGCTGTCGTGTTTTTGTAGTTTTGACTTCTCATTCTATAGTCTTTATTTTTGTTTTATGCGTAGCAATTGTATTTTACGTGTACACTACCTCACATCGGGTGTTAGGTTGTACTTTAATGGATAATTGTTTGTCTTACACATTTTTCCTGAAATCAACAAATCCCCTAAAATGGCAAACATTCCTTAATTAATCTCGCTAACAGCTGTGGATTTATCTTGTCCGTGTATTCGATGAATCTCCTTTAATAGGACAGTGGTGGAATAACAAAGTCAACATTTGCTGTGATGGCTCTGTTACAGCAGGTAACTTATTAACTGTACATAATAAAATGAGATGAAGCAGACTGTGTATTGTTAGATACGCTTCGACGGGCTTTGTAGTGTAGGACTAATTGATTATTTGCTTTGCCTAAAAACAGGTTGGGGTGATGGGATGTCAGTAAGAACCTGCAAAACGTTCATGGCCAGAAACATGTTAATCAATCTACATGTTGTATTAAATGGAAAGTGACTACTGAGTAACATCCTGCTAACAAAATGAGACGTTTCCTGTCAAACAAACCATGTAATGATTAACTTTGACACCCTGCACCACAAGATGGTATTTTTAAAACGTCTGGAAGACAGCTATTTTTTTCCCCATAAGTGCTATTAAAAACCTAAGATTTTAGTCATACCTAACTTATTCTTATAACTCTAACAACTAAAAGAGATGTGAATAACGGTGTACAAGGGTTATCAGAATATGGCTGTTGACTTATTAACTATCAAAAATTTAGATCCTAGCCTTATATTATGTAAAAATACAATGCTTTTGACATATCTTTACTTATTCAAGTGGGACATTTTTGGGGGGCTAAATCAACCTTCCACTTTATTTTGTTTATCCAGTTTGGGGTTGCAGGGGCGGGGGGCTATCCCAATTGTTATGGAGCAAAGCAAAAGGTATACCGTGGACAGGTTGCCAGTCTGTCGAAGGGCCAGCACTTAAGACAATCTGTTAGCCTGACAAGCCTGTCTTTGGACTTTGGGAGGAAGATGGAGCATCCCAGAGAGAACCCATACAGACGCAGGAAGAACATGCAAAAGCCACACAGAACAACCAAGGCAGGATTTTAACTCGGGACATTGTTCCTGTGAGGAGACAGTTCTAACCACTGCATTGCAGCCTGCATTTCATTAACGTTTTCTCTGTTTAATGATTGCTCAGTCCATGCTTTCTTGTCAGCCAAGGTGGTTCCCAAATCCTGCTTCCTGTCTCATTTCAAAAATGGTGTGGCAAAAAGGCAAGATGGCAGCTGGTGGTGTTGAAGCACAGGCCCCGTGCTCTCAGTGTGATGGTTAGCCTAGCGCCTATCCTTGGCTTCACTGACAGTCCTCGGCTATTTTATATGCAAAGAGACGCTTTCCTTGTTGCCCAGGCTTCAAACATTATGGGATTGCGGGAAAACAACTTTCCAATATCTCTCCCTGAAACTGAAATATTGGTGTGTTTGCAATGTAGGCAGTTTTGGGGTGCTTCTTTATTATTTTGGTGCTTATTTGGACTTTTTTTTTTTAGTACTGTGGGCTTCCCATTGTAATACACATTAAATTGACAAGCACGGAGTGCGTGAGTTCCCTTCAGGAGTGTGCTTGACCTTTCCACTTAGAGTTTGAGATAACTGGGTTCAAGGGGTATTGAGTTAGTGAATTCCTGAATCCAGATGGGGGTTTGACCCAGTAACCATGTTTTATTTTGTTGCCAGAGAACACTCTGGCTTGCAAGCCAAGTAAAGAACAAAAAACCTGAATCCTGGGCAGTCCCCTACAACTTCACCACTGTACCACCTTTGGCTGATTTAGCTGTAAAGGCAGCTTTCATCATGGCGGAGAAATGACTGTAACTAAACATCCCATTGTGCCAGCAGTTGTCGTATTCAGGCTTTTGAAGCAGGCAGTTTTCTGTGTGGTAAACTTATTACAGAACTGCAATCATGTGTTTTACTTGACTAAATTGTGTGATGGATACAACTTTTCTGTTTTGGGCTTTATATGTATGTGTGTGTGAGAAGCCTTACTTGACACTGACTTGCAGACACTGTGATTCTACATATTATGTATGTTTTTCTCTTTTTTGAATTTCGTGACTCAGGCAGCTGTCTAAATGGTACACATCTCCAGCTTATGCGTCCACTTTTTGCTTCCCTATCCTTTCAAAACTAACTAATGGGGGCTCTCTTTTATGATACTTTGTGGTCTCACTTCCCCCTCCCCATTTTGCTAATGGGTAAATCAGTTAACCCATGCATAAAGCACTGTTGATCTCTTCCCGCTGAGCCTACATTAAAACTGCCTTTATTCAGTCAGTTTCTGCTGCCTGCCTATTGAAGACGGTTTGTATAGCTCCTCTCTGTTCAGCTCCCCTCTGCTGCTGATTTACAAACAGCTGGCTGTGACAGCAGTTGGAGTTGGTTGTACTGACTTCTGTAGTTCTGAGCAGCAGTTTAGCCTTTGCCTCTGTTTAAATGTAGCCTCCTGATCTGTGTGGTGTTCATTTTTTTTCAGGCTGTCTGATGACTGACTGACAGATGCCTTCACCATGAAGCTGAGTTGCAGCGCGCTGGTCGTCGCCCTCCTGCTGTCCCAGGCCAGAAGCTTCCTGAGCCCCTCAGAGGATGACAGCTTCCCTGAAGAATGGGTGCTGCTCCATGTGGTTCAGGGCCACATTGGGGCCGGAAACTACAGCTACCTACGCCTCAACCACGACGGCAGAATCATCCTCCACATGCAAAGCCTCAAGGGAGACGCAGACCTGTACGTGTCAGATAAAACCCTGCACCCGAGCTTCGACACCTACAAGCTGCAATCAGCCACCTGCGGACAAGATGTGGTGGTGGTCCCCGGGGACTTCACAAGGCCTGTGGGCATCGGCATTTATGGCCACCCGTCTCACCAGGAGAGTGAGTTTGAAATGCGAGTGTTCTACGATCAGACTGTGTCCCAAGACCCATTTGATAAGGGCTCTTACAACTCAGAAGGTGTACATAAGGAAAAGAAATCTGCTCATGCTACAGAGGACGACTTCCAGGAGGAAGAGTCCATCTTTTGGACTATTCTGATCGGACTTCTGAAGATTATACTTGAGATTTTGTTTTGAAAATCACTGTTCATTGCTGTGACAGCAGGAGGATATTCTGCCATGGTACATTAGATTCCTTTCATTTTGTGAGGGTGAAAAAAATGTTGCACCAAACCCCAGGGAGAGTTCTGACATTTAAACAATCAAACCTACAGACTTGGTAAACAGCAAAGTCAGATTTACAGCACGGAATTCACCAGCGAAGCCTGACCAGTCAGAAAATGTTTCACAAAGTGTATTTGGTTTTAGCTACACTAAAAGAACACAAGGGGACTTGTTCTGGAGTCTTGAAAGGTATATATGGAATAAGAAGTTTCTTATAAGTCAGTCGCTAGAACCATTCTTCCTTTTCCATTGCCCAAAGTCATAAAATTATTAAAAATATCAAAGAGAGAAACTGCAGTGAAGACACAAATAGGTTCTAAATTTGAGCTGCTTTGAGGCTTCAGCACTTTGGGATACGCCCATGCTATGCTTCAAAGAGAAAGTGTTAACTCTTATACTGTCACACTTGGGAGAGACATTGAAATGCTTCCTTTATTTCATGCCTCCACACGTCTGGTCGGTCTGATCTTGTAAAATGTTCTTAGAATTTCTGTTTTTAGGAAGTTACAAAGCATTGTTTATCACAGCAATCAGAAGCAGGGTTCCCGACACAGTGTTATTCCCACCGTGTAGGAAAATGATGGTGTGTGTGCAGGATTCTTAGGGGGAGTTTGTGAACTAAATTAACTCGATGGTTAATAGCAGTTGGCAGGATCTTTACTTTAGCTGCTACTTTGAAGCTGTATGATCTCTTCTTTTAAACTTAATTTTACCCAAAGCAAAGTTTTCTGTTTGATTATAATTAGTTTTTTTCCCCCACATTCGCACATGCAGCAGACTTTGGAAAATGAGAGAACCTCTGTGTGTTTTTGGTTTTTTTCCTCGGTGCACAGAGGATCTTTGTCCAAAACTGCCAAACTGCCCAACACCATAATCAACAGTATCACAAAGTTTTGAGGCCTAATTTTCACTTAATGCCACTGTTAAGTTAAATGCGTATGTGCTGCTCTGGTGTGGTTACATTGTCCGACTTGACCAGCTGTCACTAATTCTTATACCATGATCTATATGTCTAGTTTTTGTGCACAGATTCAAACCGTAGGTCAAAAACTGGCTGGGCTTCACCTCGCTGACGAGTGATCTTTCAGCTAAGCAGCTTCTCCTAAAATCCACCACACTTGACTTCCAAGCTAATAATACTTATTTGATTAGTGTTAAACCAAACCCCTTAATTTGAAGTCTACTGAGGTCACACTGTGCACAGGGTTGTTGTTTCCTTATTGCTCAAAGGTGGAGGGATCACGTTAAACGCATCCAAAGTCATCGGTTAGCCTCGTAGTAGCTTCAGCTTAACATTTCTCTCTACAAGACGACTACAATTTGTGCACATTCAAAGTGTAGTCAAAGCTGGTGTAGAGCTGCAGGAGTGACACTTTCTGTATCAAGATTGAAATGATCGACTAGCCCCCCCCTCAGCCTGTGAATGAATGAACACCACCTGTCTGTCTTAACACAGCTCAGCACCATGTGAGTTCTGTGGTCAAATATACTGAGCTATACAGTCAATTTGAGAACAGAACAGATTTTCCTTAAAGCAGATCATTCAACGTTTTTTTTGCTGTTTAAGGATGTTTCATTGATTTGGACTCACACAGGGAACATGTGTTTGTGATGAGATTTCTACCAATCTGTTAACATGAGTAGCAGCATTGTATTTAGTTTGATCGCTCACTTTTGTTGTTTTTGCCTGTTGGACAAACTCCTCATTTAAACATCACCTCCAGCGCTGGAGTTCAGTTCTGAGTAGAACTTTGTTACCCTCTGAGCAGAAATGTTCAACAGTGCCTTCAGATCGATCCTCTGAACATCTGTGGAGCTTTCTTGTTCCCAGAGGCGATCTAGTCAGGTTTCACAATAAAATTAGAAATTGTTTTAAAAACTTGTCACATGACTGTGTTTCTTAAGTCATTGAAACATGTTTTATGTTTTATTTATTCTAACTTTTACATCAGAAATACCAGTAATTGTTTTATAGCATAAGCTACTTTAACATAGGTACACATATCACCTCAGGTTGGGAACCCTGCATTTAGGGGATTGGTTTTATTAAATTAAATGTTTATGTATCAGCTGAGTCTCAAAAGGATGACATAGGTTCACAGACATTCTGGTCAGTGTGGGCAGACCCACTTTATCTTCTCTCTATAAATCACGATCTAGGCTAACGGTGGACTTACTCTGGTTATTCTGTGGGTCCTTGAGGAAATAGAGGGGATTTTCCCCCATTGCAGCTACACTAACTTCAACCCTTTGTAAAGTTTTGTGTTGTAAACTCAGATTTAATCCAAACCCTCAGTACATGTTGGAAACAAAGCTTTAATACATCTCCTCACAGGTCTGCACTATATATTTACAGGAGTACAACCCAGTGAACAGCTGCTCAGCGTATTACTCAAATGTTCAGCTCCTCGTTTCAAACCAGTCAGAGTCATGAGCATATAAGCTGACCGCCACAAGTTTGTTTACATGTTTGAAACCAATAAGAAAAAATAAACCGCGGGTCAGAGAGTAGAGTCTTCCAGTCCTGTGTCATCAGCTTCATGTGAGTCTGGGGGCCAGCTCGATGCCGTTGATCCTTAGCACCGTCTGCGGCTGGATAATGATCCTTTTGCGCTGGAACCGGTGTCTCTTCCAGAAACGCATGTGGACTTTGGGCCAGGACTCTGTCTTTTCGATTACGGTGGCCTCGATTCTGACCAGCTCCTTCCCCAGAAGAGGCCTACCAATCAGGGTGAAGTCCTCAGCTCCAACCAAAAGCACCTTCTCCATGCGGATACGCTCCCCGCACTCCGCCTCGATGTGGTTCTCGATCAGGATCAAGTCTTCACCGGTGACCTTCCACTGGCGTCCGGCGAAGTGCACCACCGCGAAGAGCCGGCCGAAGTCCCGAAGGTTGATCCGCTGGTTTACGGTGCTAACCACAGCAGCGTGTCGGCTCTGCTCTTCTTCCGCCGAGTACGGGCTCGGCTGCTCCGGCCACGGAGGCCTGGAGAGCGAGGTCCAGGGCATCAAGTCTCCACTAGCAGAGCTCTGTGTTCGGATGGCAGCGGGGGACAGGACATGGTGTCTGGGTAGTAACATTCTGCATGTCCTCCACAATCCGGCGTACGCCATGCTCGCCGACATCTTGACAGGAAGTCGTCTGGTTCCAACTGCGCAAGCGTCACGTTACAGTCACCTGACACTTCTGCCTTCAAAAGCATCCTTTAAAAACTGGAAAAAGGAAACTTTTCTGGCCCAGAGACAAACATAGCTTAACGCTATATTTTTCATATTATTAATTTAATTTGATAATCACTTTAAACAATTTTCAGATGGACGCTAATTAATTCTATTATAGAAAGATTTGGTTTCCGCGTACCTCGTATTTTACCAAACAGACCCCTCAAGACAGTTAATTCATTGTCTTGCCCTTTTATGCATCATGTTTTAGAAAGATTACACGTTTATTTGTTTCTCTGTTCTCACCTTTCCCACATATTTCATAATAAGAAAATAAGAATAAGAAATAAGAAAAAAAAAGACTCCACATCACCGTTTATAATTTTTAACTGCTGTTAACTGCTTAGACTAGAGGGAAACTCTAAATATATGAAAAAGTAACCGTTTACCTCAACTTCTAGCACCAAAGGAACCATAACAATTATTTCATACAGTGAAAGAAAATTTTCATCAAACACGAAATATATCCAATGCTCTACATCTTACGAAATATGAAAATTAGATCAACTGAACTGAAAATGTAAATCGTGACATTGACGTAGTCTAAACATTACACGTCCCATTAAATCAAACACGTTTCAGAACTGAGTTTTGTTAGTACACATATGACCTTGTTAAAGCTGGAATTTACGGCAGCGCTTTAATGCACCGCTGTTGTGCTCCATTTTGTGTCGCTCTGCTTGTTTCCGGGTTTCCGAGAAGAGAGCGATAAAACGGTGTCAGCAGGGAGTATGGCTCTGCTGGCAGGTCAGGAGGGCAGGTAAAGTTTTCTATAGCTACCCAAAACTGATAAAAAGTGGTTCTCAGACGCGCCCAGCACTTTGTTTAATGCACTATTTATCTCAAAGACCTCTTGCGGACAGAGTTTGCAGGCAGCCGGACTGCGCTGACATTGACAGCTGGAAAGTAAACAGCTCGGTGCAAAGCAGCTAACTGCGGCTAGCTCCAGTGAACCCGCCGCTAGCCGATCTGTTGAAACCATCGACAGCTAGCTAGCTAACCTGCTAGTGTCGCTGGTAACTTACGCCAGCACAGCTCACCAGCACCCTCCCATCATTTTTTTGGAAGGGGGGTTAGACTCTCCCCTACGAAGGATTTCTACATCGACACTTCCCATTCATGTTGTTTAGGAGGACGAGACTAGCAAACATCCGCTTGTTCGAGCCAGGGTGAGTAAATTCGTAATGCTAACCAAGTTTAAGTTAGCCTCTGCCAGGTATGTATGCTCACTCTCCCTTTACCTGGGAGCGGCTACACAACCTGCCTAGGCCTTTGGATCATGTGTGTGACGAACGTTTATGTCACTGTTTTCATGTTTCTCTTAGCTGGAGGTCTGTCCAACAAAAACTATGTTCATGCAGTGGTGTGCAGAGGTATAAGGAATTATGTACATATGCGAAGGCATCAAATGTCACACTATAAAAAAAATCATCACTATATCGGTATTTAAATAGACGACTTTTGTCATTTCATACCCAAGTAGGGTAAACATCTCTCAAACACTGTAAGTAATGGAACTATCCGGTACACGGAAATATAAATGGTTATTTGCAAACCAAAATAGATGCCAGTTTTCGACTAATCGATTATTAGTTTCTGCCTCGTGTATTCATTAAGCTCAACGCAATAAAAATTTAAATTTCTACATAGTGTACAAATGTGTCTTCCATCCCTGGTTTCATGGTAGTTATCTGGTCTCTACATGTTGAAAAAAGCTGACAGTAGAAAATGTTGTTTTTTATTCTAAAGAATGTCTTGAGCACACAATTGAGGTTCTGTTTTAGTTATATGGGGCCATCTCCACCCCCCTAAAGCCTAGAAACACACACAGTGTTACAGGCCTGTAAGCTCAGCGTACTTCCTTAACCACAAAAGCATCCTACTTCCTCATACAGCCCTCCCTCTCTGGCTCTGTTTCTCTGTACATCGCCAGACTGTTGATGTGGGGAAACTTCTTGCCATCAAATGGCTGTTTACCAACTGTTTGGGTGAACAGTTTAATGGTGAGCAAATCTCAGCCTCATGACCTACTTAAGAGCTCATTTTTACTTGGATCTTGAATGGACAGGATTAGTTAGATTATGGGGTCAAAGGTCAGGACCTGTTGCTTTTGCCAGGGCATGACTGCCAACCATATGAGCATTTTTACTGCCTGGGTAATATTTGATTATCATATCTTATTTAAACCACAGCCTTTTTAGTATTTCTGAAGTCTTATACCAACAATCTGAGGTCTTCTTGGCTCTATACAGTGGGTTGTCACTTAAAGAACTGCAAAGAATTGTTAAAAGCATAAACAACAGTTACTAGTTCCAGTTTCTTAAATCAGAGATTTAAGATATAAAGATTAAATCAGAGATTTTGTGATATCTCATAATAAAGTAAATATGATGTGACGATGGATCCTTGAGTTGTGTAATAGCCATTTGCACACCTTTCTTGCTGGTTTAATTAAATCACTGTCACTGAAATAGGTCTATTTGAGACTACAGTTACTCTACACACCAGACAGGTCTTGAAATATTTGCTGACCCCCTACTCTCAGTTTTCGTAAATCTGCTGCTGTGCGGTTCGCTTTAACCCACGTCACTGCCTGACTAGCGAGCTTGCTAGGTAAGATTCCTTTGGTTTCCCTCGGTGAAAACCTGTCTCAGCTCTAAACCATGCTGCCCGAGGACTGGAGCATAAAAGAGGTGAGGGCGGGGCGAGGAGCCAACTGCCTGCATGAGGCAACAATGAGCCCAGACAGCTAACTGGTTTGGGGAGATCCAATGACCTCAGACACTCTTTGTGTGAAAAGCTTTGACATTTAGAGCAGTTTCAGTACAGGTGTATTATATGCAGGATGGACACAGTTTAATATAATATAATTAGCTATAATGTAAATTCAGTACAATTATTTTGGTAGTCTTTTCAAATCAAAACTTTCCAATACTGGAAAATGATGTCCATCATATAAATTCATGTGTGATTACAGGATTTAAAAAAAATTTTTTATATAAATGAACAGGGGTCAAACAGAGCTGTACTTATCTCGCTAAACTGACTGTATAACAAGTTTTATATTTAGTGCACCTTCTCGCAAAGATGGGCAAAGTGCTATTCTAATTTCATAGTGGATGAAAACGCACTGTCCTGTATTTCTTCAGGTCATTATTGATCAATAATGCCTTGAATAACCTCGAAACAGCTAAATTATTAAGTAATCAACCTTTTTACTCTAAAACGGCCCCAGATTACAAGACTTGTGTCAGGAGTCAGTCTAATTCAAACAAATGTCAAGTGACCAATGTGATTTAAGTTGGTGGCCAGAGCTTATTGTATAGATAAAAACTCCAGTGTATTCCATTGTGTTACAGACTTGCGTCACCCTGTATTTACACCAACTAGTTCCTAGTTGGATTTCAGTGCCACTGTATTGGGAGATGAGACTGAACAGATGTTGAAGTTGGAGCCACTAAACATTGAACAACTTTTATTTCAGCTGAAATTACTGCAATAGAAAATAGAGGGAAGACTTTGAAACCAACTGAGTCTGTGCACTAACGGGAAGTGGCAGTGGTTAAACTGGCTATTTCATTAGCATTTGAGACACCTAGATACACTTATTACTTGTTAGATTTTGTTTCACAGGGGTATTGTCTATGACCAAATCAATAACTTAGTCATTGTCTGCATTATAGCTACCTGAAGCCATGTTTCTGGAGACGGACAAGTCCAAGAAAAAAATATGTGAAATTTATCAGTCATCTGTCATGGCTGATCAGCTAAAAACCCAAACGGGCCTATTCCAGTCAGCCGTTGACATCTCTAGTTCCCTCTGCAGGAAATCTGTGCAGGGAACAGGACGTTTTGATTAACTTGATTCTCTTACCCTTTTTCCACCAAAGGGACATAGTTCCAAATTAAGTTCAGGGGAGATCATTAGATTTCACAAAAGTACCCAAGTCATGCTGAGGTTGCAACGCAGCCATTTGGTTCATGTTACAGAGCTCATGACTGAATAAACATGGTGCAATGAAAGTTATTTTAGAAGTACATATTTCCAAACATTTACCTTTACTTGCATTACTTGCACTTATTCTCATGTATATATCTCATGTATATATCTCATGCACATATCTTTCCACGTAGCACTTTTAATTCTTATCCCTACTTTTATTTTTTTCCATGTCTATTTAAGTGCTATTTATGACAGCATGTTTGCACTGAAGCACCGCAGCAATTTCCTAATGTTGTAAACCTGCTCAACATTTGGCAATAAACCCCATTCTGATTCTGATTCTGATCTGATTTATTTAAAATTACTTGAGTAGGGTTGGGGGTTGCCAACTCAGCATGCAGTCAAGTTCTATAGAGTCTTGCTAATGACCTACTAATTTTATACAGGTGTGTTGCAGCAGGGACACATTTGAGTTTTAGGACACCAGCCCTCGAGGTCTGGAGTTTGACACCCCTACTTTAGACCCACAGCTGAAAACCTTTTTGGTCTGTGGGTGGAGTAAGCCCTGAGATGAGATTTTTTTTGTTTTTGTTTTTTAGGGTAATATTCAGAGTAAAGTTGAGGCGTTGGATTCTTTCTGTAGAGACGCGTCTAAAGCGAGTCTACCTACCGAGTTCGAGGGACCCTCTTAGGAAACTGCCTACTGAGCATCATCCCTAAGAGCAACTAGCTTCAGGGGCTTTTATCTATTCGCAGTAACACAACACAATCACCAGCTGCTTGTTGGCATAACGTCAACTACAGTCATGACAACAAGACGGAAGATGCTTTGTTCAGTGATGCCGTTTGCTGTGTCTTGGCTTTCTTCATCCTAACTATAGAATTGGAAACGCAGAAATTGTCCAGTCTACACTAATAGAAAGTTGTGTATTACCAACATGAGAAGTTCTGTTTCGTTACAATTAGGTGTGTGTGTGTGTGTGTGTGTGTGTGTGTCATATAATCAGAAAAATCCTACAACTGGTTCAGTTCTGTCCTACAAATAGGTGGAGTCAGTTTCATCACCTTAAGCCTTATAAAACTGATGACGCTTTAAAATGAGTAATCATCATGTTGTGACACTTCATATTGGATTTACCCGAGGGCACCCTCCATTGTTGCACAGTTAAGGATTTACAAAAGATTGCAAGTGAAATTTGAAAGACAGAACAACTCTTGTCATTTCATCCTTTATCTCAAGCATCATGCTTCATAACAGTCTTGTCAACTGTACTGTGCAAACTGTCCCAATTCCCATGGGAGTAATCCAGGTCGCAGTTGCATTTAACAGTGACACAGGCACAAAGTGTAGAACATTGAAAGAAAACCATATGAAAACACTCAGCTCTTCACATTAAAATGAACATTCTCCTGTTGTTAGCTCTGCCTGGATGCTGGTTAAATGCATTGTTCTTATTTTGGATGTGAAACAAGTAGCTGATCAGTAGAAGGAAAAACAAAAACACAGGATTGATTAAATGTTTAATTATTCTTTGGATTAAAGATTGTTCTGAGGATCTGGTGCTTGCGCTTCTCTTCTTTTTGATATTTGATTAGCTTTCAGTTTTGAACTGAAAGAAACACATTCAGCACCACTTAGCCAAACCCGTTAAGAGTTGCTGCAGCTATTGAGAGGATTTTAGTGAAACTTTGGGGTTTACAAACTGTAAACTTGTTTTAAAGTCTGGTTCATTGTTCAGATAGAGGAACCAAAATGCCTGGAAGGGTTGTGGGTTGGCAGGCTGTCGTTGTTTAGCAGAGCTTTTCATACAGACATCTACATAATGTAGTTGTTTAGTGTCATCGGGAGCAGTGTCGAAATGTAACAGCCAGTAATGTGGGCTGCTCTTGTTTGTGTTTGTGCTGTTCTTGGTCCACTAGCATAGCTCCTGCTGTGCTAAGAACATAGGATGTTTAACATACAACGAACTAAAATGCAGTGGTGTTCAAAACAGGTAAAATTATCCACTGCAATCATGGTGAGTGTTCCTTGTGGCTTTTTTAATTTTATTTTATTAAGCACATATTCTTTGATCTAAAAGTTGGTTTGAGTTAAAGTCTGTGGGATCATTACACCCACTGTGCAGTGCCTCATGAATGGCATAACATTAACATTACACCTGCTGTTGCTAGCCGCCATTTCTGCCGGTTACGCACCTCTAGATTTTTGTAGCCTACAACATGTGCCGGATCTGCTACAGGTGGGTTGAAGATATTTGTATATGATTGCATTGGTTTTAGAGCCATTTATAAATACCTTGGAGTACACATTGACAATAAACTGGACTGGGCTAAAAACACCACAGCACTTTACAGGAAGGGCCAGAGTCGTCTCTATTTTTTGAGGCGACTGAGGTCCTTCAACATCTGCCAGAAAATGCTGAGGATTTTCTACGAGTCTGTGGTGGCCAGTGCGATCCTCTATGCTGTTGCATGCTGGGGGAGCAGGCTGAGGGTCGCAGATGCCAACAGACTTAATAAACTGATCCGTAAGGCCAGCAATGTTGTGGGGATGGAGCTGGACTCCCTCAAGGTGGTGTCGGAGAGGCGGATGCTGTCCAAGATAAAGACAATGTTGGATAACACCTCCCACCCACTCCATGACATGTTGGTCAGTCACAGGAGCTCGTTCAGTGAGAGACTGAGATTACCGAAAAGCACCACTGAACGACACAGGAAATCATTCCTGCCTGTGGCCATCTCCTGTACAACGCATCCACTTAACACACGTTTGCTGCTACAACTACACATGTTCTTTTCCAAATATTTATTTATAAGTGACTTATGTTGTATGTATATATATGTATATATGTACTATTCTAGTTAGCGTATTGTCTGTCTTGTCTTAATGTTGGTTTAAAATGGAGCACTGTAACAAAAAATAATTTCCCCCAGGGATCAATAAAGTATTCTGATTCTGATTAATGATATATCAGTAAAGTAATGAACAGATTATACAGAGGGAAATGTTGCAACAGTTTGTGGAAGAAACTTTTGGGGGGAAAAGTTATCATTTCTTTGCTTCGGCTGTTTCTCCTCCCCTAACAGCGCTGATATACCAACAAATTTACATTACATTTACATTTTCATCATTTGTCTCCTCCTCATCTACATCTGCCTCCTATGCCATTAGACATGCAAGCCTCTTGTCTCCAGACAGCTCACAGTCACTTACTTCAAAAAACAAAATTCACTAGCACTGAACAAAACCGGCAGTTTTTACTCACAGGCAAGTTCGGGGTATCCTCAACAACTCGTCTCATAAGTGAGCTTTGCTGGCCCATATTGGACTTTATTTGAAAAGACAAGCAGACAAGGACACTTCATACACAATGAAGTTTTAACATTTTATAAAATATTAGACATATTTTTAATTCCTAATTTATTTTTAAGTGTTAATATTAATTAAATGCATAAAAATACAATGTATATACAACAATATCTTATATACACGGACAGCAGTAGAAGGTTTCCAGTAATCCATGGCTGTTATGGGGAAATACGGCATATCCAGCTGTTGCTGTTAAAGGGTACAGAAGGTTAAAAGGTTCTTGGTCCATGGGAAAGCTCCTGTGGGGTGTGTGTGTGTGTGTGTGTGTGTGTGTGTGTGTGCGCTCTTAATTTCTTGAAACTAGGGTTACATCATATTCTAGACTGGACCTTTTTTTTTTCTTTTCTTTTTTTTTACTACTACTACACTGGTACAACAGTATGTGCAGTTTTACCCTTACTGCTAGTAAACCTTTGCTTCATCAGACAAAACTACACAGCTGTGGCTAGTATAATGTGAACACAGTGAAGCTGGAGGATGAACGCAAATTTTTCCACTCAATAAAAGTTAATGTAAGGGTTCCTGACAGTTAGGGTCAAAGGATGCTGTAAATGGACCAAATTTCAGTCAGGAGAACAACTGAGATAATCCATCCACCATACCAAGTTAGTCTGCACGGGCTGGGCTGCAGTTACACCGTGAGCTTTAAAACGTTGTGCTGATGAGTAGTGGTAATAAAAACCGAGAGAGACCGACAGTGATCACTGACTTTTTTTAGGGGCGTGTTCAGATTAAATAGAACAAGATACAAAACGTGTGTTTTAAAACAGAAAAGCCTTAATAAATGCAGAGTAGAAGCAGGGCTCATACGTCATCACTTAACAACCGAATTTGGCTTTCAGTTTTATCAGTTGAGATATTCTGTCATTTTCAGGAGCCAGCGTATTGTTCCAGAGACGGTGAAGTCACCGGCCTTTAGCCCACACAGAACGGTGCCAACGCAGAGTCAGGATGCCTATTCCTCCCCCTCCTCCTCCTCCAGGACCCCCACCCCCTCCAACCTTCCATGAGGTCAGTGACCCGATCAAATATTCATCACAACACACTGCACTGAAAACTGACAAGTTATACACTTCCTTGTAGCAGATCTCTAATTTGACCTGAGATGTTTATATGTGCTGTGAGAAATTTGTTTATATTAAAAACATGGTGCAAATGTGCACAAGACGTGCTTGTCCCTGAAACGTTTTTGAATTGTTAAGCCATGGGCAAAGTCAGATATAGAAGCTAAATTACCAAAAGCTGCTACTAAACTATATCTTTGTTTTAAGTCTGCATTGCGAGCTCAAACTTTTTTGTTCTAACTAAAGGAGCCGGAAGTTTGCTTGTAAAGTTTTTAACTGTCTCCACAGGCAAACACAGCTCCTCCCAAACTGAGCTCATCTGAGGCAAAAGGCAGAGGAGCACTGCTGTCAGACATCCACAAAGGCGCCAAGCTAAAGAAGGTCGGCCAGGTCAATGACCGGAGTGCTCCTGTTATAGAGAGTAAGTTTGTTTTATACACAAACTCAAATCCCAACTGATGTACTCCCTGTGAGTTGATTCAAAATCCTGACACCAGGGTGGATGTCCTAAAATTATCTTGTATTTATATACTGCCAAATCACAACAATAGTCACCTCGGGGTGCTTAATATTGTACCAAACACTCGCTGACAGTGGGCAGAAAAAACTCCGTGACAGGAAGAAAACTCTGCCATCTGCTACAATAAGGTGGGGTGGTGGGGGTGGGGGGCACAGGACAAAAGACACATTGTGGAAATGCAAAGTAGGGTATAAACAAATAGATGTTGGGGGGAAAAGGTGAATGACAGCGCATGTTTGTTTTCAATAAGTCGTCTTGCTGTATGTCAGTAATGATGTGTGGTTTAAGAGTTCCCTTTAATTTTTTCCATTGTTGAGCGGTATATGTTTCAGAAATTTATGTAAAATATGTTTAAGTGGAAAAAGGAAACTGAACTTGACCTTTAAAATGTTAAATTAAAGAACAGTTTTTTTCTTACTCTGCAGTGGAACAGCTTATTCCCATCAGTTTTCCATGATAAAGTCCCAGGTTCTCTAAATATTTGAATATTAAAATGTATTTCTGTTTGCCCCCCCAGAATCTGGAGGAGGTGGTGGAGGTGGCGGTTTTGGAGGTGGAGCCCCAAAGGGAATGGGCGGCCTTTTCCAAGGAGGTGTGCCAAAGTTACGACCAATTGGAGGTAAAACATTTATGCTATTTAGCACATACGTGTTTGCCCCAGTTTACTGTATTTGGATCATTTTGTCAAAGAGCCGTTATCATTAGTGTGAGTAAATAACAAGGAGAAGAGAGGACACCTGAAGTCAGTCCTCTCGTACACATAACATCTGTCAGCAGATGATTCCAGAATAAGAAACGGCACATAAAGAGAGAGAATAAAGCTCCTTTGGCCTTTCTCCCGAGCTTGTACTTTTTATTTTTCTGTCCATCATTTTGTGGTTATAGAAATAAATAATTTACACTGCTACAAATTCACAATGCTTGGACCATTAATAATGAATGAAAGTCTAAAACGTACTATTTTAGTTGAATGTTAAATTATTGAACTGTTACACTTCATATGCAGCAAATAGCTTCAACCTTTAACTTCTCCTGCTGCTTGTTTGATATTTTTATAATGGAAGATCTTAGCAGTCAAAGGTGTAGCTCCGTGGAGAAACGAAAGTTTCCAACTAGTGTTAATGTAACCATAAGCTGGTCAAACTTGGTTACCCACCCCTTCACTAATTAAGCAATAATATACAGCAACAACACCACAAGACTGTACTGTACAGTTTAGCAAGAGGTTGGTATATAAAGAATATTATCGACGAATCAGTCAGCAACAGGTCTGACATGTGACTGATTTGTGCAAAAATCATCTGATTGTAGTATTTAACTCGTCCACATAGGGCTCGGCGATATATCAAATGTATTCAATGTATCGTGAGATTTTCCCACGCATGTTGGTTAAAATGGCTTTATTGTAACCATCAAGTATAAGTTACCATGGAAATATTAAGCTGTCTGCGTGTAATTCACTCCGAGTTATTTTTTTCCCACATGCTGCGAATGCATCATTAATCCCCAACCAGGAAAAATTTCTAGCTGGCACACTGCATGGAGCGTGCGTGTTTATATATTACCTGATAGAGGAAAAATATGGTGACAGCGCGAGTTTCAGAGCGAGAGTATGAGACTCACTGGGAGTGTTAAGTCATTCCCAATTCCTTATTATTTTGCTTCCAAAACAATAATACTTGCTTCCAAGAAACCAGAGTTGGTTTTTGTTGTATTTTTTTCCCAGTGCACTTAAACACTGCCTCTCTGTCTTCCACACAGACGGTCCTGCTGGTGGTTCACTGGGCAGATCTGCGCTACGGCCCCCGGGGTCCCGGTCAGCGGCTCCTCGTCCTCCCACAGGCCGGTCCACCTCACCGTCACCCCCCAACAAGCCCTCTCCACCAGAACATTCACGCTCACACCGCCCCTCGCTGCCTGACATATCCCACTCCTCCAGCGGTAGCAGTGGGATGAAGCACAGCACCTCTGCACCACCGCCTCCACCACCCTTTAACAGAGGTGGCCGTGGAAATGCCCCACCTACCCCAAGCCAGAAAGCATCTCTTGCACCTTCCTCATCCTCTTACAGCAGAGAGAAACCCCTTCCACCAACACCTGGAAGAGGCCCAGCCCCGCCCAGCAACGTAAAACCTCTGTCCTCCAGCAGACCACCTACTGGAGGCTCTTCTGCTCCTCCTCCTCCCCCGCCATACAGACCACACACATCTGGTGGTGTCTCGAATGGGCCATCCCACGGCGATGGAGGTGGAGCTCCAGAGCTTCCCCAGAGGAATAACTCCCTTCATAAAAAACACACATCAGGAGGCAGCAACCAAGGACGCAGCCATGCCCCACCACCACCTCCATCATTATCATCGTCATCCTCTTCTCAGCAGTCTAACAGACCACCTCCACCTGTCAGAGATCCACCTGGACGCAGAACAGGTACGTCCCAGAAATCTGTCAAAAGTGCAATATTGCCACTCACCACAATTTTTTCTTTATTTTTATCCTGTGATTGAAATTCTCTCGTTCATTCTCAATCATCTCTAATTTGACCTTCATGAAACCTAACCTCCATTGTTAACCTAATCCCTTAATCAGCTCATCGTTTGAATGCCCAGATTTACTTCATATATACAATAAAGATATGGCTGAGTGCAAACTCCTGATTGTGAACGTTGAAGAAGACCTCATTATTCTTTATTTTGAGGAGAAATGTTTATAATGAAGGCAAAGCAAGCCTTGGCTCATTATCTCTGAACCTTTAAGGTACAATCCAGGATAACGCTGCAACGTTTTCTACACATGACGGGCTTCTATCCTCTGAATCTGAGAGTAGTGCAGAACGATACAAAAAATGTGCTCCGTCTTGTTCTGTGTGATGTATAAATCTTTCTTTTGGCTGCAGCATTTCATCAAGTTCCTGCATCGATTCTTGACAGTAGTATAATATTTCTTATAATTACAGCTGCTTTTGCATTTGGGAGAATGACCTTTTTCCCCCCCCCTTATTTTGTCAACAAGTGACGACATGAGGATATTTTAATATGCGGAGCAGATTTGCTGTTTTTTGGTATTTGTAAGTATGCTAAGTTGGGTGGATGCCATGTGGATGACACATCTTAGATGCTTCTGATGTTTACAAAACAAAACTTAAAAAAACTGGGGGATTTAGGACAGCCACACCTACAAAGTGCCCTAGTTACAGATGAAGTTCTCCACGTCTGACGTGTCAAATGATGATTTTGTTTCCGCTTCAGAAAAGATTTATGGCACACTGGGAACAGTCATAATTTGAATTCAAAGCAAATACACGAAACAGGAAGGCACTTGTTAGCTTGAGTTCTGTCTTGTGATTGAACGGTGAAACGATTTGCTACAAGGTCTCCTGGTTTCTCTGCATTCCTGTAGCCCTGTGGAATATTCCAGCATTCCTGCTCACCTTGTTTTCCCCCACACACACTCTTAATATTAAGTTGCACAGACTTGTTTCAATCTCACTGTTCGCTGGTACTGAAGTCTCTATATTTTAAAAGTCAGTATGAGAACAGATGTTTGGGGGGTTTTTTCCACTGATGCAGTGACAGGAACTCGAAATGTGTCATGTGGCATATTCTAAGTTGCTTTGTTACAAACAGTAGCATTTTTAAGAAACTATATCATATCTGGTTTCATGATTGGTTATGAAACCAGCTGGAAGAAAGATGCTTGTAACGTGATGTTTCGCTCTGTTCTGCACAACATGCATGCACGTTTTTACTGACTGCTGAGTAACACTTGACTATATAAGTCTGTACTAAATGTAAAACAGTCATGGTCAGTACTTTCATTTCATATTTCTGTTTTAGCCCGTGTGTACAAACTTTGTACCCTTACAAGTTTTATCATGGTGGGGGGACCCCGGCAACTGATACATTAGACACACACAGACTTGACCAGATTCATTAAGATCACTGCCGTTCATCTGACCCTCAGTATGAATTTGTGATCACTTGTTTGTGTGTGTATGTTGTCCATGCAGCTCCCCAGGCGCCCACCCCTGGGTCTCGTAATGGCAATCGGGATGCCCCTCCTCCCCCACCCCCTTACCGTGGCCATAGCTCAGACTCCAGAGGCAATAAACCACCACCTCCTCCTTCCTCTTCCTCCATCTCATCTTCCTCCTCACGAACCCCAGCTGGACCCCCTCCTCCACCCCCGCCAGTCCGGAATGGTTACTCCTCCAGCTCCTCCTCCAAGTCCATCATAGGTGAGTGCGAAAAGACTGCTTCGGCAACATCTCCTTCATATTCCACTGTTGACAACTGCTAAATAACATCAGTTTTTAAAATCCTACTGAATCTAGTTCAATTAGATCAAATGGTGCCACAGTTCACAGCAGGCAGAAACAAAGGGATACAGGATTTCACCATTTATCAAGTTAAAATATTTATAATGAACTTAGCAAAATGATAAGAAAAGGATAACATCCCTAAAATTGTGACTTCAAAACTGTTATGTATAAATGTCTCTCTCCAGACATTGTTTAAATCCTAAAAAGATGAGCTATAACCATCGTAGTGTTACGTGTGAGATCTTATTTACATGACTTTGCTCACAGGTTAGACCTAAAATGGCTTAAATGTAGCTCATTACCTTTTTGCCTGGTTTTGTATGTGTGGAGGTATTCAAATTGGACCCTGACACCTCCATCCACACCCATCCTCTCTCTTTGAATTTTCTGCTACAGTCTCTTTGCATAGCAGCACTGGTGCACACAGACAATGTGTGTGTTCTGTTAGGCAGGAGTGGAAAACCCAGTGCTCCATTTGTAAATCAGCTAAGAACACAGAGAGGGTGCTGTACATGCTTCAGAAAATCAACCATAACTGGAGCACAGTGGACAACAGCCCAGTGCTTGCTGTTTAAACCAAACTGTGATCACAAAGAAAGAGTTTACATGAATCCACACTTGCCACTACTGCAGACCCACACTAACACAGGAAATGGCCAATGAAGGCTAGTGCAACAAAATGCACTGTGAGATAAGCAGAAATGAAGATGGATGAACAGGAGGCTGAACCAGATTATCATACTGCTGATAATCTAGTACTAATCTTGGATAAACAAGCCCAACCTGTTATAAGTAAATTGGTTATCCATGGTGTTACGACAATGTTGGTAGGAATACATTGTGATTAAGAGAGCATAACTACAAAGCCAGTTTATGTTTATCTCACGGTCTTACGTGGCTGCCGCAACACAAAATGTGGCCTTGTAAGGGATTGTGAAGTTGGTTTTTCCAATAAAAACTTAAGGCTGGAAGTCTGAAACTCACCAGAGTCACTAGAAGAAAAGATTTTGTGAGGCCTAGTAAAATAAAAGTGTTCATATCCTTATGGGGTTGGAAGGACAGTTTTGCCACATGCACTCAAAAACTCATTTATAATCAACAGTATGGTTGAAATGTTGAACACCTGGTGACGGGGTTGGTAGGGTTAGTAACCTGCTAACTAGATCTTACTTCCAGGGGATTTGTGCCAAAGACTCTTTTTGCCGGGAGGACGAACGGCAGCCGCTAGTGTTTTATGCCTGTGTAAATGTGTCTGGCCTACTGCTATAGTGTTGAACTAGGACGGTGGTTTCTGTTAAAGTTAAGTATAAAGTGAATGATAACTTTTTGGTAATTAAATTTAAATGATACTTAATTACAGTAACTGTGTAACTCCCATTTCATCCCCATTCTGTTTTAATGGAACGGTTGATAGTGAGGCAGATGAGGACCAAAGTTCCTTATCTGAGGCACTGTATGGTTTTTGTCGAGGGAGGTGCCGATGATTTCTCTTGAGATGGTGTCCTTATGCAGGCAGTCGGAGATGGAGAGGAAGAGGAGAGAATGTTAAATTGTCTTATTGCTCCATAAATGGCTTTTAAGTGGACTTTGGATGTTTACCCTTTCCTTTGATCCCTGAAAAGCTCGGATAATGTTTGAAAAAACATCTCTCTTAATTTCAGTAACTTTGGGCACCACCAGTACAACTTGAGCTATATCTCTGAGTGTCAACACTACATCCCCAAGTGTAGGTACCTATCTGAATGTGGGGTTCGATCTGACTGCTCTTTTAAACAGGAGATGAAATGCTGAGGCTTATATAAATAGCTACCACTTTTTCTGCTGCTTAACTACTCAAATTTGTTTATGATCTTGATGCGATGGAGGTGACGGTGACGAATCGCCGTTGATAGTCAAATCTCCACTGACACTATGCAAACTACCTTTTTGGTTTCCTGATTTGTCCACACATCAGGAAACCAAAAAGGTAGTTATGGGTGGTTCCTAGATTACTACTGAGGCTTTGTGTACTTACTGTGTCAAACTTAAGAATTAAAAATGATGATAAAACCAAATCACTATTTATGTGGTTTGTATAAAGGGAGACTTGAGGCTGCAGACCATGGGATTTATAGCCTAAGATAGTTTGTCATCCTGTCCCTCAGCAACTCTTTCAAACTGAGTAATAAATGTCATAAGAGAGCATAAACAGTCATTGCTTGCATGTCAGGTGATTAGGGAATAAATGTAAATTCTCGACATGCCAACCACTACAAGAAGTAAATCATCAACCTGTAGGAAAGACTTTTTTTTTTTTTGCACAGGTTGACAGAACTGGGGGCTGAGACAAAGTAAGCAACCTGTACGACTTATTTTATTATTTGACAAACCAAAGAATACCATTTATTTTTGTTGTCTAGGCTTGATGGTTGGAGTTTGTGGCTGTAGGGAAGGCAAAGATGTTGTACGGGTGATCTGTAGTGGCTGGAATCTAAAAACTGAGCTGTGACTGAGCTCTGTTCATAATACAAAGGCAGGGACCAGTGACTACAGACTGAGAAGAAGGAATAGGGTAAAAACTTTCATGCTCATCAGCTAATTGTTTGAAAGAGGGGTTGAAAGATTTTTTTGGTTTTGTTTTTATTTATTTTTTGATATTAAAAAAACAAAAGCAAACTTCTGCCTGGTGGTTTAAAGTACTCCCTCTGTCAATGTATGTAGTGGTAATCTGTTCCTTAGCAGAGCTTAATATGATGTGAATATAACCTCAAAGGTTACATAATGTCATTATTTATGTAACAAAAACTAAGCCATATTGCAGAAGCAGTGTTTTGTTTTTTTTTTTGGTCTGTTTTTTTTAAACTAAGTGTACCCCTAATAATTCTGTAGGAATGAAAAGGGTAAGGCTTATCAAATGTACTTCATTAACTGATCACCAGCCAGTGTGAGCTCACCAGTAGAAGCAAATGTTTTGCAGCTTGCTTGCCTGCAGCATTCAGGTATGTGGTGACACAAGGCCAAGGAGGAAAGACGTAAATAATGATTGAGGAACAAATGTTGCTGCCTCGAAATGTCTGGCAATGGTTATAAATCATTTGAAGTCCATAATTCTACAGTGAACAAGGTTGGGATACATTCAACACCAGTACCAGTCTTCCCAGGAGTGGACATGAGTGGACAAAATTGCAACAAATCCGAGAGCGACACGTCAGACGCTACAAGCCTCAGAGCTACAAAATGTTAAAGTTCATGAACATGCAGTTAGAAAAAGACAACAAGTGTGAGTGGTCTAGAAGGCATAATAAAGCCCCTTCTTTAAAATAACATGGCATGGGTTTTTCTAGGAGAAACATTACGAGAAACATAACAATAATTTCAATAGTTTAGACACAAATTATTGTATTATCCTGTTAAATGAACACTGTATATTAACAGTAAAAACAAGCAGGACTGATGATCTTTGCTGCCTAGTGCCAGCATTAATGATAGAGTTAGTGGCTTTGGCTAATTAATGTTAACTTTTAAAAGAGAGAAAAGACGGTACATAGATTTAGAAACGCTCTTATATAGATGAAACTCACGTGAAAAACATGTTTGTCTTTTATTCTTTTGCACTGTGCTTATCTCTGTTTCAGTGCTATGTTTTGCTGTTTCACATGTTTAAAGGTTTAAAAAACATAGCTGCCGTCTGTGGGTAATTGCTAAGAATGAAATAATCTTAATTCATTAACAATAACGTTTATGATGATCAGGTTAAAATTTCATGATGATGGCTGTTTAATACCTCAGTATTTTTAATATAAGAGCTTTACTGACCTCGTTCTCATAAACACCGGGGTGTCAGCCTTTAACATGTTCACTAAGTCTGTTATGCTGTTATTCACATCTGTTATGTTGTGTGTCAGCTGAAGGAGAAGATGATGTTACTCTGGGTGTATCAGTACTGTTGCAAATGAGTATGCAAGCAGTAAAAAAATCCATTAAAGCATTTGTTACTACACTTTGGTTAGGACATGATCTCTTAGCCACAGAAGTTTGAGATTTAACTTTTTCATTTTGCGTTTGTAGTAGTCATAAGTTATTAAGCAATTTAAACTGTCCACTGCCTTTTCTTTGTAAAACAAATGCAATTAATATTTAAAACTTGTGACTTGATGTGTCTGCACATTTTAAAACGTTTATGTTTATTCTCCTTCCTCCTACAGATGATTTTGAATCCAAGTTCAACTTCCACCCTATTGAAGACCTTCCACCTCCAGAGGAGTACAGGCCTATCAACAAGGTCTACCCCAGCAAGACCAACACGGGTATGAGTAACACTATGAAGCACATTGCTCTCTCCCTCCACTTGACTTGTTTTGTCAGGAATAATAAGACACTGCATTCTCATGGAGAATATAGTGTTATTGTCAGACACGGTCACTTTATTTACCCAGATCTCATGTGCTAAACAGCAGTAAAACAACAAGGAATAAACAAGAAGAAAAGGTTATGATCTGTGTGTTATGAGTGAAGCATGACCCACAGTGTAAATGTAACACAATGCCAGCTCCCCTTAAGATTCAGTTAAGTCGTGGACAATTGTTTTATTGCCATATAAACTGCTCTGTTTGTGTTATGTGTCAGGATGCAGCCATAGGGGAAGCTGGGTTTCATGAAAAATTACCCTGAGCTGCTGTGTGTGTGTTGTTTAGACACTATCCTAACAGTTTGGTTTACATGCGTCTTTTAGAGCTGTTGGCACGTGCTCCACATGCTATGGAGTTGCTCTGGAAAGTGTCTTCCCTATAAATTCAGTGTTATTATAGCAGCATTAACATAATTAATAATTACTAGAAACTAGTTCTTCTTCTCTGCCTATAAAATAAGTATATATTATGCACACACCTAAGTGTAAAAGCACTAATTAACAGGCAATGGTAATTTGCAGTGTAGGAAACAAATTGTCTTCTTAAAATATTGATGTGATATCTTTATGATGGTAGTATCCTGCCACAAATAGAAATGCTAACATTATATTATACACATATTCAGTGACTCACACAAGCTGCAAACGTATTCTTCTGTTTTTTTACAACATGCCAAAAGAGAAAGGTATAACGCAACGTTGACCTTTGTTTCACAGTAAAGGTTTACCACCAACTTAATCACAGCTTACCTACTTCCTTATAATGACTACTTGAGTTTTGTGAAACTAAATATTAACCTGTTGAGTTGGTGAGGGGGGAGGGGGGAGTTTAAGTCTTAGGAGCCATGATGTTTCCAGGTTGAATCAAACGCAGGATTATCATCTCAGCTAAGAGATTTATTGGAGACAGTCTTTGCATTTCTAAAGTTATCAACGCTGAATTCACAAATCAATTTCATGAAAATGGAAACGAGGGCAACAGTTTTAGCTTCTTCAGTGACCTACCAGTGTATAATAAACATTAGCAAACTGCTGTTGATAACGCCATGCAGTTCAGTTAGTAACACAAGGATGTCATTTGTAAAACCATGTCAAAAGTACAGCTGTAGATGATGCCTTCCACCTTTTGGCTTCTGGGTAACAAGGAAAAGAAGTACCTTCACAGAGCTCCCTGGTTGACAGCGCTAACTTAAGATTTTGATCTCGAAAATTACAGCTTATTAACTCAAAATTTTGAAATTTCTAGTCTACTGTGGTTGAAAATGGTTCTCTGTGAGTTGTAAAATAATAGCGGACCTTCTGTCAGGGCTTAAGGTTTTAAAGATTTATTCATTGAACTGTTTTTTGGTTTTGAACTTCTGTCACTTTTCCAGCTTTCTTCTCAAAATGTACAATTTATGCCCTTTAGACCAGTGTGAAGACTGAGCTGTAGTTAACTTTGTCTCTCCACCTTCTTTCCTCAGCCGTAAGAGGAGCTCCTCCAGCGCCGCCAGTGGGCAGGTGAACAGACCTCAGTTCGGGACTTGAACTGTGTCGTTGAGGAGGAAGCGGTGAAGCACTCGAATCATAAACACACTACATCACAAACATACACTAACATTGAGCCACCAGCTGGAAGCATCAAGGTGAACACAAAGGAAACACTACTACACCACGCAGGTTTGACACTACTCAGCGGTCACTTTCAGTCTTTGCACGAGAGAACAAAAACCACTGCCTGGGACCACTTTGATGACGACTCTGCTGACTGAATGCAGAGGCTTCTGTTTGACATATCGGGACCAAACTCCGAACACTTCCAAATCTCTGCATTCCATCTTTTTTTATACTTATTCAGAATAATAATAAGAATAGTTGTGATTTTTCAGAATAACATATTTTCTTTTTTCTGTTATGTTATTGCTTTTTGGTGTCAGCATTAATTTGTAGGGAATATGAGCAGATAAACTCAGGTTTTTCCCTAAAAATTTGTACTGCCACACATGTGGGGCTTATTGTCGGTTTGTTAATTAGTATTTGTCTTGAATAGCCATTCCATCAGTGCCAGGTAAAGGTGTGCTTGAGTCGGTGTGCCAAATGCAGGTGGAGTCTCACGAACGGTTCACCATGACAGCAGTCGCCACACACTTGTTCTGACATTTAGAATTCTTTGATTGTAGTCTTGCCTGTTTTTGTAACTCTATCCTGTATCTGGGGTTGTTCATATTTGCATCTTCAGATGATGTTGCACAGCAGCTAAACTGCTTAACCGAGACACTGTGCATGACCCTGACATACGCACCTTCAACATCAGGACTACATCATGTTGATGCAACATAAAACTGATTTGCCCCTGATGGTTCTGACAGGTTTCCTTCACATAGCCAGCATATTTCTTCAGGCTCACTGTGGGTTCTGTGTGGGCCACATTTTAGTCCAACACTAATTATTTGTTTACTGGACCAAGGTTTGCAGACCATTTTTGGAGGAGTTTACAAGGGATCATCTCTGTTTTCGCAGGAATCTTCTTCAAGGGAAGTTGGTCTGAAAGCTCAGCTCTGCTCTGATTCATGATTTGCTGCTGGTGGCCCTTTCGAAGAAGGACCTCATAGCCAGAGAAAGATAATGTGTTGTTGAATTGCTATGCAAGCAGCAGTTTGTAGAGATTGTAGATGGTAGCAGCTAACCAAAAACAAAAATCGTAAAAAAAAAAAAATGCAGGAACACTTAAGTGCCAGAGAATTGTTGGAATATATATGGAGGTCCTCTCTTTTCTCCCTTTGAAAGCATCAAGCTTCACTTAAAACACTAATGACATCATTTTCTACAGTGCACAGCACAAAAAGTGAACAAAAAGATCCTGGCTCAGGTCAGACTGTCCATTCTCAGTGATGCAGCGCCTCCTGCTGGTATTTGCCTTACACAAATCTGTTGTCACTCATCGGTACCAGTGATTAGTTTTTTGATGATGATGACGACGACATATATTGGGGGAAGATGATGACAACGGAGTAAATAAGAAACAAGTCTATTTGAAAATGCAATAAATATTGTATATTTACTTTAAGGAATATGGTAATCATAGTTATTGATCTATTTTTATGTTGTAAAAAGCTTGTACTATAGGAAAAGACATGATTAAGAGTTCTAACAATGTTCCAGTGGGTGAGCTTTGGTCTGACAGACTGGATTCTTGTTGCACTTCTCTGGACATTTGGCCATAAAGGTGAATGAGCTGAATTGATGTATGCGAGGTTTTACCAATGAGCCAACATTTTTGGGGTCTGGTTTTCAAAAAATCAGATCGGCAGGTAATTTAGTGAAGGTGATAAGTGATGCACCTCTGCTTCTTTTTCTGGATCATGTTCACCTTGATACACAGATGACCCCTCTACTTATCTCATGTTCTCACCTTGTCCACTCTGAAAAGCAAAAACCCTGTGGTCATTCACGTTATCAGCCATGTTTTTATCATTTGAAATAATTTCAAATAAATATATTCCTGTTGGGAAAGGGTACCTGATTCATTGTCTGTTTCTTTATGCTCAGTTTCTGTATTTGTAGCTTTTCTTCCACTTGCACAATGTTTTACTAAATTAGCTGTCAGTACCGAGTTCTGCCATTTCATGTAGTGGATGCTTGGCTGGTATCGTTTCTCTAAACATTAACACAGCTTAAATCTCATTTAGATAGATTTCTAGATTTCAAGAGCAATAATTAACTGTGCAGTTATTAAGCGTATGGTTTTGTGAAGAGTAACTTTGCCACCACGAACCTACTAAGGCTTATGAAGAACGTGTAACATTAAACTGTTTGAGACTTGAAAGTGGAATATTTGTTGTGAACATAGTTGTAGTTAGTCCTTGACGTTACACTGCCACCTTCTGAGGTCCTCCAATGTCTATGAGGCTTTGTCCTAAAGTCCTGTTGTTCTCCAGAGTATTTATGTGTTCTTAGAGCCTGTCAAAATCTGAGTATACTCCGCTTGGGCTGCATTCTCCTGAGGCCGCATTTGTAGACCGATTACGTCACAGCGACGCGCCGAAGGCTGTCCAAATTCGTAGATCCCTCCGAATGCAGCCGACAAATGCGTGCTCCTTTTTCCGAATTTGAAGGATGGGTCGGGTGTGTCCTTCGTGGCCCACCATATCCCAGAATTCATAGCGCGGCCCAGCCAAGCTCCAGTTTCCGGCTAATGGCGGCCGCTACTAAGTTTTAAAATTACTCTTATTAATCTTTCTGGGTCACAAAATAAACTTTTAACATATTTTCAGGCGAGAAAGTAGCTGTGTAAACATCAAATATCTGCTCGGTTTATCAAGATATCGCATCTTTGCTAAAGTGCTTCGACGTTTTCGGAGACGTCTGCTACCCACCAGCTCGATAGCTAGCCGGGAGCTCGAGGGTTACTGATGCGGCCGAGAATGGCACAACTCCCGGCACATCATTTTCAGATCACCGCGGACTTTCGCTGCTCGGGTTAAACGTTGTCAGCCGGTGATCAGCTGTGATCAGCTGATCACGGGGCCGGGGTTAAAAGAGAGACGCCACCCACCTGTTCGCCACTCAGACATCATTCTCTTCGTGTCAGGAGCTCCGAAACTCTGCCGACGTCAGTCTCCGCCTGATTCAGCAACCGTGAGTGATTATCCCTTCAATCCTTTTTCTCTTCCCGGCTCCGCTCGCTCTCTGTCGGTAACGACCGTTCCGAAGCCACGCTTCGTGCACTGATCGTTACTAGAATAACTGCGTGCCTGCTCCAAACCCACCGCTAGCCTTCGCCGCGCTTGGGTCTAGCCAGCACGCCACACGGGCACGCCGAATTACTGTGTGTAACCCGCCCGGCCGTGACAAACGTAATATATAAGTCACTTAGACAACCTAAAAATGTTATTGTTGGGCTTTTTTCAGTGTTTTGTTTGTTCGTGAGTAAATCGGTTTGGCTGAGATTAAAGTTATTAGATTAGATAAAATAAGACTTTATTAATCCCCCGGGTGGGTTCCTCCTTGGTTTTTACACAGCTGACTAAACGTCAAACAGAAAACTGATTAAACAGAAGTGTGAGATGGCCGAGAGTTTACTCCGGTGTCCTGTTATATTTTAGACAGCAAGGAGCAGACGGCTGAGTTTATTAAACTCCACCGAGACAGCGGTGACGCTAATCAGAAGGCTAGACCATCCAATTTCACGGCCGTTTACTTCCGGCCTACCCGATCTTCTGAGGACCCGGCCCACGTAGACCGCGAAGGCCGGGTCCTCAGGAGGATGCAGCCCATGAATTTGGACACGACCCTAATGTGACGCCCGCGTCCTCGCAATGGCGGGAAACCTGGTATAACGTGATCTGTTAGTCCCACCCACTTTAGCGAACGGCGCGAAGGTAAGACGTGCAGAGGCAGCTAAGAGGATGAATATGAGGACTGTTTTAAGCTGACATTTTCATTCCAGGTAAGTCTTTATTGTCAGTGATTTGTTTTCGTTAAAAACAAATTTGGGTTGAATCTTATGAGTAAACCTTGAGGTGTCTGGGATACTTTAATGTGCCTTTCTATTCATATCTAGCTCGTAACTGTCAGTGCAGCTGGGCTCGACCTACCAAAGCCTGAATGTGCAGATATTTTGTAGCGTGTCATACAACAGCTCAAGTTTCTTGTAGTGCAGCTCTCCCATCTGTTGGGTAAACTGTGGCTTCAAGAAACAAAATCAGTCAGGTGAAGGTTTGAAGATATTTTTTTCTTATTATCAAAATATCCCACATAATAGAGCTGTGTGAGGTAATATAAAATACCTTAAACTTTTACCTTAAATTCTTTAATGAGACTTCACTTGCAACTAACATGGACAGTATACTGTGTGGGAATCATGTCATACAAACGATTAAAGAGAGTAGCTGCTAATGGCGTTTGTAATGTGGACTGTATGGAACCGCCTTTCGCAGAGGAACAGGCTACTCTAATAACATTGGACCAGTAATTCTTACGGATTGCGTTACAATTATACCAATATTCACGGCAACAGTGACACGTGATGATTGTTTCCCGAGAGGACTAACCTCCACCCAAAAAAGTATAAACATGTGTCCTAGCACTTCAAAGCGACTGCAGAAAGGACTTCCTACTAGAAGGTGTTTGATATCATAAACCAGAATGTGCTCAAGACACAGTGGCACTCACTCTGTATATTCGCAACGAAGATATACACATGAAACGTCACTGCGTTCTTACGCATGCGTAGCAAACACACACTTCCCTGTCAACCATTTGACAGCCGCCCATTGGTCCTCTCAACTGATCCGCCTCCATTAGATGTAAATGTTTCGCGGGAACATTGAAGACGTGAAATAACCTAATCTGTTCTCGTGAGAAGGTTCTGGATATCAGTCCAACTGAGCCCGTATTGAAGTAAAGTTTTCGTATCCTGGTTGAACAAATTTAACTATGTTCGGAAAAACGCTCTTTTTGGCTTTAACTTTCGCGTTGCTTCACACCGGTAAGTGCATTTAAGAGTACGCCACTTTGGAAGCTACACGGACACGGTTATTTTTCTGTTTTGAGCCTAATGTAGCAACACTACTTTGGGTTTCACGAACCCTTTAAAAGAGGTTACTGCGTTTTAATTGCTCTGTGTGCTATTCAAACTCTCCCACCTCACTCGACTCGTTGAAAGCTAAGGCTAACAGCGCAACAGGTACCTGTGCTCTGTTTAGCTAACTGCTTTTACAGTTTTGAACTTAGTTTTTCTTTTGAACTGAGACCTGATGTGTATATACAGTGTAGTAAACCCAGCATAACGCCACAAATGTCAATTTTAAGGCGCTAAGCAATTGTTTAGCAAACGCTAAACGATTGTTGTTATTGTGTTGTGGCTACCTAGGTTGCTTGTATTACCAGTTTAGGATTTAGAAACTCTTCTTTCCAAATTTGGTGAAATCTTTATGTCTAGCTTCTCTCTTTTAACTTGGAAGATTTTATACTAATTGTATATTTGATGTGGTACACAGTGCAATAAATACCCAAGTAAGCAAGTTCTTGATTGTTTTGCATTCCTCACATTTCATGAGTGAACTGCCGCAGGTTTGTCATTTGTATGGTTTACTCACAAGTGTGTGAAATAATCGTGATATAAAGAGTCTGGCACAAAACAAACAAAAGTCTCTGAAAAGATCCTCGTTTAGAAAAGAAAAAGATTATGAGGAACGTGCTGTGTACAATGATAGAAAACTGTTAGGAAGTTTGTAAACTCTGTCAACAAAAAAGCTATTTGAGGTCTTGGGCTGTGATTCAAAATATTGCTTTTGACAACTTGTATAATCAAATAACACACAGGTGTCAAACTCGGGCCCACGCGCCAATTTAGCCCGCAGCCTAATAGACCCTCTGCACGAGAAAATGCTGACTTCCTGGTTTGAGATGGGATGTGGGGTTGTACATTTTCGGTAGCTTTACTTTGCGGTCAATCACTACTGCGAAGATATCCTCCAAAATCATGTCCAGAACTCGAAAACGGAAAGATCGCGTTAAGTTGCAAAGAGCAGAAGGTGGGAACACTCACCACTGTTGTGTCAAAAAATCTAATGATCAGTTTTGACGTTTAAAGAGTTTAGATCGATCAGTTGTTTACATCACTCAACACAAGCAGAACTGCATCACTGCAGAAGACGCATCGTCCACATTCAGAAGCACATCTCTGTGTAGTGACTGGTCTGATGATTTAAACAGGCAAATGTTCAGCATTCAAACTACAGGTGAAGAATAGTCAAACCAGATGTTTCCCCCATTATGTCGAGATCAGCTAGTCAAGTACACACCTACACAGCATGTTAATAAACCCTGAAAAAAGCCACACAAAAAATGAATGATTGCTGGTAACGGTTTCTATACATTAGTATTTACGAAGGGTATGTTGTGACTTACCTTCAAAATTACAGCGGTCCCTCGCTATAACGCGGTTCACCTTTCACCTCGCTGTTTCGCAGATTTTTTTAGTGCAAGTTTGCATGCTTATTTTTTTTTTTACATCACATTGTGTCCTGCGTCCTGATCGCTGCAGACGATCTCCTCCGTGACGTCTCTCCTGTACAGTACAGAATCGCTGCATCGATCTCTGGCAGTGTGACTCTGAAGTGCAGTGCTGTATGTCCACGAAACGTTTTGCACCATCAAAAAATAAAATTGGCTACTTGATTTCACCTCTCGCTGGTTATTTTTAGGACATAACACCCGCAATACACGAGGGACAGCTGAGAAATATAACATTTGAATCCCTTTTCTCTTTTGCTCTGAGGCGCGGGGGGAAAAATATCACAAGTCGATGAACGTCATTTACAGATATATTGGGTAAATGCCCGAGACATCTATAGAAATGTAAATCGCGGCTTGATTCATTCATTTGCTTTACTTGTTTTGGACCATAAACCAGGCGCGAATAGGACACCGGAAACAAAGCTCCCCACAGGAGTTTCCGCACCGGAAGCAGCATATGCTAACGTGCACATAGTCTATTACATTTGGCCCGCGAAGCCATACCAAATTCCTATCAGAGCTGGCCTACTGGTATTATACAGCTAATATATATATTGTTTAGTATTAAGCTTTGCTTGTTCCATATTCAGTTTTTCAGCCAAACTTGTTTGAGTCCATAAGAAAAGATTCATTCTTATATCTGGAGGAAGGGTTTTTTTTTTTTTTTTTTTTTTTTTTTTAATAATAATTATTAACATTAGCCCGCGACTTTGTTCCAGTTTTGAATTTTGGCCCACTGTGTATTTGAGTTTGACACCCCTGCAATAATGCAATAATCAAATGAACTAATGGTGAAAGCTGTCACAATGTGCAGCCCTAACTTCGGTTAGCTTACTGAAAATGCCAGAATTTCTTTTTTCCCCCTTTTTTTAAAAGGGAAAAGTTAAATTTTTTACAGTCCCTATTCTTACAGTTTGCATGACTTCCTGAACGAATCCAATAGTGTGTTTAAACGAAATGCTTGGTATGTACAACTTGCACTGTCTGGGTAAACAGATTAACAGATAGCTGTATGTTTCTTGTTTAGCTTGGTGACCCCCGCTTTAACCATATGTACCTGCATGAACTTGAAAGTGGAGACAATGTATGTGCAGTCTTTGTTCATGTTAAAACTGTTTGTTTCTCCAGGAAAACTTCAAACTTCGAGCTCTACTCAGGAAATCGAAAGATCAAACGGTGATGATCTCACTTTTCAGTGTGAAATCCCCCCGAGAACCAACTTGAAGTGCCCCTCTCTGGTTCTGAAACGAGTCGATGGAAATACAAGTTACCCCACAAGTGTCATCTACACCTGTCGAAATGGAAAGGAAGATCTTCATTCACAATACAGAAACCGGGTGAAGTTCATCAATGAGGACATGAGGAGAGGATTGATGACTGTACGGATCCGATCAGTCCAGCAGTCTGATAGCGGAAAGTACAAATGGTTTATCCCAAATTCAAAATACGCCTGTTTTTTTGATGTTGTTGGTAAGTTGGTTCATGAGCTTGTTCATTATTTGATATCACTGGTATTACTTAATAAATGTTGGAATTGTATATGGTTAGGTAAGTAAGAAACAGAATTAAAACAACTTGATGGTTTTTACCTCATTTGAAACAGTGACAGAGAAGCAAAACCTTACTAAGGAGAATGACACCAGCACAACAGCAACAGAGGAAATGCCAGATACAGGTAAGACTGGCACAATGAGGTCATCGGTTTGTTTGAAAAAAAAAAAAAAGAAAATCAAGACTTATACCTTACAAACACTTTGCTTTTCCCTTTAGATCCTGCACCAGAGAACCGTCATCATTATTATGCCCTCATTCCCGTCTTTGCTCTTCTCATAGCTACTGTTTTCCTGATGCTCTTCAAGAACAGTGAGTTAAACAGCATTACATTTTTAATTTAGCCATCACCGACTTTTGCATTCAGACTTTTGAATTGGTACGCTCAGTCAAGTTGATTCATAGATCTGGTTTCTCAGCTGAAGTCCATTGATCAAATGAGGACCACAGGAGGATTCATTATTTGTTTTTCGGCACAGGCTGTACAGGCTGAGCTCCGTTATGGTGCAAAGCTATTTTAAACAACCAGCACTCGTTTGTTTCCCCTAATAAATGCACCCCTAACAAACAGCTACTGAACGACAAGTCACAAAAAGTGATGTAAAGGTGTGGAATGATATTTACGTCATAACAAATGCACAAGCGCATTTAAATTCCACGCATGTAAATTCAACAAACCGTGCAGATAGTCTGCTTTGCACACACTGCTATAGTTTCACACTCAGCGAGTAGCTCCCTGCACTCAGAGGCAAATCCTGCTCAAACGAATAAATGTACTTTTACCGTCTGGAGGCGGAGACCAATGTAGCACACAGTGCTAATGTGATTGGTCACTTTGATGCACACTTCAGGTTACTGTGTTAAACTGAGGTACGCTGTGGCAGCGACAGAAACGCTGTTTTAAACCGTACTTGTTAACATTTTGAAAACATAGCAGTGGCAAAACTGTCACTGTATTACTTTAATGCTGAAGAAAGCAGAGGATTCAAAAGTAAGTTCTCTTGTACAGTATTACATAGCTTAAAACTTATAACGAGGACCAGGAAAGAAAGTGTGCATCAGAATGTGGCAACTATAAGTTTGGCTAAAATAAAGATGTTTAAACCAATCAACATAAAGTTGCTCAGTCTGCAGGAAACGCATGTAACGGCACGTTTCAAAACGTGCCCTTGAAGTCTTTAATAAGTCTTTAAGATGAGTTTCAGCATTAAAGTGAAGCCCGTCATAAATCAGTACAACAGAAGTAACTGCTGTAGTTAAACTAGCAAACTGCGCTTTCAAAACATCAACACATCCTCACAACTGATATGTAGCACAGATCAACTCTTTGCTTTAGAATAGAATAGAATTCAACTTTATTGTCATTGCACATGCACAGGTACAGGGCAACGAAATGCAGTTTGCATCCATCCAGAAGTGCTTTAGTGATATAGATATATTACAATATATATTAGCAATAGTATAGATATGTAAGTATATTACAGAATGGGTCTATTATGGTATGTTATAATGTACACGGTATGTTGTGAATATTCTATAACTATAAGTATGTACAGGCTGTAGTGAGTACAAGCTATGTACAGGATATGAACAGGATATAAATATGAAAAACTATACAGAATATGAAATAAATAACTTTACAGAAATCTGAGATATACAGCTATACAGAAATGGGAACTATGCAAGTTATAAACAGTTGTAGGATTAAAGATTATTGAATGTACAGAATGATTATTTACACAGAGCTATACAGTAGTGCAGTTAAGATAAGTGAGGGTGTAGATAGTTTCTACAGAGGCTATATAAAGTGCTAGTGGTTGTGAGTGGTGGTTCACTCCATGTTATTATTGTGTGTTTGAGGGTACAGTTGTCCATTGTGGGTGTGTGTATGTCCAGTCCATGTGTTAACGTGGGTCAGATGTCAGGAGGCAGAGTTCAGGAGTCTGACAGCTGTGGGGAAGAAGCTGTTCCGGTACCTGGTGGTCTTAGTCCGGAGGCTCCTGTGGCGCCTCCCAGAGGGCAGGAGGGTGAAGAGTCCATGTGATGGGTGACTGGGGTCTTTGATGATTTTCCCAGCCCTTTTCAGACACCGCTTCCTGTAGATATCTTTTATGGCAGGAAGTGGTGCTCCGGCGATGCGCTGGGCAGTTTTCACGACCCTCTGCAACGCCTTCCGGTCCGAGGCAGAGCAGTTCCCGTACCAGACTGTTATACAGTTGGTCAGGATGCTCTCGATGGTGCAGCGATAGAAGTTCACCAGGATGTCTGAGGACAGGTGGTTCTTCCTCAGAGTCCTCAAGAAGAAGAGGCGCTGGTGAGCCTTCTTGACCAGCTTGGAGCAGTTGGTCGTCCAGGTGAGATCCTCGGAGATGTGGACTCCCAGGAACTTGAAGCTGCTCACACGCTCCACAGCCGTCCCCTTAATGTGGATGGGTGGATGTGGGTCAGCATTCCTCCTGTAGTCCACGATGAGCTCCTTGGTCTTCTCGGTGTTAAGCAGCAGGTTGTTTGTGTCGCACCACTCAGCCAGACGATCCACCTCCTCCCTGTAGGCGGCCTCATCGTTGTCACTGATGAGGCCAATCACCGTGGTGTCATCTGCAAACTTAATGATGGTGTTGGAACCATCAGCAGGTCTGCAGTCGTGGGTGAAGAGGGAGTAGAGGAAAGGGCAGGTCCAGGTGTGAGAGGACAGAGTGCAGTGCGATGGAGACTGCATCCTCTGTGCTCCTGTTCTGGCGGTATGCAAATTGGTGGGGGTCCAGGGTGGGGGGGAGACAGGATTTGAAGTGTGCTAGGACCAGCTGCTCTAACCACTTAGTGATGATGGGGGTGAGTGCTACTGGGCGGTAGTCATTGAGGCAAGATGGGTTGGAGTTTTTGGGTATGGGGATGATGGAGGTGGATTTGAAGCAGGCCGGTACCACAGCGTGGGCCAAGGACAGGTTGAATATGTCTGTGAGCACTCCTGCAAGCTCCCCAGAACACGCTCTGAGAACACGCCCGGGGATGCCATCGGGACCTGCAGCCTTGTGGACATTGATCCTGCTCAGCACCGCTCCTACATCGGTGGGGGAGAGAGTCAGAGGTTGGTGGTCTGGCGTCATGTCTGCTTTGATTGTGGTTGTGGGGTTCCCTCGCTCAAAACGAGCATAAAAGTTGTTGAGCTCGTTGAGGAAGGAGACATCAGAGGATGCGGGGGAGGGTTTGGTGGTCCTGTAGTCTGTGATGGTCTGGAGTCCTTGCCACATACGTCGGGGGTTGGAGTTGGAGAAGTGTTCTTCTACCTTCTTTTTGTAATGGTGTTTGGCTTTTTTGATGCCCTTCTTTAGATTAGCCCTGGCTGTACTGTAGGCGTGTGCATCTCCTGACCTAAAGGCGGTGTTGCGGGCCTTCAGGAGGAGACGAACATCCCGGTTCATCCAAGGCTTCTGGTTGGGGTACATGGTGATCCGTTTCTGGGTGGTGACACTATCTGTGGTTTCGGAGATGTAATCCAGTACAGATGAGGCGTACTGGTCCAGGTCTGTGTGGGTGAACATATTCCAGTCTGTGTTTTTAAATCTGTCCTGGAGCACTGCGTCTGTCCCCTCTGGCCACACTTTAATTGTCCTCACAGCAGGTTTCACATGTTGGATGAGTGGTCAATACCGAGGTGTGAGGAACAGGGAGAGATGGTCCGATTGTCCAATGTGGGGGAGGGGTGTGGCTTTGTAGGCTCCAGCCAGGTTGGAATACACATGGTCTAAAGTCTTGTCTCCTCTGGTGTGGCAGGAGACATGTTGGTGGAATCTGGGGAGGACTGTCTTTAAGTTGGTGTGGTTGAAGTCGCCAGCAACAATAAAAGCAGCCTCGGGGTGTTTATTCTGGTGTTTGTTAATGGCTGCAGAAAGTTCTTTCATGGCCAACCTAGCATTAGCGTCGGGGGGGATATACACGGCAGTGAGTATGATCGAAGTGAGTTCTCTGGGGAGATAATAAGGTCTGCATTTGACCATTAAAAACTCCGCATTAGGTGAGCAGTGACTCTCAGTAATAGTGGAGTTCATGCACCAAGCATTGTTAATATAAATGCACAAACCTCCACCTCTGGTCTTGCCGGAGTCATCTGCTAGCCTGTCGGCTCGGTGTGTGTGGCGTCCTGCTAACTCGATAGCATTGTCCGGGCAGCTGTTGTTCAGCCATGTTTCGGTGAAAAACATGACATTTGAGTCCATAATCCGTCTGTTGTTAGTGATGGAGAGCCGTATCTCATCCATTTTGTTTGCCAGAGAACGGACATTGGCGAGAAAAATACTGGGTAAAGGCAGCCGGTGTGGTGTTAGCTTTAGCTTAGCCCGTAGCCCTCCGCGCCTACCCCGCCTTTGTTTACGATCTCGGCGCCGTCTGCGTGCACTTCCGCCCGGCCGGGGAGAGTGGGCAGCCTCCGGTGTTCTGGAGATCTCTGGGATGGATTTTATATTCATAAAATATAACTATAAAAATTCAAATACTTCTCTAATCATATGTAGCAGAATTAGATTCATATAAAATATACATCAACTAATTAATTGTGGTGTGATTTTTAGCTTCAGTGAATTAGTCCCATCAGTGGTGTACACTTTAATGACTGAACACTTATATGGAGTTTGAAGTATATTTTAATACAGAACATTTGAACTTTTACTTCAGTAAAAATGTATTTTTACAGAATGCACATGTACTGTAGTATTACTTTTTTATATAAGTATAGGTAGAGCTGGGCGATATAAGATTTTTTTCATATCACGATATGTTTTTTCATTTCAGGCGATAACGATATCTATCACGATATAAGCCAAATAACTATATTTGTAAGATTTAAATGTGCCGTTGCTCACAAGTAAAATCTGAAATAATCAGCAGCTTGTTTTTATTTAAATATTTATTTCCCATAATAAGTTCAACAGGGTAGATGTACTTAAGGAACATGAGACTTTTTCAGATAAATAAAGGCAAATATTGCAAACTACACAAAAGGCAGCCGCTAAAGCGTTTAAGTTTCAAAATAGAACAAACGAAACAGACTAAACTGTCAATTCCACTTAGAAACAAAATATTAATTCTAAAAATAAATCTTAGTTTGTTTTACAGAAGAACAGACAAAACTGACTAACTTTTGTCAATATCAAATAAACTGAGAACTAAAAGGAAATTCTCAATCTCTCCTTGTTGTATAGCTGAGCTTTTTCAAACAGTTTTAACAGTTACTTTAGTCTGACAAAAGCCGAATGACGAATTAGCGCTTCCAGTCAGAGACTGAGGCTACGTCCACACGTACACGGGTATTTTTGAAAACGGAGATTTTCCGTTTTCGTTTTAAAAAATAATCCCGTCCACACATAAAGGCAGAAATGAAGGAAAACGCTGCTATGAACATGCCAAAGCAGCAGGTGGCGCTAGATTCCTAACCGTGCAGAAATGTTGGCCAATCAGAAGTCTAGAAGCCTCGGCGGGAAAAAGTAAACAAAGCTGGGGCATAGAAGCAGAACCGAGTCGTATGTGTGGAGGGACAGTAACTGTGTGTATATGTAAGCATTTAAACACTGCAGAGAGTAGAATTAACAGTAACAGTATTGTAGAAATTCATTTCACCGAAACAATAACGTGGCGCACAGTGTGACGCATGCACCAGTTTATTGTATTTCCAGACTTGCTTTCGGCACATTTATAGTGAACGCTACTCTGTTTTTTGTCAGACTTGAAATAGCCGAAATACCTTCACACTACGGAACTTCTATGGCTCTTCCGTTCGACAATCTCTCCGGCATTGGAACCATCATCTGTTTTCTCTTCGGTCACGCTCGGTTGATTTTTCTAGTCGGCACACTCATTTCCTCCATTACCCGCTGGCTGCTTCCCAAACAAACACACATGTGCGGCTTGGCACTTGTGCTGTACGTAACAAGTCACGCGACGTGACACTGCGGCTGTGATTGGTTCGGCTCTGCGCTGCTTAATTTGGATTGGCTGACTTTTTTTTTTTTTTTTTTTTTTTTTTTAGAGGACAAGAGCGGCGAGGTCTATCGCGATAGTTTAATTTCTCTATCGAGTAAAAGTTATATCGCGATACATATCGTTATCGTTCTATCGCCCAGCTCTAAGTATAGGATTTAGGATGGGTACTTCTTCCACAGCTGTAAACAGCAGATAACACCTGGCATGCAGCAGCTACAAGCATAGTGTGTTATAGTTATATGACCTTTTAGATTCATACAGCATGATGGCAACAACCTGAACTGTTCATCAGACACTAGTTCAGACCAATGAGCTACTTACCAAAGACAGTGTGTCACATCCTGCTCTGCTGTCCACCCCACAGACTGTCTGTGGTCACGGTGTGTGGAGCTCTGGAGCCAGATGTGTACAGCTGTTTCACTGAGTGAAGTACACTCACCGGCAACAACATAAACACATTTTATAAAATTACGTTTACTTGACTTTTTCCTGTTGTTGTTGTTTTTTTTAATAGCAATGATGTGTGCTTCTCATTGTGATTTTTAAAAGCTGTGTAATACTGTACAACAGATTAATGGGGCAGCAGTGCAGAGGCTTCAGAACTAACCTTAGAATAAAATTAACATTTAATAATCCAGTGACAGTTGTCAGTGTTTCCACTGATGTACAACAAACGGTAACTGCTGATGATTAATTCAGCAGCCTTTATTTTTCAACTTCTAAACAAATGCAGTTTAAAACAGCTTTTCTGTCCCTGTCACAGTGTAACTCAGTTTAACACAGTAACCTCAAGTGTCGATCAAAGTGACCAATCACATTAGGACCCCGTCTACCTTTGTCTGCCTCCAGACAGCAAAAGTAAGTTTAAAAGCATAAGCAGGATTTCTCTCCGAGCGCAGGAAGCTCTCTGCGCTGTGAAACTGTAGCAGCACATTCAAACCAGACGCTCTTGCGTGTGCGATGGCTTCTTTGTGAGTTCTGCGCATGATGAGATAAATATCATTCATATTAAGGTTGTACCCCCTCACTGATACCATTTCTAATTTCCATCTCTTATAAAATTATAGTATGCTAAATTGTGCTCATTTTCTGAGTGCTCATAGTTTACTTTCATTTTGTTTAAAATTAATTAGATTTTTTTAATCTCTTTTGAAGTTCCAAATTTCGCACTGTACCTTTAATCAAACACTATTGCTATCCATAATAAGCATATACTGTTAAACATTAGACGACATGGATATAAAACAGATGGGAGCTAGTGTTTTCTAAATTGCACATTCAGCTCAACACATAAATGGCACTTTGGCCATCAGCCGGGCTTTCTGAAAATCCACCCATGTGAAGTGTTGTTGGTCTCCAGGTGGGTGCGTCTGGTTAACTTTCCAGATGGTTCGGCTGGTTATGTTGCAGCTTCCGTTTAAAGTGACTCTACAAAGTCTTGAATCACTCATATTTATTTGTACGTTAGTTCCAATGAGACAGACTTTCTTGCCTTCTTACTTATGTGTTTAGTTAATTTTATTATCTTTTTTTTTATTTATTTTTTTTGTGGTCTTGAGCACCAGTTCTTTACTTTTTTGTCTGATCATTGGCTGCTTTTTCACTCATTTTTCAGGCCTGTCCCTATACCTGACCATCTTCAGATAAACCGTTTGTTTGTTTTTTGGTTAAATATAATATACCACGTTCTGACTGAGAGATTTCTGAAAAATTCAAACGTGCACCTCTGCTGTCACTTCCCACACAAATAAAGATAAAAAGCTAAAGAGCAGTGTGACGTTTGTAGGGTTACTGAAGTTGAGCTAGCTGGTATGTAATGATGTGCTTGGTGGTGCCAGCTACACAGCTATGGTTAGTATAATATAAACATTAGCACAGTAAAGCTGAAGGATGAACACTAACTTCTCCAATCGATTAGATTAGATAAAACTTTATTAATCCCTCGGGTTGGTTCCTCCGGGAAATTCGGTTTCCAATAGCACAGCACCGACAGAAGTTACAGAATGTGAGCAGAAATATACCATATATATAAATACAGAGTATACACAAGGGATAAATAGAATAAATAGGAATAAGAATGCAAGGGATTTGCACATTTCAAGTATTGTGAGTCTATTGCTCCGTTGGATATTAAGTATTGTACAGTGAAGAGGCACTACAGCTGTTCCCTCCTCCTTTGTCCTCCTGTTTCCCCTCCCTCTCCCCTCCAGAGAGGAGTTAAACAGTTTGGCGTGTGGAACAAGGAGTTTTTTAAGTCTGTTGGTCTTTGGGAGAAGCAACCTGTCACTGAACAGACTCCTCTGGTTGTTAATGGCTGTGTGCAGAGGATGCCCAGCATTGTCCATAATGTCCAGCAGTTTCTTTAATGTCCTTTTCTCTGCCACTGTCACCAGAGTGTCCAGCTTCATGCCGACCACAGAGCTAGCCTTCCTGATCAGTTTTTCCAGCCTGGATGTGTCCTTCTTTGCTGTGCTGCTCCGCCAGCACACCACAGCTTAGAACAGTATTCCAGCAACCACCGAACATTAGCATTCACATTGTAGGATACTGTAAACTAGGGGTGGGGAACTGCAGGCCTCAAGGGCCAGTGTCCTGCAGATTTAAGATATCACCCTGGGTCAACACCTGAATCAAATGATTAGTTGATTCCCAGGCCTCCAGAGAACTTGAAGACATGTTGAGGAGGCAATTTAGCCATTTGAATGAGCTGTGTTGGATCAAGGATGCATCTAAAACCTGCAGGACACCGGCTCTCGAGGCCTGGAGTTTCTCCCAGTGACCTTGACTTGACCTTGAAGTCAGAGGTCAAGTTTTCTGCACGTACAGTTTGGATGTTTTAGAATCACATGTTTTAGAACCACATGTTTTAGAACCACATGTTTTAGAACCACATGTTAATGCTTGTAGAACAATGAAATTATTTGCTGCCGACTGAAATGGTGAAGCTATTTTTTACCTGGATAAGACGAAACCTTGCTTTTTAATTCAGCCCTCGGTTTAGTGCTTTTGGATAGTACAGCATTATTTCAGTTTCTAACTGGTTTTCTTGTTCTCACAGGGATTTGTAAGACATGCCAAAGGAAGACTGAAGAGAACGACTCTGAGCTGGAAACCCAAGGTAACAGAGCAAAGAAAGGAGATGAAGAGGAACAGCTCAAGAAACCATCAGCAAGAGGAACTGACGGACTGAAAGGATAATCTCATCATCACGGCCAGAGAAAAGAAGCTTTTTTGAATATCCACCATTTGGGCCATTCATCTGATCCTTCTGTCAGTTGCTCAGGTGCAACTAAATATTTCCTGGAAACGTAGAAAAAAAGTAAGATTGTTTTATGAATTATTTGGAAAATCAAATTACTTAATAGTAGGGCTGCCACGATCAGTCGACTAGTCACGATTACGTCGACTATCAAAATCATCGACGGCTGATTTAATAGTCGACACGTCGTTTGAAGCTTTGTAAGATTCCAAAATACGCAGGAATAAGTAGCAGGATTTAAGAGTGTAATAACAGACTGAAACAGAAGATGGCAGCACTGCATGTACAAGGATGCCAGCTGCCATTAAACCCCGAAGAAGAAGCTGTTTCCAAATTCAGGAACTGCATCCTCCTGTGCCCGCATTTGTAGGCCGATTACGTTACAGCCACACGACGAAGACTGTCCAAACTCGAACACTCCGACAAATGCGGCCCAGAAATGCGTCCTTCATTTCCCCAGATTTGAAGGATGGGTCGGGATGGGTCGTGGCCCAACCTATCCCAGAATTCATAGCGCAGCCCAGCTCAGTTTCCAACAATGGCGGCAGCTAGTTAGTTTTAATGTTACTCTTATTATTCTTTCTGGGTCACAAAATAAACGTTTAACATATTTTCAGGTGAGAATGTAGCTGTGTAAACCTCAAATATCTGCTCAGTTTATCAGGACACCGCATATTTTCAAAAGCGCTCCGACCAGCTCGATAGCTAGCCGGGGTTCAAGGCTCACTAGAGCCGTGAGAACACCGGACTCCCGGCAAATCGTTTTCAAACCCACCGCAGTCTTTCGCTACTCAGGTTAAACATGATATATGAGTCACGTAGATAACTTAAAAATGTTATTGTTTGGCTTTTTTTAGCATTTTATTTGTTCCTGAGTAAATCAGTTTGTCTGAGATTAAAGTTATAGTTTTTACACAGCTGAATAAACGTCAAGCAGACAGCTGATTATCAGAAGTGTGAGAATTTACTCCGGTGTCCTGTTATATCTTAGATAGCAAGGAGTTTATTAAACTTCACCAAAACAATCTGCAAACTTCATTAACATTTAATAAACTATCATCTTGTCTTTATTGTTAGTTAGCACAAAGCTTAAACACTTAAAGCTGTAAGCTAATGATAGTTATAGCATTAGCTGGTGCAATAAGCTGGATGCATGATCTGATTAGTCGACTAATCGCAAAGATAATCGGTGACTAGTCGACTATCAGAATAATCATTTGTGGCAGCCCTACTTAATAGCAATTTGTAGCAGGGATTTAAAAGCCTTCTAAGCCCATGAAAGTGTTCACGATCCCATTAACTATTTTAAAATCCTGGTGGAAGTGCAACCAAATAAGCTAGAGCAATAATTTTTTGCATATTAAAACAGAGGAGTTGTACTTCCATATCAGTATTTAACTTGTCCCAGGTTGCAGTTTCCTTCCACTAATGGCTTTGCAAAAAGTGCAAGAAACAACAAAAAATTTATTATTATCCAGACAAATTTTGCTGATCTGATCAGCTGTTCACAGCACTTCCTGCGTTTGAATAAACTTTATCATGTTGTCAGCAGGAACTATCGCCTCATTTTGTGGGAAATGTAGTTTTTTGTTTTGGTTTTTTTTTTCAGAAAGTTCATCTTTGACTTTCTGTATAGTCTCTGTGACACAGTTGGAAATAGTTTATTTTTGAGGCACATGCTGTTGCAGATTGTGCACAAGATCGATTTTTGTTTTTGCAGCAGTTTATAAAAATTAGTGTTTGTTAGAAATGAAATTCTGAGGATACAAAATAAATTTCCTGTGGTTCGGAACTATTTTGCAACAGTTTTCACCTCTGAAATCTCTTATTAGAAAAATGTGTTAAAAAAATATAATTTTTAATTTATTTGTAGTTTTTTGCACCTTTTTAGCAATTTAAGTCGTTACTATGGACTTAATGCATACATATTATTAAAATTTGCGATACAGTGATTGTAATGTATGTATTGTATGTTTAGCAACTTGAAATCCTCCAAAAACTGACACTATAGCATCGAAAAATGTAAAGACTTGTTCTATGATGGGCTTACAAGGTTAAGCAAAACTTACCTTTCACTAATTTTGTCATTCTAGCTAGCAAACAATCCCCAAGTGGCTAATTTTGCAGTTGCATTTGAAACCCCTGTCACGTGTTTGCACATTAAACGATTTTATCTTACCATAATTTATTTATATAGCACTTTAAAAACAACACATGGCCGACCAAAGGCGAGTAAATAAAAATGAGTTTTTAATCTGGATTTAAAAACCAGCACTGATGTAGAGTTCCTGATGTGAAGAGGAAGATCGTTCCAAAGCTTTGGGGCCACAATATAGAACGCTCCGTCTCCTCCAACTTTCATCCATCATTTAGGGACTCTGAGCAACACCTGCTCAGCTGACCGGAGTGAATGAGGGGCAGCATATATATTCAGGTACCAGACCATTTAAGGATTTAAAAACCAGTAAAAGGAGTTTAAAATTGATCCTAAATTTAATTGGAAGCCAGTGTAAGGAGGCCAGAACCGGAGTAATATGCTTAAATTTTCTTTTACCAGTTAAAAACCGTGCCGCAACATTCTGCACCAGTTCCAGACGTGCTCTGGCCAAACCCTATTACTCCAAGCATGAGGTTATGATCGTCTCAAAGAGTATACTTATACACTTATACTGACACTCATTAAGCTTTCACCAGCTCTGAATCACGAGGCTCCTGCCCACATCTCTGATCTTTTACAACCGCACGCTCCCTCTCGCAGCCTGAGATCCTCTAATCAAAAGCTGTTGGTCGTTTTAAGACCAGAGGAGATGTTTTAGAGCGGTGGCCCCCAGGTTGTGGAGTGCTTTGCCTCCATCTTTACATTGCCTTGATTGCATTCATTCTTTTAAACAGCAGCTTAAGACTCTTTCATTTAGATTGGCTTTTAACTAGAATTGTGCAGTTTGTTCGATTGTGCTGTTTTATGTATCTGTTTTATATTATTGTGAAGCACTTTGTGGTTCTTATTCTGTTAAGAGTGCTATATAAATAAAGTATCTACAATTAATTGTGTTGAATGTTTGCTTCGATGTGTTGAAATGTTTTGCTACAATTGTGCTACGTGTGCTCTCTAAATTGTTTCTTTCTTTCTAAATTTATTACATTTTTAAGGAGAAACGTGTGTGTGTGTGTGTGTGTGTGTGTGTGTGTGTGTGTGTGTGTGTGTGTGTGTGTGTGTGTTTTAAGTATTATGTAAGACCCTCCCAGTTTGACCTACCTTACCTTAATTTCAAGTCAGTCTGACTGGATTTCAAAGTAAAAGCCCTTGGAAATGTCTTTGGTGCTCCAAAATCTCATCAGGTTTGTTTAATTATTTTATTTATCTTTCTTAATTCTGAATGACGACATAGGGAAACATGGAGGCACTATCAACTTCAGCTTCATAGTATCTCACCCTACAGTTACTCGGCCACTCTAAATTAACTCTTGCATTGTGAAATATAAAATCAGCCTTTCGAAATGCACAGTGGGAGAAGTGATCTACTTCTGAATAAGAACAAGACCAGAGAAAGTGAGTTCAGTTTGAGGACGATGCCTATAAGACGGTCCATCCTGGGACAGCATGTTGAGCTGGTGGAGCACAGGTACCTGAAGCAGAAGACCAACAAAGAGCCTCTACACACAAAAGGGGCTGAGCAGCCTCTATTTTGTGGAAAAAGTGGAGACCCTGTAATGTGCAGCAAAATTATAGAGATGTTCTTTCCCTCAGTTCAAATGAGTACGGTGCTGAGGTCTGCTGGTGACACCAGAAACGATGAATAATCCAACCAGGACGGCTCCTCTGTGGAGGATTCTGAAGCTGGATTGGTGAGAACACACTGATAATGCTTTTTTTTTTTTTTTTTTTTTTCTTTCAACTTTACTACTAGAAGAATATAATCTATCATATGAGTAATCATTCTAGCTGAGATTTGTACCTTTAGCCAAAAGCTTTTGAGTAGGATTTCCGGATGGTAAGTCTGCTTGAGCCGTCCAGCCTAGTGTACTACTAGTAGTATACTACTTTTCCAGAATCGCTCTGACACAGGATATTGCGAGTTTTAAGAGTACTGTGTTTCTAGAGATTTGTTGGATGCTGAAGAACTCTGATAGAAAAATGCCCACAACATTCCAGACGGTGATATTAGGGGCCAATGTAATGCTGTCCAGAGGACGTATCCAGTCAGACACCCTGTTTCTGACGTCTTATTCCAGGAACTTCATTTAGTTTCAATTTAGAATTATTGTGGACTTCAGGAAACACACAGCTCCACTCCCCCCCATCATCCTGTCTGACACCCCCATCACCTCTGTGGACTGATTCCGCTTCCTGGGTACCACCATCACCCAGGACCTGAAGTGGGAGCCCACCATCACCTCCGTCATCAAGAAAGCCCAGCAGAGGATGTACTTCCTGAGGCAGCTGAAGAAATTCAACCTGCCAACACGGACGATGATGCAGTTCTACACCGCAATCATCGAGTCCATCCTCACCTCCTCCATCACCGTGTGGTACGCTGGAGCCACTATCAGGGACAAACAGAGACTGCAGCGTGTTGTGCGCTCTGCTGAGAAGGTGATTGGCTGCAGACTCCCATCTCTGCAGGACCTGTACACCTCCAGGACACTGGGGCGTGCAGCTCGGATCTCAGCTGACCCTTCTCACCCTGGACACAGTCTGTTTGACCTGCTCCCCTCAGGCAGGAGGCTCCGGTCCATTCGCACCAGAACCTCTCGCCATAAGAACAGTTTCTTCCCCTCTGCTGTTGGACACATGAACAATAACCGTATGACTGTTCCCGCCACTAACACATGACCCTACGCTGTGTTCACTGCATCATTCCATGTTTGGCACTGATCACCACCTGCACTCATGTATATATCTCATGTATAGCTCATGCACATATCTTTCTACATAGCACTTTTAATTCTTATTCTTATTTTTATTTCATGTCTATTTAAGCGTAATTTATGGCAGTATGTTTGCACTGAAGCACCGCAGCAATTTCCAAATGTAAACCTGCTCAACATTTGGCAATAAAACCCTTTCTGATTCTGAGAAGCAGACTGTATGTTATAGTGACTCTTGCAGTTTAACTGAACTTTGTTGGACTGTTGCCTAATAGTAAGAAGGTTATTGGATACCCTCCCCTGACCCGCTATCACTATTTAGAAACATATCAGAGTTGATATTGACAGAGTGCCACTGTGAGGGTGTATACTGTACCTAGACCATGGAAATATGAAGTATCCTTTTATACCATTAGGAAAATTATTTGAATCGTGGTTCTTATGCTTGGCAATACTTGATATCCACACACGACGTAAAACCATGTGGGAGTTTGCACAGTGAGTCAAAGTTGGAAGAAAACCGTGTGCGATCAGCGTCTAAATGCGGCAGTGCAACTGTACATTTTGGCTGCTTTATCCTGAGGTTTGTAGCTGATATAAAAAGGAGAATTTCAGAGCATTTAAAACAATTTCTTTTGAGCAGTGCAATCAGGGAATTTCTGATGATTCATTACATTCCCTGTAAACGGACATTTTTCCTATAAAGAACATGTAATCTGAAAAAACAAAAACGTACCTAAACTTGTGCTAACAGCGGCATTTAGTGACATTTACAGTGTAGACGGGTAAACGATGTCTGCGGACGGGAGGAGGTGGTTCGTCGTTAAGCGCTAGCTCGTTTACAGCTAGCTTAAACGAACCTGCGCTTAACTGGCCGCGTAAATGTTTTGGCTCCCCTGATGGACACACTCGCTCCGATCATCGCGCTGTGCTTTCTTGGGGTTTTTTCTTCAGCAGGTAACTCGAACTTATTTAAATGGCAAGTTTGTACGTTTACATCACCAGGAGAACTACAGGCTGTTCGTGTATTTGTAAGCCTGTATGATTTTACCGGTGTTAAAAACCTAATGGCTTCTGTTGTGTGATGCAATTCTGTGGCTTCTCAACTCTTGAAGTTTACAGCGGAAACACTAAATCAATTTTTGGCGCAACACTGATAAGAAAGCAGGGAGAGGAAGATTTCCAAAGCCGTTAATGGCATGATGATACTTTTAATCAGTCAACGAACAGGTTATCGGCAGTAGAGCATTTGTAGTGCTCTGCCGCCAGAGTCAGCACCGGCTTTTTCTTTGGCTGCGAACAGTAATCGTGATCATCAGCTTATTTTGTCGGAGTGGTTTTTGTTTGCATCATTGTTGGCTTTATGGCGAACCGATGCGGTTAATAAGAGTGCAGTTATGGTTACACTTTAGATGGAAGGTGGTATTTCCATCTGAGCAGATGGTCTATAAACTTCCTGCTCTGGGTCCTTTGGAATTTCTTAGGGTAAAAAATATCTGACTGTGGGCTCAGAATGCTTGAAGTCCTGCTACTGAACAATAAACTAACACATTTCGTTGAGAATTCAAATGTAATTTGGAGACTGTCAAATTATATAAATGTTGCTTTTTTTTCCCTCCCCAGAAACTCCTCAAAGCTATTGCCCATCCCCACTGATTCAGGCAGAAGAAGGTCGTAATGTCTCATTACCATGTTATGTGGATCCCTCAGTTGACCTGTCTGCTTATACCGTGGACTGGAAACACACTGACTTGAATGATGTAGTCTTCTCGTGGCGACACGGGCAGGAAAATCATGGTGCACAGGCGGCGAGCTATAGAAGCAGAGCAAGTATCGACTCTGGAGACCTTAGCAGAGGAAATCTAACCCTGCAGATCTTCTCAGCACGCCTGTCTGATAGTGGGCATTACAGGTGTTTTGTGCCAAAACTGAAAGCCTTTTGCATCGTTCATCTTAATGGTAAACACTCTAAATAACCAAGTTTAGTTTGATACTAAGTTTTGTCAAACGTACCTTTATATTTGGTTTTGGAATTTGGTTAAAGAAAGAGCAGAAAAGTGACTTTCCCTTTAAATGTAAACAGTCCCAAATAACATGCAAAAGATGTGAGGGCTTTATTTCATGTTAACAGTTATAGCTTTGATAACACCGAGTGAACCATTGTGTCCTTGTATATTTTGATTTTGTCACAAAGGAAGCTTGAACGGCATGAATGTGACTGAATCTGGCTGATGTTGTGCTGTGTTGTTTAGTACTTTTCTGTGTTGATGTTCACAGTTTCACAGCAATCTAGCTTTCCACTTATCATTATAACTTTCCCACAGGTGTGAATGTGAGTGTGGTCTTTATTTGTTAGTCCTGTGTCAGACTGGGCACCTGCCCACGGTGCACCTGCCCACGGTGCACCTGCCCACGGGGCACCTGCCCACGGTGCACCATGTCCAGGGTGCGCCCTGCCGGTTGCCCTATGGTAGCTGGGATAGGTTCCAGCTCCTCCTTGTAACCCTAACAAGGATAAGCGGAAGAGAAGTGGAACACAATAAAATTAAAATAGCACTTTATTCTGTTTTGTTTTATCCAAAGTAATTTAACATGGACTTGGAGGACACTATCAGACATGCTATCTTTTAAAAAAATAAAAATTTTCTTTTGTTTAGACAGTCTCATATATTTCAAATTCTGAGAATTTATTTATTTTTACAGTAACCAAAGAGATTAATGTCAGGTCCAGCACAACCACATCTCCAAATCTCCACAGCACAACCACAACGCTGAAGCCAAATGATCCAGGCAAGTGACTTTGAACTTTTCTTCTTTTCACTTAATTAAGTTCAATTTAGTTTTATTTATAGTGTGAAATCACAACAGCATTCAGCTCAGGCTGCTTTGTATTACCAGTAGAGACCTTAATGTGGACCTCACCACAACACAGAGAAAAGATGTTGAATGACCTATTTTTTTTTTTCTTCACAGCAGACATTTTGAGCTGATGACGAATCGTTTCTTTTTAAGTGTCCCATTAAGTCATGAAAGTGATGCATCAAGCGTAATAGCAGAGTCCACTGCAGCCATCCCCAGTGTTTTACTAGGAATCAGCTTTCTGCAATGATAAACATCTTTAAAAATAAAAGAACTCTTCATTCATACTGCAAACTTGTGGTTTGATTTTTATATTCTGAAAAATGACTCACTTTTGCATTGTTGGCTGCACGCAGTTCCTGTGAAAACTCGTGTATGAGCTAGAGAAGTGGGTTACACGTGAAGTCGTGTAGAGGGCTAGCTTCCTCTTTGTGAAGTCAAGGTTTGAAAGTACCTAAGTTTTAAAGGTTGCGTTAAAATTCACAAAAACTGCTGTTGTCAGCATGCCACCAGTCACCAGACTGCACAACTCATCTTCTGTCAGTCACATTGTTGCAATACTTTTTCCATTACTTATCAGAGTTCAACACAATTAAAGTGAAAGGAACTGGCTTCAACACTGATACATGATATTTGAAAAATTCCTCACCAGCAGATTTTTTGGTGTCCTGTTCCAACTGCTTTACTTATTTATTTTATTTATTTTTAATTTCTTTGCATATCTGTTAGTTCTGTTAGTGTGCAGGCAGTAATATTGGGAAGAGAAGTCTCAGATCCTGACACAGCCGTCTGTGCTTGACCCATTTCAGCTTCCCTCCAGCCAACAACTGTGCTAAATTTGTAATTACAAGGTTTTATAAAATAAATTTGAATTAAAAATGATCTAAATGTAATAATAATTCATGAATGGCATCACATTAATTTGCCTTTTAATTTCTGATTCTTTCAGATAAACGTCTTGCCGTTCTCCTTCCTGTTGGTATCGTCTTTCTCCTGGCTGTCGTTGGATTTTGTCTGAAGAAACGCGTAAAGATCCGTAAGTTGATCAACTTTAGTGCAAGAATGTGTGTTTTAATAGTTAAACCTTTGATTAGAGATTACTGGCAAGTCTGGTGTTTGATTATGATGAAAATCTGTCATGGATACCAGAGGAAAACGCACTGAAACAGGAAGCAGAGAATAACAGCAAAATTATACATTACACTGATATTAAATGTAAATAAAACACATAAGCCAAACGCAGACTTTTATTGTTCAACTTGAAATGTCTGAAGACAACTTAAGTTTCTTTTATGCTTTTTTTTTTTTCTCATTTTTACTCCATTTTGCATAAATTATTACAAGTGCGTCTTTCCAGAAGAGTCTGTTCAGTGACAGGTTGCTTCTCCCAAAGACAAGAACTAACAGACTTAAAAACTCCTTTGTCCCACACGCCATCAGACTGTTTAACTCCTCTCTGGAGGGGAGAGGGAGAGGAGACAGGAGGACAAAGGAGGGGGGAACAACTAAGCTGTAGTGCCTCTTCACCTCACTGTACAATACCTTGTGCAATACTTTTGTAAATAGTCAACAGTGCAATAGACTCAATACTTGAAATGTGCAATTCACTTGTATTTTTATTTTTTATTCCTATTTATTCTATTTATCCCCTTTGTATATTTTATTTATATTTGTCTCTGTATTTATGTGTGTGTGTGTGTGTGTGTGTGTGTGTGTGTGTATATATCAGTTCTGTAACTGTAACTTCGGTCGTTGCTGTGCTTTTTTTGGAAGTCGAATTTCCCAGAGGAACCCACCCGAGGGATTAATAAAGTTCTATCTTATCTTATCTCTCTCTATCTTTCCATGTTTGCGTGTTTATCAAGGGCAATGCGTGGGGAAGCTGACAGGGCAGAAACGAGGAGTGGACCGTTCAAGCCACGTTGAACTTCAGTCTTTGGAGAATTCAACAATGAAATACGACACGAACAAGGCTTCTTGAGAAATGAGTGAAGTACAATGTTGTGCTTGTCTTTGATTGGCTGAGTGATCAAAATGATTTTAGATTCTCAAGCTGCTCTCATTACGTTACAGCTGATTTAAGTACAACTTAATTCAAATTAATTACGTTGGATCGTTTTAAGCGTTTCTAAAAGCTCATCCTTGTTCCCATTTAGAGACTCGTATTCGATCTGTGTTATTGTATTTCATATTGGAATAGTGTGTGCTTTTGTTTAGTGTATGTAGCACTTTGCAGTGTGTGTGTGTCTGTCTGTCTGTTGCACATATATGCTTGTATAGCCATTTATGTATATAAGTATATGCATAAACTGTGCCCCCCCCCTTCCTTCTACATGTTTGCACTGAGTAGATGCTCTGTATCTCATTGTACATCTGTATAGTGACAACAAAGGCATTCTATTCTATATAAGCGTATGCTTACTTTATATATGGATGTCTTGTAACATTTTAACTCATTTTATTCCTTCTTTTGTTTTAACTACATTGTCCCTCTGTTCAACAATTTGGCCTTGATGTCTTTTAAGTAAATTAATGGTCACAGATCTGGGAACAATCACTGAGTGACTTACTGGTTATGTTTTAAATTCCAAAAATGAATTGGGACTCTGAGAGGCAGAACAAACAATCTGCTAAAAATCATGATGTGTTGGTTGAATATACAGCGTCCTCCATAATGTTTTTAAGATTGTATTTTTTTTTTCTCTGTACACGAGCACGGTGGATTTACGTAATGTTTTTTTTTTCCGTGAACGGGAAACTGCTTAAAGAAGCAGTTTGTCCAATCGTGTTTTAAATAAAGTTCTTTGAAAAAAAATTCCGCCAAAAAGTACGTCCACGACGTAAGTACGCGCCACAGTCAGCCAATAAGCGTTCAGAGTCTTTCTAAAAGGCGCGAAATTCGAGAAAAATTCAGCTAGGACGAGGAAGTCGGGGGAGGAGCGTTGTCATGTGTTCGTGTAACATGGAGGGAGAGTTGTTCTTCAGCGTGCACTGGGTAACGTGTTTTTAATTGTTTTCCACCTAAATGTGTGAGTTATCTTTGTAAATGTAAGTCTGCAATGTTCCTGCATGCTTGTGTTTAATTGGTTGCATGTATTGCTTGAATTTTTTTGTTCAAAACATATTTTGATGGCGAGGAGACAAATAAATATTTGCGAGGAAATCAGAGTTTCTTAATTTGTGAACTTTTGCGGTCAACATTTTAAACTGTTATCAAAGCCTCGTGTGGTAGCTTCCCAGTAATGATGACAGTGAAGACTCCAGGTTATTCAGTAAGTATTCTCTAAAGGTTTGGGATATCGAGTGGATCGGGTCAGAAGATAATATTGGTCTTTTGAATATACTTTACTCAGCTGAGAACAGATTGTTTGGTTTTTGCACTGTTGTATAGCATTGTGCAGAAAGTCACGAACCACTCCACAAGTTTTGGATTCTTTTGCCCCCAAGTATCTGGATGTTGTTGTAAATGTATTAAGTCATCTTGAGCAATAGTTTTATTTTAAGGTCTTTCAAAAAACATTTTGGACGCTGGATTCTTTACCAGGCGTGATTGTACCGACGAGGCCATTCTCAAAGACTTATTAGACCAAGACCAGTGCCATCATCCCATCATGCTGTGCAGTGTGTCCTTGCAACTGGACAAATGCAGAACAAAAGGAGTGGCAGAAAGGCGCTGACTGATTGGGATCCATCTGACTTCAGCATGGCAGTGATCCCAGACACACGAGCAGTGCAGGACAACCACACGATCGGCAGCTGACGTTCAAAACAGAAATGATCGGTGGCTCGAGACTTTTGTACAGTAGGGTGTGTACTTTCTGAAAGACTCCTACACACCGGACCAAAAGCGGGGTGTTGGAAGTAAGCGGCTGAGGCGGGGTCAGTTATTGGTCCGGTTATCTTTTTGGAGAGGGCTGATGGGTCAGTGTGAAAACGGCACGTCGTGGAAGGCTGACGTAGGTTTCGCCGGCTGCTGGCGTAACTTCCCTTTCAGGCTGCGCGATCTTGAATGAAGTCGCGCGCTCTACCGGTTTGTGAAACAAGATGAGATCGTCTGTTCGTCTTTGTGCCCCACGCGACCTCCTACTCATGTCATGCATAGCTGTGTGTTTTCCGTCATCTGATGGAGCTCTGAAGGGTAACTTTACTTGCACTTTGCTGGCTGTTTAGCTCGTGGGTGGCATTAGCAGGGCGGGCTCTTCACTTGTTGTTTTTAGGAAAAGCCGTTTGGCGTGTGTGACCTGAGCAAACTCGCTGATTATTCTCGGGGGACAGCACATAACTTCTATGTTCAAGTATAAAACGGGTCCAGGAGCAGTGTTCAGCTGAAACAGCTGCTGTTTTAAGGTATGAGATCGTGACCTTAATTCAAAGGTACTCAAGCTGTTGTTCCTCTCCAGAAGAACCTCGAGCCATTTGCCCGGTTACGGAAATTGAAGCAAAGGAAGGTGATGATGTCATCCTCCCGTTTTATGTGGTCCCCCCTGTCAACCTGTCTGCGTTCACCGTGGACTGGTCAAGAACCAACCCGAGTGTGGTCGTCTACTCCTATCGACACCAACAGGAGTCGCATGATGCAGAGATGGATGCAACAGTCAGACGTGAAGACCTGAACAGAGGAAGTCTGACACTGTGGATCCCCTCAGTGCAGATGTCCCACAGTGGAGAATACACAGGCTTCGTTATGGACCTCGGGATCAAGTGTAGTGTTCAACTTAATGGTAAAGACCTGAGTAATAGTTTGTGTTGTCTGATGTACTTGATATGAATGTAATGAAGAAATCTACTTAATGATATAAAATGATCTTCCACTTGGGGAAACGCAAACATAGAATAACATGATTTAAAACTGAAAATGATTTGTATCCTGTGTGTGTGTGTGTGTGTATAAACATGAAAGTAGTCTAATTGTGGATTTGTCTGTAATGCAAACCTGTTGAGGCTAGCCTGAGGCTAGAGTACATGTTAGTAATGGGATGCATCCAAATCTCACAAAAGGGGTGCATGTCTAAAATGGGACAGCAGGCAGTGAGTGACCATGCAGGTCATAGACAGGCCTGAACAAGTTGTTTCATGCCCGACCCCAACATATAAGACTTGAACCTGGACACAGCACAGCTCCAGATGTGTGACTGTGGTTATTTCTTAGTGGTGTGAATCCTAATGACCAGCGGTCAACAATCCCCGGGCCACAGACCAGTACTCGTCCGTGACTCGTTTGGTACCGGTCTGTGAGAGTTGAGGCTTGGTGTGACATTTATGGTTTTTATCGTTGGTGGGTTTTTTGTTTTTTAACTTAACTGGGTCTTTTCCCGTGTGTTATGAATAAATCGTCCTTTTTTTGGTACTGGTTTTATTTTTGTTGTATTTCTCTGCAACACCTTAAAGGCCGGACATAAACCGGTCCATGACGCACAAAAGGTTGGAGACCACTGCTAACGAGAACGTCTCTCTCTCTCTTTTTTTATTTATTTATTTATTTATTTTAAACAGTAACCAAAGACAAACTGAAAAAGCAAAAGGGGCAGGATGGTTTCAGCACAACTGGAGCTCCTCTCGACACGACGGTGGAGAAAGTCGGTCCACGTAAGTTACTCTGAGCTCTTCTCCAGAGGATTTTGGTTGAGACACAACCTTCAAAACCTTTGAATGACTGCTCACTTCTTTTAAGTATCCATTAAATCATGACAGTGAAACAGTATGCATAATAGCAGGCTCTGCATACACACATCAGTGATGAAGCTGTTCTTTTTCCTCATGTGATTTCACAAAATGTGAGATTGCTTGAGTGCATTAAGGAAATTAATGACTGGTTGTGCCAAAATTTTCTCCAGCTAAACAAAAACAAAACTGAGGTAATAGTCTTTGGCGCCAAAGAAAAACGATTACAGGTCACCAGAGAACTTCAATCTATACATCTAAAAACCACAAACCAGGCGAGAAATTTGGGTGTAGTGATGGATGCAGACCTAAACTTAGAAAAACACATTAAGACAATAACAAAGTCAGCTTACTATCACCTCAAGAATATATCAAGGATAAAAGATCTGATGTCTCAACAGGACCTGGAAAAACTAGTCCATGCATTCATCTTTAGTAGGCTTGATTACTGTAACAGCATCTTTACAGGTCTACCTAAAAAAAATCAGTCAGACAACTACAGCTCATTCAGAACTCTGCTGCTCGAGTCCTCACTAAGACCAAAAAAGTGGACCACATCAGTCCAGCTCTGAGGTCTTTACACTGGCTGCCTGTCCGTCAGAGGATAGACTTTAAAGTCCTGATGCTGGTCTATAAAGCTCTGAATGATTTAGGACCAAAATACATCAATGACCTCCTGACCCAGTATGAACCATCCAGATCCCTCAGGTCATCTGGATCCGGTCTTTTATCAGTTCCCAGAGTCAGAACCAGACACGGAGAAGCTGCATTCAGCTTTTATGCTCCTTATATCTGGAACAAACTCCCAGAAAGCCTCAGATCAGCTGAAATACTCAGTTTATTTAAATCCAGGTTGAAGACTCACCTGTTCTCAGCTGCATTTGAATAAAACACCAAATCCACACTTTAAGCTTAAATTTCAAAACTAACATTAACTACTGATTTTATCTGTTTTGATTTTATATACTGTTCCTTTTTTTCATTTTAAATCGTGCTTTTTATTTGTTTTTGTTTTTTAATGTCTTTATAAAGCACTTTGGATCACCTTGAATTGTGCTATATAAATAAACTTGCCTTGCTTAGTGTGAATATTTGTGTTACTGATATTTTTGCCCAGCAAGGCCATGAAGTTCAGGTTCATTCACGCCTGATCTGTGGGGTATCCTTAAAATGACCTGTTCTGTTTAGATTTTAGGCTGCTGTGCATTATGTCAGTTTGTAACTTATCTGGACTGCCTGAGGTTTGAAAACAAGTATTCACTTAGATTTCTGTGGTCTAGGCAATCCAGTACTGGGTGAAAATGAACAACGCTCTTAGGTTTTCTCACTTTTTGCTCTAAACCAGGGGTGGGGACCTTCTGGCCTCATGCAGGTTTGAGATCACCCTGGGTCAACACACCTGAATCAAACGATTAGTTCATTCCCAGGCCTCTAGAGAACGTGAAGACATGTTGAGGAGGCATTTTGGCCATTTGAATCCCCTGTGATGGATCAAGGACGCATCTAAAACCTGCAGGACAGGCCTGGAGTTCCCACCCTTGCTGTAAACACAAGCATTATAACTTGTGGCTGATTTTTAAACTTCAAACATCAGATGGTTAGAAAAATACCTGAACATGAAATTCGTGTGGTTGATTAAACCAGGTCCAAAATGCAGCATAATTGAGTTAAGTGCATCAAAAAAAAAACTGCTGCGTTAGTTGCTGCATTTGATAGTCGGTTAAAAATGACCTCATTTAAATTGAGGTGTCCACATCCCGCATGGTAATCTGAACTCTTACAGTCAAGGCAGAAGTGACAGAAATCTCAAATCCTGACCAATGAGAGCATCTGTGGTTTGACCTTCCCTTCACCGCAGGACTTGCGTGACTTGTGTGTCATGTGGATATATTAAAGAATGATGTTGGAATAAACTGACCCTTGTTTTCAATCTCTGACTTCTAGGTGGTGACATGATGCTTATCATTGGGATTGCTCTTTCTTGCGGCGTCGCTCTTCTCTTGATTGTTCTGGGATTGCTTGGAAAGCTCGGTAAGTTGGTGGTCAGTCTAACGGTTAACCTCTCAGTTAGGCATTGCTTTTGTCAGCAAGCTGGATGATGATGAAACTTGATGCATCTCTTAAATCAAAGGTCATATAAATGTTCCTGCTTGCTTGTTTTTGGATCCAGACTTTATCTCTGCCGTCTTTTTCAGTGTAGGATCCTCACATTCTACATTCTCATCAATGTAAAAATGTAGACTGTGTTATAATCATTACTGTATATTTACATTTTCACCATGAAAGTAATTGATGTAGTGTTTTGTTTTTCTGTCTAGTAAAACTTTTGTTTAGGTTTCTTAATTCATACAAACAAACAAACTTTGTCTTGATGCATTCTCAATATTCCAGGAAAGTAAATCTCCAAAAGTTGATTGTGTTCATCTGGACGTAGCGTTTTCAGTGGGAGAAACGGTCTCAGCTGACTGCAGGTTTCCCCAATCTCATAAACAGTACGTGGAAAGACCATCTCTGAATCGAGGAGGGTTTATCTGTCACCATCTCACAATGCTGTGATTGCAGCCATTCCCCAACTCTCTGTGATGGTACCCATGGCTATTGATCAGTTGGTTCTGGTCAGTGGTTGTTGATCAGTGGTCATGAGAATTTGCATAATTAAGATTAAGGACCTGACCTCCCAGCCCATTGTTCCCTCAGTGGGCTGGTTTCAGTCATTATGCAAATGTGCTGTTGATAAGATTTGTGGAAACCTGCAGTCAGCTGAGACTGAAGACGTCACTCGCATGAGTGACGAAACGTTTCTCCCACAAAACACTACATCCAGATGAACAGAATCAAGTTTTGGAGAAAAAACCCCTCAATCAGCTTCATATTCTACCATAAAAAGTATTTGTTTTTTGCAGAGGGCTTTGTGAGACGGTGCAGAGGATGGATCCAGCCACCAAATGATGATCGCACTGAAAATTAAACCATCTTATGAAATTTAGCAGAATGCAGTGATTAACAAATCTCATGTGCTGTCCATAAGATGTGGGTTTATTATAGAATGTGTGTCAAATGTTTAAACTTTAAAAAATTGTTTTGTGTGTAAGGAAAACACAAGCTCTTAGCTGTAAATGAGGTTTTACATGTGAACACAATGAGTCTAGAACACGACGACAAAGTGATGCCAGAGGTGCCTCTCAGATGAGTTTGAATCTCTGACCTTGTCCTTAACCTCCCAAGACCCAAACTCTCATTTGATGAATTTGTAATTTGTCTTTGTTATTTGGACTGAGACCTGGTGAATGTAAAAACAAACCTGATGTAGTTTCTGAGAATCTGATATCAGGCTTTGTACAGCAAAATTGAGGAACTGTAGCCTAGACGACCCAAAATAATCATGTTCACATATGTGGGAGGTTAAGGTCAGAGTTCAAATTTTCTCAAAACTTGAACTCGCATGTCACCTATGATTTTCATATTGCTATCACATCTATCTGTCCTACATTTTGCTGCTTCCATCAAAGTCAAAATGAGCTAATGTTGTTCTGAAAATGACACTTTCTCAGTTTAAACTTCTGTTTGTGTTCTGCTGTGAATGTAATGTGGGTTCATTGGATTTGCACATATATTTTGTACATTGAAACTTTGCGAGGCTGGCCTTGTGTGTGTGTGTGTGTGTGTGTAATGACTTTTCCTAGAGCAATAATGTGAATAAATAAGTTTGTATTTATGAATGTTTTATAAATGTTACCTTTCATCGCTCTGTAAAGCATTAACACAGAAACAGATGAATGATTGTGTGTGTGTGAGTGAGAGGTGACTGTGATGATTAAATCAATAAACATGATACTGAATGTGACACAACTTGACTTGCTGATGAAACCTCCTGAACGTCACTTCACTCGCTCAAGATTGGGGAAAATCAATGAAGCTACTCACATTTCTAATGTCTGGTTATTCTCAGTATAAGCACTGCTCGCTGCATTTACATGTATGACTTTTTATTGAATGAGGGGCCCCGAGTCTTTTGATGAGTAAGCATGCTAAATGTTTGGCATGGGTGCAGTTATCTTTTGTTGACAAGACTGAATGCAAAACAGTTCTGTTGCCCAATTACTGGAGTTGTTCACTGATGGCTAAAAGCTGCGGTAAAACCAGGCAGTTTCCATCAGTCCTACAGTCTGTAGTGTAGCTCTTATAGAGCTGTTTGTGGCTTCATGTTGTATTCATTTTATCGGGCTTTTCTATTTGGTGTTGTAGGTTTTGTTTGTTTTTTTGTGGGGTTTTTTAAATTTCACAACAGAAGCTGCCTTGGGGTTTGTTTTACTGTGAGGTAAAGAGTCCAGTTGAGGGAAAATGACAATTGGAAGTTATTTGGCATCCAGCAAAACCAGACTCGGGGATGATTTTATCTGCCATAACCAGTTAAGAGTGAAGGCAAAGACATAAAAAAGGGGCGAGCAGGGATGATAAAGTAGCAATGGGAGAGAGAAGAAAATATCGAACAACATATTCCAGAGGTATATAAACACACGGGCAGTAAAAAGAGGTGAGTGTATTTAAAAAAACACAAAAAAAACCTGCAGACACAGGGACAACATGCCAACTCCACAAAGAAAGGCCCCTGCTTGGATTCAAACCCAACCTCCTTGTAAGAAAATAGTGCTAACCACCATTCCCCACTTTAACGAAAGGATATAAGATAATCAACACTTATCTTCAGTTCTGAATAAGGCAACAATAAAATGCCCATGGCAAATCGGGAGCAAAATGTGTCTTTGTAGTAATGTCCCAAAAATATTTTATGTATTAAATATATATTTATATGCTTTATATATTATTAATGCTTTGTGTTATTGTTTTAGTGCAGTGACATGGTAGTTAAAATAGTTTACTCTGATTATTTCCATAACGGAAATTATTTTGGAGAAACAGGTAAATATGCCAGCATTTGGACACGTATAAGTTCCCGGGAACTTTGCGCCAAAAAAGTACTCTGTGTTCAAACTCCCGCCACCGACTGGGGCACGTAACATCGACGTAACATCCTCCGTAACGCTTTAGCCAATGAGCTTCACTCAGCTAAGCCAATCAGAGGGCAGCGGCGGGAAAGACAGCTGATCTAGAAAGAGTTGCGGGAGATTCGGCGCAACTTTGGTTTCGGGCGGCCAGAGAGAAAAGAAAACACGTTTTGCGTTGTACCGAGAGGACTTCTATCAACTTAATTTAAGAGGTACGTTTGTTACCAACACGCTCATTTAACTCGTAAAAGAAAAATACATTTGATACTGGACGGGCGGAAGAGAGCTGACTTACTGTAGTCTACTCTTCAGCGTAGGTTTGCCACTACTCTTAAAAATATCTGTTAACTTTACACGCTTGCTTGTATTTGCAAACAAATGCATTCGGAGTCATTTTTAGTCTTCCAGATATATTTTAGATTAAAAACCTGTCCGGTCAAAGTGGAAACTCGGCTATTTAAAGGCCGAGGCCTTTGTTTGGCGCCATTAGTGGAGCACACTGTATTATTTCCTGTTTATAGGTAACTGTTAGCTCAGGAATCACGCGATATAACAAATGTAATTTGCGCTGTTAGTGTAGTACTAGGCGCAGTGCTACGATTTTATTTGCGATTTTGAATTTTAACATGAAGTTACGCGATTAATGGCTCGTGTTTGAGTAGCATGTTGGAGCAACTGAGCTAAACGACTTTGATAGGACAGCAGATCGTGGAGGGATGCGAAAAGATTTGTACAACCAATGAACGCAAGGTTTATTTGGGGGCACGATTGTTTCTGAAATGCCTTTGCCCGTTTTTCAAGACCCACAGCAGACATTTCCACTCAAAAACTACAGTCGTGAAATTTGGGCTTAGTAATAATTTGCCTGTGAATCAGTCGAAAGTCTTCTTGTTTTTTGGTGGTCCTTACACAAAAGTGCATGTTTATGTATTTCCAAATAGGAACACGCACTTCATCGTAAATCCCATCAGTGTTTAATCTTCACATATATTTCTGATCATATTATTCTGGCTACGGCTCTGTTCATGCATATATAAATATATAAAAAAGCCAAACAAAACATTGGTTCTTATTATTTTTTAATAATTAAATGATGTCTGAATCATGTGTCATATTTAGGTGCTTAAACATGTTGTCTTCGTTTAGGTTAATCCAAAATGCCCAGCACACGCTCCCAGGGACGAGCTCAGCCCACACTTCAGTTCCCTCGACGTAAATCCTCCAGAGTTTCCTCCCGCTCCAAGAAGCCGGAGCCCCAGAAGTCCCCAGCTGTGTCACCAATCAAGCCTGAACCTCAGGCCCCGGGGCTGATGCGGATCGGACCCCTCTCCCCGAGACGTCCCATTAACTTGTCCACCCCACTGTCCCCCAGACGCTACACAGACCAGCCCACTCCTCTCTCCCCAACGCGGCCAGTCGCCCTCTCGTCCCCTCTTTCACCCAGACGCACATCAGCCCAGCTGCCAGCACCTTCCTCCCCTCGTCTCCAAAGCCGGATCCCCCTCAGCCCTCGAAAGCGCACAGGTATTGAACGGTGAATTCAAAAGCTTCAGTTGTTCCACTACTTCATGCAGCTCTGTGTACTAATAACCTTCAGTGCCTCTAGACTAAAAAAAATGTGAATTGAATTTAAATGGCGAATCTTCAGGATTAAAATTTCAGGTCCTAAAAAGCCAGCCTCGAGTCATAACAAATAACAGCACTTCTCATTTTTCTCCATCAAGGTGATGACAATGTCTGCAACCTTGGCACCTCCCTGCAGTGCTCACCTACAAAACAGAGGAAGCTGAGCCTGGCCTCACCACGAAAACTTGGCTTTGATGAGAACTCACCGGTGCAGGCTCGTCGTCAGCTGATCCCATCCTCGGGGCAACAGACGCCCCCTTCCACCGCCAAATCATCTCCGAAACGAGAAGAAACGCCTACAGGGAGCCCCATCCATAAAAATCTGAACAAGAAGCCACCCGTTGCTCGACTGTTTGGAGAAAGTAAGAACTCTAGTTTTTTTTTTCTTCTTCTTTTTTTGTTCCCCACTTATATTACATTATATTATATTATATTATACTACATTATATTATATTACATTATATTATATTATATTACACTACATTATCACCATTTCTTCTCCAGAGATGAGGCTTCAGAGTGTGAAGCAGGCGCTCCACACTGCCATCCCCGAGCGCCTTATGTCCAGAGAAGCCGAGCGGGCGTCCATCCGGTCCTTCCTGGAGGACAAAGTGCTTCAGCATGTTCCCGGCAGCCTCTACATCTCTGGAGCTCCGGGAACAGGCAAGACAGCCTGCCTCAACTGTGTGCTGCAGGAGATGAAGGTGAGCGTGAAGGAGCCTGTCATGTTTAGTGCTTTAGGACACCTGCTGGCGACTTTCAGTTACTGCAGTAAGATTCGAGTTTGAGCAGCACCCCACATGCTTCATTTCCAGAGTTTGAGGGTCTTAAAGTGCAAGTTTAAAGTCTGAGTGCAGGCTAATAACCTGTTCCCTGATTGTCTATGTAACAGCCAGGGTTGAAGTTTTGTCAGTAACTGGTTGCGTTTTGTGTCCCTTCAGGCTGAGCTGTCGTCAGTACAGACGGTGATGGTGAACTGCATGAGTCTGAGGAGCTCCCATGCAGTCTTCCCACTGCTGGCTGACAAACTGAAGGCATCTGGTGGCCAGAACGGACTGCAGAGGTTCCTGACAGCCCCAGGGCCCACTGTGTGAGTCAACAAATCCTCAATCCTTTGGGGCGATCATGGCTCAGAGTTGGCAGCTTGTCTTGTAACTGGAAGGTTGCCGGTTCGAGCCCCGGCTCGGACAGTCTCGGTCGTTGTGTCCTTGGGCAAGACACTTCACCTGCCACCTACTGGTGACGGCCAGAGGGGCCGATATGGCAGCCTCGCCTCTGTCAGTCTGCGCCAGGGCAGCTGTGGCTACAATGTAGCTGCTTCCACCAGTGTGTAACTGTACAGTGGAATTGTAAAGCGCTTTGAGGGCCCTGAAAAGCGCTTTATAGATGAAATCAATTATCATTATCTTATCACACATTTACTTGAAAAAGGACGTATATGATAGATGACTAAAGGGTGTGGCTTTTTAGAACTTTCGAGCAAACTATCCACTAAAGGTATTCTTTTAAAAAAGTTGCTGGTTGAAAGTCCTTATTGGGATGTTTTGAAAGTATAACTGTAATTACTGCCTGCTGAGATACTGATTGGGTCTGTTTGTTTGTTTTTCCCCTTTAAGGCTTCTTGTTCTGGATGAGATGGATCAGCTGGACAGCAAAGCCCAGGATGTCCTCTACACAATCTTTGAATGGCCGTACCTGCCAAAGTCTCGCCTCTGTCTCATCGGTAAGTACTCGACTCAACAAATATCCCAAATTCACCAGATCTCACATCTTTGTCTTGTAGACAGAAAGCAGAGTGTTCTGACAAAAATCCTACCTGTTCTACATGCTGACCACTGATGTCTTTGCAGGTATTGCAAACGCTCTGGATCTGACTGACCGGATCCTGCCCAGACTGCAGGCTCGTCCCCAGTGTCGCCCTCTGCTGCTGCACTTCCCTCCCTACAGCCGGGAGGAGCTCACGGCCATTGTACAGGACAGGCTTGTACAGGTAAATGTGGTCTGTGTGACTCAGAGCTTAAGCTGGAACCTTACAGATCACTTTTATTTAATCAGCGCCGCGTCTTCTCCTCAGGCCTCGGCTGAAGGGCTCCTCGACGCTTCTGCAGTTCAGTTCTGTGCCAGGAAAGTTTCAGCTGTGTCAGGAGACGCCAGGAAAGCTTTGGACATCTGCAGGTGAATGCTTGGACTTGTTTTTTCTTTAATTCAATTCAATTCAATTCAATTTTATTTATATAGCGCCAAATCACAACAAAAGTCGCCTCAAGGCGCTTCATAACCTTTTAGGGAATCATGTCTCTGTGTTTGCATTTAGATTCTGCACTCGTTTAGGCATTTTAGTTGTTTCTGCTCTCGGGAGACCTCGTGCAGATTCTTTGAGTTGATGTTTCTGTGAAATGTCATTCAAACGATTTTCTGGTTGGTGATTTCAGGAGAGCAGTTGAGATTGTAGAGTCTGATGAGAGGAAAAAAGCAAGTGATCCAAAGGGTGAAAGTAAAGGTGAGTTGTGAAATGTTTTCTTGAGTTAAAACTGATGATGGTGGAAGTCACACGGCAGCTGATTGGTGGAAACTTCCTGTACTGTGTGTTCTGCAGCGTCCCGGGTCAGCCTGCCGCAGGTTGCGAGAGTGCTGTCGGAGGTCTACGGCGACCGCATGGCGTCTCAGAGCAGCGGTTCAGAGGGAGAGAGTTTCCCCCTGCAGCAGAAGCTGCTGGTGTGCTGCCTGCTGCTGCTCATCCGCTATGGGAAGAGCAAAGAGATCGGCTTGGGAAAGGTGAGGTGCTGATATTAGTTTGCTAAAGGATTTTAGCGGCGTGTTGTCGTGGCAAATCAGGAAACTTGTTGCATTAATGCGTAATTATTCCGTCTCTGCCAGAGAAAATACAAATCTGTTTCTAGACTGGTGGTGTTTCCTGACCCGTGGGCGTTTGTGTTTCAGCTCCATGAGGTTTACAGCCGCCTGTGCGCTCAGAGGCAGGTGTCTGGAGTGGGTCAGGGCGAGTGTTTGTCGCTCTGCAGTCTGCTGGAGAGTCGAGGGATCGTTGCCCTGAAGAAGGCCAAAGAGGCTCGTCTCACTAAGGTACCCGACGCTTCACGAGGAAATGCTCTGCAGTGCAGTGTTCGACCTCTGTTGCTTAAAAATGAAACTCGAGGGGTTATCAGGGAACAAGACACCGAGTGGAACGTGGCTGATTAAAACGTCTGTTTCTGCAGGTGTTCCTGAAGATCGAGGAGAAAGATGTCGAAAACGCTCTGAAGGATCGAACGCTGCTGGGCAGCATCCTCGCTGCAGGACTCCCCTCGTGATCTTGTGATCGTTCCTCTTTTAAAGACTCATTTTTAAGGTTGCACAATGAGCCAATGTTCTGTGGGGTTTTTTGTTTTGTTTTTTCTTCAAAGACATTTTTTGGTTCTCATTTTTGCTGGGAATTTGTAGTTTTAATGACGCTCAGTTGAGTTCAGAATGTTGAGCTTGCATCAAATGAATCGTTTCAGTTTTGAAACCTCTTTAAGCTTTGAATAAAAGTGAAGCTGTTTTACCTGCTGTTGCTTGTGTCACCGGTGCATTGAAATGCTCGCACTATATTCGAGCTGATAACTGAGGACAAATGTTCATTCACTGAAATCAGCTGAGTCTGTAGATGTTGTTCCAAAGGCACTTTGAAAGGTTTTAGGTAAAGTTACTCAGCTCGGGTGTAAGAAGTTAAATAATGTGATGTGTAGAATCTGCAGAACAAGATTTTATTGATTTCATACTTCCATTTATATCGTGGAATATTGCATATACTTCCAGCGTAAACATGAAGAACGGGATTCTGATTCTGTCTGCACAGATTTCCTTAACGATGCTGTTAGTTTTCACTGAGACTTTACATCTTTGTCCACCAATCAGCAGAATAAAGCTCAAAGCTGTGGAGCCCCTGAAACACCGATGCTTAAAAGATATCTGTGTAATTTTACTCAGCGAATATTAAGTTGTAAAACAAGTGAAATCAAAGATAAGCAGCGTTTTCAGCCGTGCGACCTGGAGAAATGCAGGTGAAATTACAAGACATGGTTAACAAAGCACGAAGGCTCAAAGATCAACTCTTCAAATCAGGTTTTGTTCAAATTTATTCACAGCAATGCATTAAAGTGAATGAAAATATAGCCTGTGCATGTTTTTAAGTACAAATACAGTGGGCGAAATATGTCGACAGCATTAAATACTCAGACATGTGATGCACATTCCTTCTCATCTGTTGCTGGTAAACCAGACAAAGCAACATTTTCTCCACCCACGTCCACTCTGTTCCACAGCTTATCTTAAGTGTTACATATTTAGTTTTTTCCACTTTCAAATCATTTCTAGTGATTGTCTCGACATTCATACGTTTAAAATGCGTTATGAAGATAAATAACCAAAGCAGGACCTTTGCATCCACAGCAGCTCTACAGGTACGTTTACCCACTCTCACTCCGAGGTCTTTAACAGCTGTGTTTGCACTCACTCGGTTTCTGAGGGCCCTCGGTTATAACAACATCACGTTATGCCTCGGGTTATACTTGATAGCTGCTGTTGTCAGTGATGTTGACTGTTCACGCTGACCGACAGTGAGAACACATTCAGGTTGAAGCAACGCAGAAACAAACGCTCGTGCACTTTAGATACAACATGTTTTGAGCACATGGATGAAGCTTTACAACTTTCTGAACCCTGAGCACTCATACACTCACAGCTCTAACAGAGTTAGTCAATAGGCAAACATATTAACTGCGAAACCATACTCGCTACTCTTACACAACAAAACATTTGGTCACGACTGAGTCTTTTTTTTAACCATTAGTGCTTTTACTTCAGTAAAGTGTGTGGACATCTCCGTCGCCACCTACAGCACAAACACTGGTTTTTAAAGTTCCTGTGGTGTCAGGACAAACACGAAGGGCTGTGAACATTCAGAGTGAAGAGGTTCGGTTGGTGTGAAAACGACAAACATTCTTTGAGTGCAAAGCTGTAAACTTGGTACATAGTGATGATTAGCCCTCAGTTTGAGTCACGAGACGCAGCCATGACCTCACAGTGTGTTTACAATCTTCAGTTAAAATCAACAAATAACAGACGCCACAAACTCAGAACGCTTTAACACGTGTGCTTTTCTTCACGCTGATGGAAACATGTAGGTCTGTTTCAGGCCTGGTGGACCAGGACGCCGCAGAAACTTGAAACTGGAATTCTGATACGTTCTGGCTGTCTTTAAAAAAATAAGAGAGACAGCAGTACGGCGATGATGGCTGCTCCTCATTTCACGTAAAAGTTTTAGAAGCATCTAGTTTTGCGTAATTACCCTAAAAGCTTTTTTCCTGTGGAGTATTCACTACACTCACTACACTCAGGTTATTTCTGATTAAAAATCAATTTAAAAAAAAGAAGCTGCCCCAGGTGAAAACACACCAACTACACTCTGCAATAAATATACTGTATGCTTAACAGTTACCTGATCTAAATAATTACAATGATTACAATTTAATAAACTAACCTTTTCTGTAAAAATACCTTCGATTTGAGCTTTATTTGACATATCATGTGTTTCTAACTTCTTTTAATCTAAGCTCGAGTCCTCATATCCAAAATACACAGATATCAAAAGTTCCAGTTTGGGCCTTTCTCCGATCAAACTCTGAGGTGTAAACACACAGCTGGCTTCATGAGAGAGAGCTGAAAACAGAATGTGTGTTTAACATGAGCTCTAAATGAAAGAAGAGCAGAAACTAAATACATTCAAAAGAGACGTGGGTGTGTTTTTTTGTAGATACATGTATAGAAAATCTAAGAACGAGTCATTTTATTGTTCATTCTCATACAAAAAACAACACCAGAGAAACACAGTTCAGCCAATTTCATCTGAAAGTGTTCAGAAAGAGAAATCTGAACTGTTCCTGCAGAGCCGATCGTTACTGTCGTAGGGAAAACAACAACAAAAGGTGATGGTTAACAACTTTTGCATGAATGGTCTTTAGTCTGAAATCTAAGGACAGTATTTTTCTTTCTCTCTCGACAGCAGCGATTCGCTCTGACAGGATGCTGCAGCAAAACAACACTGTTCCTGTTGTCTCGTTAGTTCGTCATAAATAATCCCGTGTAATGTGGCATCAAGTGAAGACGTGGGAAAGGCTATAGCATACCATCACAAGTCATAATAAATGTTCTGTACACCTATTGCATAGATGAAATTAACTACAAACAGCATCGGTGGACCTGCCCTGGCAAACCTTTGGGAGGTTTTCTGCACTTTGAACAAGGCTGCCGGCCTGAAACTAGCTCTCAACCCCTACTTGCTCTCTGTGGTAAAGCGGGAGAGGATGATAAGTATATTCCCAGAGCAAAGCGCAGGGTGCTGTCCTTTGGTTCCCTCTTGGATAGGCGTGCTATTTTGATGTGTGCTGATCTCATGTCGTGTCTCAGTCTGGAAAAGATCCACTGCTCCACCCAGAACCAAAAGGGCACATTTGATAAAATTTGGGGTCTCTTTCTGGAAAACTTCTCTAAACTTCAACTTAAGGATGTTCCAGCTGACTAACGGATGTGCTTCTCCAGAGTGGTCGGATGTCTTAACGGGAACGTGAAGCTCATAATCCCTCCCGGGTTGTGGCTTTTGTTATTTTGTTATTTTTTATTTTTCTGTTTCTGGTTTTTTTTTTTTGCTTGTTTGGTAAATAATAAGAGAGGAAAACAATGTTCCAACATGTCTGTTTTGTATTCATTGTAAACAGTTTGTGTTTTCCGCCTTCTTTGTTTTCTTTGTAAACTATATCCACAAATACTCAATAAAAATATCTTGAATTAAAAAAAGAGCGTTGGAGCATTTTAGCGCTTAAAGCTGCAGCTTCTGACCACTTGGGGGCGCCATAAACAGCTGCGAGCTGTGTCCGTCCTCTGCTACAGCTGCTTTTAAGAGCTTTTTGTCTCCATCAGGAAGCCAAAGCAGCAAGGTCGTGAATGCAGATAAACGCTGATGTAAGGGCACATCTTACATCAAACATCTTCCAAAGGACGCAGCAGTCTAGCTGATAACTCCGCTGCTCAGTGATCAGACACACTCGTGTAACACTGTCCCTTTCTCATATGAGCAGTGACACCCTCCTGGCTCAAGCGCTAATTCACCCAGTAACTGAGAGAAGTTATCTAAGATCCCAGAGAGAAGCGAATTAAATGAATTTTAAGTAAATTCGATTTGTTTCGTGTCATTTCATTACTGAAATCCCAAAGATATACGTAAAATAGTCCCAAATCTGTTAAAAGAATCGAATCTCTGATCTTTATTATAAAAAAGGTACTTTTTGTAACGACCCATGTACAGAAAGGTAAAATTGTAAACTTGATGTTCATAAACTATTTAGAACTTTATCAACTGGATCGAAAACAGTAGCTCGTCCCACTTCTTCACTTTATTTCTTATTTCTTTGTCAACTAAGGAGACAACGCAGCGAGCGGTGTTGTCTTGTGGCAACACGGTTCTCTCTCTGGATTGTTAATTAAAATGAGAAATGATTTCCTCCTGATATTTGCACGTAAGGAAACTTGGTATTTAGGGATTCTAGGTGGATCCCATCTCTACCTAAGCCGGGCGGAGAAACAGCGCATGTACTCTGTCATCCAGCGGTCGTCCACCACCATCAGCTGCGAGCGTCTTATCTTCTCCAGGTCAGCCGATCGAGCCCGCCGGCGGTCCAGCCTGGAGCTCCGCTTGTCAGACTCCCTGCGGGTCTGAACGCAGGCATCAGAAGTGTGACTCTGTGAGGAGAAACCAGAGAGAGGAGTCATTTCCCAAAGCTACACCGGTGTTTTATTATTCATGTTTGCTGCGTGTTCGGTGACACGTTTCACTTCTCTGCTGTCCTGTGAATGAGGTCGAGCTGCAGGACCCCTGCACTACCAAGGACGGGCCGAGAAAGAAAAAGGCTGGTAATGTGCTACGTGTTTTTTTCTAGTTAGCAAGTCTGTCTCTTGAGATATAATGGTGTTTAAAATCTGAACGTATAACTTAAAAACAGTCAAATTATTGATTGTAATTCTGAAAAGTTGCTAGTGGTCATAAGAGTAAAGTATATTTGTTGTTGCCACGAGCCCTGAGCTTTAAAGGCTCTAAAAGTGCTGCAGTATCCCAACTGAGATCAGCGCTCACATCATTGGTTGTCCTCTTGACCTCCATCTGTCTCTCGCTCCAGTCCAGCCGGCTGGACGGTCTGTGGTTCTCCTTCTCCTTGGTGCTGATCACCGGCGTGCTCTTTGCTCTCGGCGGTTTACGGATCACGGCTGGTTTGTCATCCTGGGAACTGTCTCGGTGCGGCTGCTCAGAGCGTGGCGTGTGGCGGCGGCGTTGCCGTCGGGATACTGGCTTTACTGGCTCCGCATCAGAAGACGCCGAGTCGGCTGGCCCGTTGTCTGTCGGTGTGTCGTCTGAGGGTGCGCTGTTTGTTGGAGCCACCGCCACAGAACTGCCACCGGCCTCATTCACACCATTTTCTACAACTGCTGCTTCACAAGAACACAGGAAACAGTGAAATCGTTTAAATATCCACTGAGCTCTGCTGACTGAACAAACAGATTAACTAACTAAACCAATACACCAATCAACCACTCGATGGAGCTGGATGGCTCCACAGTGACCCTGCAGAGCGCTGCTGTGACTCAATCTATATGAAATTATTTGTGACTGTGAAATTCAGAGATAAGCAGGCTTCCTGGCACTCTCCTGTCTGAAATGCAGACATCACAAATGTCAAAGGCACACAATGGATCCTTTATCTTTAAGCTCAGTGTCTCAGCAACAACAGTCCCATCTGACTGCTGAACTTTCAGTCCAAACGTTTATAGCACTGCTGTCTCCTGAGGTAAACCAGCCTCTGTGCCTCGTACTGTCAGAGTGACGCTTACAAAGGGTTCACAAAAAACACCATCTGTTAGATCTGTTAGACAAAATACACTGCATTTGAGTTAATGTAGTATCATCATCATCATCAACTGTCAGAAGAGTAAAACAAGGTTAGCTCTGTGAGGCTGCACTGAGCAGGGCTTTGACCCACATGTCAACATCCTTGCAACAACGAAGCTAAGCAGCTCATGTTTAGCAGGTCTAATGTGCACCATAAGCATCATGCTGCTTGCTGACAAGCTAACACAAAGAACAGCCGAGGATCAAACAATGTCGAGCCCTCGTGGTACAGCAGTACCTGAGAGGGACGTGGGTGATGCCACCTGATGGGTTTGGATTTCTTATTTTGAGAAGAGACCATGTTTGTATGAGAGACTGGGAATGCTGTTATGTGTTAATGCTAGAAGGCTTGATTAGGAAACTGAGCCTAACTTGTACAGTTATGATGCAGAGACAAGACATGTAACTGAAACTTCCATGGCTAGGTCAAATGGCCACGCCTACATTTCAGCCATTGTTCAAAAGAATTATCTATCTAAAAAAAGTTTCCCTACTGTATAGTTGAAAAAAACTGATCAATGGACCATGGAGTAAAAAATCATTTGAGAGCTGTGAAGTTTTAACATTTTAACACAAGTATAGACACTAACTCACTTTTGGAGCCAGCCTCAAGTGGCCACTTCTGGAACTGCAGTTTTTGCCACATCATGATTGACATGGTTATTATCAGAGCTACTTCTAGTTTATTTGGTTAGTTAATTGAAAGAATATTAATCAGAAACTGCAGTTCTCTGGAAAATGTACCCTTGCTATGACACAAAGTCTCGGAAACCAAATTGATGTCTTGTCCAAAGCAGAAATTTTTACGATATGTTTAAAACATTTACCAGGGAGAGAAGCGGCGCCTAATAATCACATTTAAGAAACTTAATCAAGCATATGTTTAGAACTTCTGCTTGGTGACCCGTTCTCTTACCTGTGGTTTGTGCCGCATCTACAACCGCAGCGTCCCGGTCCCCCACGTCAGTCTCTCCATCCTCGCACGCTGGCTTTTGCACAGGACTGGTCTTTGACTCCAACAACCTCTGCTTGACCTCCAAGGATGTGGGCGGCAGCGGGAGAGACAGAGGAACCACTTTGTTCCTGGTCAGCCTTGGTGTTGACCAGCCGCTGGAGTCAGAGCCGCTGTCCCAGCCCTCCCAGAACCAGGGCTTGTGGGAGTGTTCTATCACCCGGCGAGTCAGACGGTACTTCACAGAGTCCTCATAGCATTTAGAAAACGTCTCCCATTTGGGGTCCCTGAACTTCTTCATATATTCTGTCCTCACTTTCTTGGTCACCATGGTTCTTGTTATTGCCTGGTGCCAATCACTGCAAGGAGACAAAATACAGTTTGAAACAAATTTGCAATCTTTTCTTTGGTTGTCTTCTTCTTGTTGCTCCCATTAGAAGTCACCACTGAGAGTCTCCTCCTATCAGTAGCCTCCTCTGCTTTCACACTAATCCTCTGCATGTTCTTCGCTACATCTATGAATCTTTTCTTTGGTTTTCCTCTTTTCCTGCCTGGCAGCTTCATATTCAACATTTGTTGTTGTTGTTAATAAGCCTAAAAATCCACTAAACATTATGAAGAGGCAGTTAACTATGGCAACCACGAGTAAACAAACAGGGTATATTCTCTATCAGAGGAAGTAAAACACTTTCCCTTTACTTGTTTACTGATGCTGTGACGTGTAATCCTGACATTCATGCGATTTATATCATCATCTTATCAACAACCTCTCACATTATACTGGACGAGAGCTGAAGCCCTACAAAATTTTGGTATTTACCTGATTTTTATTATATTTTGATATTGACTCGGCCTGAATATTATCCCTTACACTGTCAGCGAGTCAACGTCAGTGATACTGAGGTGAGCTGCGATTTTCTGTCAATAAGCACTGCTGTTAGCTCCTGTTCACCACTATTCACGGGCTGTTAGTGAAACTTTGTTTCAAGTGGACCTAACGTGGGCAGACTCACACTGAGCAAATAAACTCCTGCGATGTGAGAATGAAATCAAACTGCTGAAGGAGGAAGAGGAAGGGATGGAGAGAGATGACCAGGAGAGATTAGTGGTGGAGGAGGCAGATGAAGAAGATGAGAAAGAAAAATCAAAAAAGAGAACATGAATCCTGGTCACTCCTGAATAAATATGTCATAAAATTATTTAAAGCATAATAAATGATGATTTTTCACACTACAAAAAAAATAAAAATAAAAAGCAACTCTGCTGCAAAGCATTCTTTAACTTTTGCAGTGTTCATACTAATGTTAAAAGTCTGCTGTTTGTTGTTCTTCTACGTGGCTGCACTTTCAAAGAAACAGTTACTGACAAGAATTTAACCAATGAGCATCAAGAGCCATGCCCCAGTTTTCAGAAGCAGCTACACTGAGTTTTTTCTCTCCCCTCAAACAGACATCCTGTCGGGAAAGTTCCTTTCCTGGGGAACATACAGAAATATCTGGGCTGCTCTACAAAGTCCTGCTAGTTTCTAGGTGGTGTAATAGTAAATGGACCTTTATATAACATACCTCATTCACTTCATAGAAGCACTTCTATGCTGAAAGTGCTTTCTAACATTCACACAAATTCATACTCCGATGGATGTATCGGAGATTAACTTGGGGTTAGTATCTTCCCAAAGGATATTTGGAATGCCGACCGGACCAACCTGGCGATTAGTAGATGATCTGCTCCACCTCCTGAGCTACAGCCACCGCAGATGGTTAGTGGTGACTGAATGGTAAACAGAACAAAACCTGGGTGAAGATGAAGTGGAATGAGAAGTGCTGTTGAGAGTGGGAGGCTTTATCTTGATTGAGAGATCAAGTCCATGAAACTTTTAAGGCTCGATACAAAAAACATGATTGCAAAATAACTAGTTTTAAACCATCGACTGTATTTACCCCTCTTTAGACTCACCCGTGTTTGCTGCAGGTATGCTTCCATGTAAAATGTGATGGCTGCCGTCAGCCGTCAGCAGCAGGCTTTGTAATACCAGTCTCTGGTTAAATTATAAGTAAACAGTTCATCTGCGTATTGTAGTACGATCCACATTAAAACACTCACGTTTACATTGTTTAACACATTTTAACACATCTGTGCACTACAGAGCCAGGCACTGAACGAAGCATCAAAGCAAAACATTTATGCAAACTATTCGAATTACTCGATGAATCATTGCAGCCCTGCAGCCAACAACAGACTGTAAAGATGCAAAAACACTAACTTTATATCCCAAATGTGCATTATTTGCTTTCTAAACAATATCAAATGTGTAGCAGAAGAGGCTGATTAGAGTAAAGGGAACCTCTGTTTACCAGGCAAGTAACCCTGAACACATTTTTATTTACAAGCATGTGGACAGTAGGAACACCAACAAGCATCCAAAAACATTGAGTTGAATTTTGCAGAAGGCAATTACAAAAAGTACCTTTAAGGATTATTCCACTGTTAATGGAATAATAATGTTTTAATCCACTTCACTAAAAGGTAAATTAAAAGCTGCATCCCAATTATCTATTTGCCATTTTTTTCTTTTACTTTCCACGTCAGCTCAGAGCTCTGGTGGATATTAACCCTGTGCTGCATCCAGCACAACACACAGTGTCGCATTTCACTGTGGTTCAGATTTCCATTGAGAGGGTTTGATCAGTCTGTTCTTCTGCTGCTACATTAACAAAGCTGTCACTGTGTTTTCTGAATACTGCCCATTAGCAGAAGGACAGAGGGACGACTATAAACATTTGCTTTAATGACAAAGAGACTTAAATTTACAACAGCCATTATACATGGATATACAATGTGTGATACCATGTACGTAATACATTCAGAATTGAATTCAAGTAGCTAGATGCCAAACAGTCAGCACCAGATACTTGATGCTCAGTTCAACCCAGGTGGAATGAACCTCGGAGAGCCTCCTGTGGGACTGGTAATGACTCAGGACAGGCAGCAGTTTGGCTTGAATGCATTAACACATAAAATAATTGAGTCCAACAAAATGAACGTACAATAATAATATTGTCTTTCATGCATCAAAGCATTTTTTTCCTGTCAAAAACTGCAAAACAGCCATGATACCATCATCCACCCATCCACGTCTGCAGCTGCTGTTAGCCACAGATCAGGGAAAACCATTGGAGGTTATTAGCACTAAATCTGACTGGACCTTTAATAATCATGAATGCAAACACTGACATTCTTCCTGGGACTTCTTTTTAATGCATCATATGCAAACAAAACATTTATAACAAGCTTTACCGCTTGATTTCATCTAAAGCTCTGGCCATATTCAGTAAAAATATATCGATAACGTAACATAACATAAAACCTATTAAATGTTTACATTTTCTGTTTGGTTTTTTTTCGAGATTCACCTGCAAAACCTGGTGACGTACCTGTGCCAGGTGTAGTCTACCTGTAAGCCCCGCCCACCTCCCGCCACATCAGATTACCCTGAGAGCAGGGAGGATTGAGGTTTACTACAGCTTTACAACTAGCTGTACTACAGCCATTACTCACTCACACCACACGACCAGTAACATCCAGTCTATTTCAGTCTACACGCCTACATGCACTTTCCTTTTCTTTCTATACATTAACACTTGTTGTTACTCAAAGTAAAAATAAGCCAATATTTGATTTTTTAAGCCTGTATCCGATCTGAGGACAAAACCTGTTCAGTGTATATTATCCTGTCACTGTCTGATTACTGCATTTCTCCCGATGTGTTTTTCTGTAACTGAAACACACTGTCTTGTTATAAAGCCTTTCACTCTGTCAGTCACACCCCAGCTCGCAGCATTTTTAAAGATTTTAGTCTGTAAACACACAGCAGAGCAAAACGTTGCAGCTCCGACGTATTTTGAAGTTAATAAATGAAGTGTGTAAACCTGAGGTTTGAAATGCCAAACCGAGTGAAAGCAGGCTACAGCCATGTTCACAGCCGTTCGCCTCACCTGCCCGCTGCGGTCAGCTTCGTTTGTAAACACGGAGTCATTTCAATGCTCAGGCTGACGACTAAAGTCTGATTGGGCATTAAAGTCAGGAATATATGTACTCACCAAGTCTGTGTACCAGGGGGACTCCGTTTGATTTAAACCCCGTCTCTCAGCAGGCGAGCATCGCTCTGCTTACTGGCACCAAACGCCCAGCTCAGTTAGAAAGCTAGCAGCAATAGCACATACAACTTCCGGCTTTGGTTTTCAAACAAGTGCTTTAAAACATCCCAGGGACGTGATTAATCAAGAGGATATTCAAGATAAAATCTTCTACTTTGCTCATGTTATAGCTTTCAGGCTGATTTCAGGCAAAAACCATTCAGTTTAGATGGTCGGAAGCTTTATTTTGAAATATATATCCTGGACATCCGGAGCTCGTCTATTATTTATCCCTGTCTGGATTAAAGTATAACAGTACTAGACTGATATGAAATGAAATGTGGTTTTACATTAAGACGCTTCCACCAGACCGCGCATGCGTGTTCTGTCTCCATCAGAGCAGTCAAGATATGAGGAGAAAACAATAACAACAACAAACCCCTAAATAAATTAAATAAAAGGTTATTTACAAATGGTCTCTTGTAGGGCCAGGACCACAGCCTAACCAGTGATGTTTGGGTTTTCGCTTTTACAAATAGGAACTTGGGAATGTAATTCTATTTTACCACCTTGTAGAAACTACAATATGTCACTCAGTATCCAAGACAATATTTATTCTCTTTGTTTTGGGGTGAGAAGAAAGTCAGCGTATTGTTTAGCCTGGTTAACTACTGGATTTATTTCAGCTCTTGAACTTGAACTCTGTGTTTGTCTCAAGGCTTTAAACACCTCATAAAGACTACTATCAGTGATGTTTCACTGCTGTGTTTGGAGCTGGATGACTTAAATTTATTTAATTTTTTTTGGTATGCTGCCGCATACATGTATGTAAATTGTAGACTAGGTTAGGGTTGATACATGTGGTAATAAATTATTGTTTACAGATTTTATTCAAACAAATTTTATGTGCAGTCTCTTGTGTGAGAGTCATAATGTTCAGAATATAATGGAAAAATCCAAAAGACCAGTAAAATAAAATGAACAAACATCCACAAATGTTCTGAATCAGAATGAGCAGACAACACAGTCACACTTGGAAAAAATCTTTGGCTTTTATTTGCTTTGATGGGTTGTTTCTTTTTTGGTCTTTTTGTTCTTGTTTCTTTGATTTTTTTAAATGTAGTTGGTCCGAGCTGGTGTGTGTCATACCTTGAAGCCAACTCTCATATATGCACACCAATCTTCATTTACATTTGAAACAGGACATACATAAAAGAAAAAATAAATAACTTATGTACAGGTTAGATGTGACATGATCCTCGCTGGTGGAAGTCAAAGGTCTCTCTATGAGAGGATGAAGTTTCACAGTTCTAGGACAGCAGCATCTTACTGCTCTGGATCCTGAACCTGATGCTTTGGACGCATCATGTTTAGAAGCACTTGCGGTGGACGATGCTGGGGCCGGCCTCATCGTATTCCTGCTTGCTGATCCACATCTGCTGGAAGGTGGATAGAGAGGCCAGGATGGAGCCGCCGATCCAGACTGAGTATTTACGCTCAGGAGGAGCAATGATCTGCACAAGTAGAAGAAAATGAGACAAATTTTATTGCCTGCTGCACCTCAGATATCATTGTCATATTATGTAAGGTGAGTGATCTTGTGCCAGTCAGTGTTGCTTTTGTACCTTAATCTTCATGGTGCTGGGAGCCAGAGCTGTGATCTCCTTCTGCATGCGGTCAGCGATACCAGGGTACATGGTGGTCCCGCCAGACAGCACGTTGTTGGCATAGAGGTCCTTACGAATGTCAATGTCGCACTTCATAATACTGTTGTAAGCTGTCTCATGGATACCAGCAGACTCCATACCTGTGTAGATGTACAGCAGAGAGGTTCAGGTTAAACACAATGAAATCACAATGTGATCTTTCAAAGGAAAGTTGTTACACTGTCTCAGATGAATAGTGTTGATGCTACGCACCGATAAAGGAGGGCTGGAAGAGGGTCTCGGGGCAGCGGAAACGCTCATTGCCAATGGTGATGACCTGACCGTCAGGCAGTTCATAGCTTTTCTCCAAAGAGGAGGAGGAGGCTGCGGTTGCCATCTCATTCTCAAAGTCCAGAGCAACGTAACAAAGTTTCTCCTTGATGTCACGCACAATCTCACGTTCAGCTACAAACAGAGGGCAAAGGTCATAATTCAAGCTGCTGCAGAGTAGAATAATAAATAAATGAAAGATGAATAAAATAATTTTATCCAAGTGAGCGAAAGGACGTAATGTCCTGAGTTTTAACCATTTTGGTTTTATTTTGTGCTATTTTACCAGTTGTGACAAAGGAGTAGCCGCGCTCAGTCAGGATCTTCATAAGGTAGTCTGTGAGATCCCGACCAGCCAGATCCAGACGCATGATGGCATGAGGCAGAGCGTAACCCTCATAGATGGGTACATTGTGGGTCACACCGTCACCAGAGTCCAGCACGATACCTGAGAGCAGAAACAGAAGAGTTATGGAGAAGCTGACAGGTTTCTACCTGACGCATGTGATGAGTCACATGAAAAGGCGCAGAGTGCTAACAGTCACTGCTTCTTTCTAATGTCCACATTTGTTTTTTTCACTGGAAGGCTTAAAAGACAGTTTTTTTATGTATCTTTTTTGTCCCAAAAATCAACCCGAAACTAAACAAAATGAAAAAAAGCAGCGTAGTAATCATTTATTTGTTTCAACAATACAGTGCATTCCACAATGTTTGGGACAAACATTCTGCAATTCATTTGGGACTGAAGTGCAGACATTCAGCTTTAGTTCAAGGGGTTTTACAAAGATTTTCTGTGAACTGTTGAAGTATTACTGCCATTTTATACACAGTCTCCAATTTTCAGAGATGCAGATTTAATAGGAAATTTGACTGACAAGCAGCTTCATGGCAAGTTGAGGCCTGCTCCCTTGGCACAAATGAAGAATTCATAACATCGGAAGCTATTTCAAAGTGTTGAATTTGTATTTTATAGCTTTTCAGTGTAATTTTAATGTAATTTTAAATATGATCCTCATATAAGTGAGTAAAGCCATTATACCACTGAAATATACCTGTCATAGAGAAAGCATGATAGGAGGGAAACTAATGATGATCCCAAGCATGGTGGAGGCAGCGTTGTGGCATGGATATGTATGGCTGCCAGTGGAAACGGGGCCACTAGTGTTTATTGATGATATGACTGCTGATAGAAGAAGCAGAATAAATGATGGAGTTTACAAGGCTATAATCGCTGCTCATATTCAGCTAAATGCTGGTCAGACAGACACAGAGCAAATGGATAATGACTCAAAGCACGCTGCAAAAGCAAGCCAACAGTTACTTAAGCTAAAGAAATTAGATATTCTTCAATGGCCAACTCAGTCACCTGATTTCAACAGAGCAGGCTTTTCTGTTATAAAATACAAAACTGAATGCAGAGAAACCCAAACAGGGAGCAACTGAAAGCATCTGCAGTAAAGGTCTAGCAGAGGAACTCAAGGGAGGAAGCACAACATTTGGTGATGTCCGTAGGTTCTGGACTTCAGGTAGATAGTTGTTGCAATATTAAGTAATAAAAAGTGTCTTTATACTTAAATTAATGTTAGTTTGTGTCATTAATGTTGAACCTCTGAAAATGGGGCACTGTGCATAAACAGTGTTCATGTCAAACTTTGGAAAACTTCTTGAATTAAAGCTAAAAGTGTGCACTGCAATGACATATTGATTGTTTTATTTACAATGCACTGTGGCGATGTAGCGATGCAAAACTACAAAAAACTGTGGCTTTGTTCCAAAACATTATAGACCTTAAGTTTTTTTTTAAATGAGAAAGAAATACTGTCTTGAAGACAAGGAAACTTGTATTTCTGTGAAGCTCAGACTCACCAGTGGTACGGCCAGAAGCATAAAGGGACAGCACAGCCTGGATGGCCACATACATGGCAGGGACATTGAAGGTCTCAAACATGATCTGGGTCATCTTCTCCCTGTTGGCTTTGGGGTTCAGGGGGGCCTCAGTCAGCAGGGTGGGGTGTTCCTCAGGAGCTACGCGCAGCTCGTTGTAGAAGGTGTGGTGCCAGATCTTCTCCATGTCGTCCCAGTTGGTGATGATGCCGTGCTCAATGGGATATTTCAGAGTCAGGATGCCCCTCTTGCTCTGGGCCTCATCACCCACATAGGAGTCCTTCTGACCCATACCGACCATCACACCCTGAGGAGGGGAGGAAAGCAAGTTAGGTCTGAAATGTATATTTATTGATGTCTGTATTTAATTTGTTGTAATATGAGTCCAAGAGTTTCAAACAGCAATTACTCTGTAAAGAACTAGGTCTAAGATACACTGCAAGGCACGTAAGAAAAAGAAAAGCAAGAATGAGTTTCCTTTTTTTGTGAAATTTATTGCCCTTGCATACCTGGTGACGGGGGCGACCAACAATAGAGGGGAACACAGCCCTGGGAGCATCATCTCCAGCAAAGCCAGCCTTCACCAGGCCGGAGCCATTGTCGCACACAAGGGCGGTGGTCTCATCGTCGTCACACATGTCTGCGGATTCTGGAGGAGGAAAGTCAAATGTGATGAATTTCTGTACAGCAGGATTACTCAGCAGCACTTAACACACTGAACAAAGCACCAGTTGCATGTTAGATATTCATTTAATTTTCTCTTAATAGAAAATTATTTTAACGCTAATACTAGTGTCACTTTGTTGAGTATGTTTTGTTGCCTTTTTTAATTTGGACTAAAAACTCAACAGCCTGCTGTTTTTAATCTGAAAGCTTTAGGTTGATGTTATTTCCAAGCAGTTTTTTAATTGTAATAACGTTTTGGTTTCTTTCTTTCGTTATATAATAAACATAAATTATTACACTACAATAAACTAAATGACCAAAAAAGTGTATGACACTGTGCTTTACTACCACTGACTTCTGTTTCATAAATAATCACATGCTAATAACTATAACTTCTCCTCGTCTCCTCTCTCAGGCCTCCAGTGTTTAGATTGTGCCATAACAATTTACACAACCTGCCAGGACACAAAGTCACTAAGCTGCAAACAGAAACGCTATTAAATCCCCATTAGTTTAATGATGCCTTC